CACTTTTTAAAGTGAACGAAATGGTTGCACAATTGGTTAAAGCGAACGAAATGGTTGCACACTTGGTTAAAGCGAACAAAATGATTGCACACTTGGTTAAAGCAAACGAAATGGTTGCACACTTGGTTAAAGCAAACGAAATGGTTGCACACTTGGTTACAGCAAACGAAATGGTTGCAAACTTGGTTTAAGCAATCGAAATTGTCGAACACTTGGTTAAAGCGAACAAAATGGTTTCACACTTGGTTAAAACAAACGAAATGGTTGCACACTTAGTTAAAGCGAACGTTATGTTTGCACATTTGACAAATTAAATGGCGACCGAGAAATGAAAATTTATAACGGTCGTTCATATTTTGGTCAGGACAGTGGGTTTGTATGTTATTTTATATAATCTGATTATCAGAAATCATTAAAGCAGCGTTTATGTCACAATCAGCTTTCTGTTTCAGCTCCCCATTTTCTGATTTGACGAATTTATTGAAGATAAAAACATGTGTACATTTTTAGAATTGACAAATGCCTATCGATCTTGTCGGTTTTCTACTCATTTATTCAAATCTGTAAGTTTAGAAGTTTATAAAACAAAACAGCCTATGTTTCTGTCATTACTGTATAAAATCTTTTAGCTTGTTATAACGTCTATAACGTCTCAATACACATAGATATCCTGTTCAAAAGTCCCCCTCGTATAGATCAGATGGCCTCTTGTTTCGTTGCTCTTTCTATTACAAATCAGCATTAGCAGAGGGTCGAACGTATAGCGGGTCGATATTTTTAAGCGAGGTAAATGGTGCGAAACGGAATAATGGCGGGTTTTAAACTATAAACACATTTCAGAGTGAGTGTATTTTATAAATATGTAACAGTCATTGACGGTTAATTTTGTGTGGATTATGTGTGGCTCTGACCTACATGACATACATATGTTTCCTCCAAATCATAGGAGTTTAGGTAAAAAGTAAAAATGGTTAATGAAGGTAAACTGGCAATACCTGATTTTGTGTCCGTGACAAAGTAATATAAGTTCTTTTAATTTGATTTTTATGGTGGCATATTTCTGCCACCAGATAACCTGATAACTAACTAGTTAATTAAGAGGTTAACTGGTTACGTAACTAGTTAACCTGATAACTAACTAGTAAATTAAGAGGTTAACTAGTTCCGTAACTAGTTAACCTGATAACTAACTAGTTAATTAAGAGATTAACTAGTTACGTAACTAGTTAACTTGATAACTAACTAGTTAATTAAGAGGTTAACTAGTTACGTAACTAGTTAACCTGACAACTAACTAGTTAATTAAGAGGTTAACTAGTTACGTAACTAGTTAACCTCTTAATTAACTAGTTAGTTATATGGTTATCTGGTGGCAGAAATATGCCACCATAGATTTTCAATGATATATATAAGTTCGTTTACTTACTGTGATGTAGGGCTGCCATATGTTTTGTATGATTCGGCGTTACTTCTTAAACTATTCCTACGTTATTTTCAAATTCGTTTCCCCATAAATTCCAAATGTCAATATTGGGGACCTAGATATGTTGCCTGATTTCTTGGTATCATAAATTAATGACAGAGAAATGACATATCACCTTGAAACAAACGTATATAATTCGAAATAAAAATCAAACGGAACACTGTTGGTTCTACTTTGGTGCCCGTTCGTGCCTTAAAATATGCACCGGTGAGAGGCGGGAGGTGGGGCGGGTGCAACTGAGGTCTTCTCTCCATCAGTAATGCTAGAAAGACGCTGTGTGATCTCTTCTTTGTTAATGCAACGTAAAATCCCCCTCGCCACCCCCACACCCCAAAAATGAAGAAAGAAATAATTAAAATCTTATTTAAGCTAGTATCTTTCAACATACAATGATTTAACTTTAACACGTTAAAAAGCTTTTCATGTTTTATGTTTCAAACACATAATTAATGTCGGAAAATTATACTATGATCATAATCGATGTTTTATATAAATATACTTCAAGCGTTCACTTATTTCATTATATGAACGCATGTAATGTAAATAAAACAACAAAAAAACAACCCCCACCCTCACTTGCAACAGTAAATATTACCTTTAGTCTATAGGAGTTTAGTGTTCTTCATGTCTTTATATTCCAGAATATGGTGAAATAAGTTAAGTGCAGACTATTTAGAATATTGTTAGCTGGCGTATGTTCATTTAAACATATTAAATATTGAATATTTGAACATAACATTCAACGAATCATCTTATTTTTGCTGTAAAATTCATGTTTTGATCTCCAAACATTGTATATATTTCAATTTATACTTGTTTACACTTTATGAAAATTATCTTTTCGTATTCGTATTTATAAAATTACAGTATAAAATGAATCTAAAAGCATATAAAGTTGACTGGCTGCCCATTATTAATTTTCATTCAAATGGACGTTATAATTATTGCAGACTTCATAACACATCATGGGTATCCATAAACAGGTTTTTTTTTTCAATTGTTTTTATATATATATATAAACATTTAGACCCGTTAACAGTCTTTAGAAGAGGTGTGTAAAGTTTGGAGTAGCATGACTATTTGTGTGATATTGAATTTGTCGCCGAGCGAGTAAATAGCTAGCCAACGTGTAAACTCCGTGCAATTTACAGTTAACTTGTTTATACCCTGTGTGATTTAAGCAAGGAAGATGGGCGACTTCAGGTTTGAACGTTTTTATTCTAAGATTCTTTGTATTGTGTCTATGTTATGTTACATGATTGAAGTGTAAAACTGTTTCTTTTAAATTACATGATAAATGACATGTTGAATTCATTGGATTAAATTTTATATGTATATAAATTTAATAAAAAAGAAAAACAGATTTCCCTGTGTTTTACTATACATCACTGTGAATAGTCGAGCAAGGACCTTGCTTGCAAAGGTCTTCTGTAGTAAAGGTATAATGGTACATTTTCTTTCTTTATTTCAGTAAAGAAAATAAGTATACAATTATGGTTTATTTTAAATAATTATTAGGGAAAAGATAATTAAATGCATATTATCTGATTATGCAGACAGGTTAAAAAACCTGATCAGACTTATAACATAAAAAGTCACATTTCTAAAAAGTGATAAATATACTTTTTTAAAACTTTGTTTATTGAGCATAATATATGACATAAACAGAAAGAAAATTATTTGGTTACAGTCACTTTTGTGATAATCGTTTCTACTTTTTCATGTTTTTATAACACATAATAACTGATAATTTTGAAGTCCTTCAAATATATGTTACATATGCGAAATATAAAACAAAATAGGTTAAATAACTTCTTTATGCTCTTATTCATTGCGCCAACACCTGTCAGCATTTATTTCATTCAGTTTTCAGAGAAAACTTCAAAGTGAAATGTTCAATGTCAAAGAGTTTTCAAAATATTTATGCCAGAAACAAAATATTACATCCAAATATATAAAATAAATATACAGGCGTTGAGCAAAATGAAGTTGTTGGATACATTTCTGTTAAGAAATTTACATTACAACATATTTTTTTATGAAATTCAAATATTTTGTTTCCTGAAAATGGGAAATAACGGGAAATAATTCTAAGAAATTTAAAGGCAACCAAAATCTTTTTGATTTTGATTTGTGTCATATATAATAAACAAAACAAATTAAAAAGAAGCATATTTATTATTTGTTCTAGAAATATGATTTTATATGATGTTCGAGCATATTAACCAGCCTGTTATGCTACAGAAAATCATATTAATTAAAATCTTCAGAAATGTCAAACATGTGTTTAATAGTTTTAATTATATATTTAGAGCATATTAGATGTTTAACAGCTGAAGAAAGAAGCGCCGAATGTGCACAAATGTGTTTAAAGGTAGTAAATGTAACAGGGTCTTATTTTTAAGATCTAAGCTTACTGTTGAATTTCATAATTTTGCAACGGGAGACAAATTCGCCGGTCTTGTCTGATACTTTTCAAGGGAGATTACTCCATTGGTTTTAACTGATTTTATGTTAGTAATCTAAGGAATCAAATGATTATTATGTCATGTTATTTCTTGATGGGAAAGTCATTGTGTCTTTGTTGTTGTAAAGAAGAGATATTAGAATGATTGATATACATGTATAATACACAGTTTGTGTGTATGTTAATGTCAGGGTTGTTGTTCATTATTATTGTTCAACACCTCTTAAACCGGATGGCAGATTTTGCTTAAACTTCCAGGGGTGAACAACCTTAATGTGTAAATGGTAGTAAAGGAAGGAATTTTTGCTGCGACCAAATTCAACAGAATTATAGCCCTTTGTTGATTTTTTCACTATATACCATATAGAGATTTTGTGAACGCAACTCCTCTTCAACAGGATGGCAGAGTTTGCTTAAACTTCCAGGGATGAACAACCTTAATGTGTAGATGAAAGTAAAGGAAGGAATTTTTGCTGCGACAAAATTTAACAGAATTATGGCCCTTTGTTGATTTGTTCACTTTATACCATATATATATGTTGTCAGTGGGGGCATCCGTTAGTCCTAGTTTTATTAGATCTTAATATGTTTTACTTCTTACCTTTGTATGCTACTGACGAATGCTAGTGTGATGCTGCTTGTCTTCTCTATTTGTTAACGCAATGCTATTTGTCTTATTTATTATAACCGTTTTCTTCATTTATCATACTTTAAACATGTGTATTATATTACAGAAGTCGATGTAAAAAGCTTATCAGAGCTTATGTTTATTGTTGATGCATCCGACTTATAAATAAAATTTACTTGACTTTACTTGAGAAAATTAGTGTTTTGTGGTCAAGTTCTTTATCTTTTAAGTTGGTTTGTATTTATCCTGACTGCTGCTTAATGCTTTATTGTAAATATGGAGAATTGCATTATTGTGATTCTTTTCTATTCTGGTCCAGTCCATTGATTGTGAAATTTGTAAAAAAGTATGAGTTTCAGAATGACATGTATCTATCAAGTCACCTTTCATCTTTTATTCACTATTAATATTTTACCTTGCAGTTAACAGTCATTGGTGTGATAGAGAGAAAGTATCAGTAACAAGATTGATGTACCAACCTTATCCCTCAGATGGTAAGTTACATTGTATTGTGTATTGTTTAAAGTGTAGATTTAATATATGTTAAATGTGTTTATAATTCTATAATCTATGCATATGATATTTAAGGACTGTTGCTAAGTATGAAGGACTGATTGGCCACTAGACATGTAAATGATTATGTTCTAGATGAGAACATAAGTTATGATATTAGTTAATGTAATGCATTGTTTCTACTTTATTTTACTTTATATTTACATATTGTTATATACTTATTTCAGAGTGTTGTTTGTACCTTATACTTGATGTAACAACCTTAATTGAAGATGGATCATATATAAATATGATAGAAGATAGCTGTTTGTTGAATTGATTTAACAATCCCGAACCTACTTGACCATCAGGGGCTCGGATAGTGATATATTTAAATTGCGCCGAACCACCCCTAATACATAGAATGTAAACATATCCATACAAAATACAAATTCACTATAATTATAAAGCAAATGAAGCAAAGATAGTTCATCTATATGACAAATGATGAGTATATTTGACAAATGCAACAAGATACGTGTACCAAAACTTTAAAGGTTTTGTGAAATAAAAAGCATTTCAGCATTTCTGAAACTAATGGGTCTTTAACAAACGTTTTCTAAATGTCTTATGTTTTTACGAAAGTAGAAAGAGTAGCCGTTCAAACATATGTTTTATAGGTGCTTTACAGGTAGCATAGCTGACTGGCAATGGTGTGGAATGGAAATGTGTACTTCAAAAGTAGTAATTAGCAGGATGTAATTCCAGTTACCTCGCTCAGAAGTAAGCTGAATGTATGTACTTCTTTGTTTTGGTAGCTTTTTACGTCGCACAAACACAGTATAGGTCTTATGCCTACTTTCCAGCTTTACTGCTGGAGGAAGACCTCAGGTACCCTTACGTTCAATATTTTAGGCACGAATGGACGTATGTACTTGAATAATGGGTATGGGTAGGATGTGACTACAGTTACCTCTCTATAAGGTCCTTACTTCTTTGTGTTTCGGGAAAATGGTTTGAGCAGTGGCTTTTAATTCATGATTAGTAATTTAGATAAGACAGAATTTATTCACTTCCAGTGTGTGGGAAGCTATAATCTTATAAACACACTTTCGATTCCGTACCTGGAACAAAGCATTACTAAGCAAAGAAACAACGAATTGCCCTTGACAGGGTTCGAAATCACGCACGCACCCCCAATCCTTTGATTGCCAACCAGTCCACGCGATAACCACCTAGCCATGCGGTCACTTTAGTTAAGATCAATTTCAATAGGGAGCTGCTCAAAAAATATTGTAAAACATTTTATGACCATCAAATTGGAAGACGAATTATTTCATGATTGAAGTGACATCATGCCCATCTAATTGTTCATTGTGTGTTCACAAGTAAACAATATTCAACAAACCACATGACCCGTTGGCTCATTTTTTAAAATGGCAGTCTTTTTATAATTGAGTTAGTTTTTAGCTCGACTTTTCTATGAAAAGGGGAGCTATCCTACTCGCCCCGGCGTCGGCGTCGGCGTCGGCGTTAGCGTTAGCGTTAGCGTTGGCGTCACACCTTGGTTAAGTTTTTCGTACCACCCCACTTTATTTTAGAAGTATTACAAGTATGGCTTTGAAACTTACCATACTTGTTCACCATCATAACCTCCATCTACAGACAAGAGTACATAACTCTGTCAAGGTTTTTGACAGAATTATGGCCCTTTTTTGACTTAGAAAGTGTATTGAGCTTGGTTAAGTTTTTTGTACCACCTCACTTTATTTCAAAACCATTGGAGGTATTGCTTTGAAACTGACCATACTTGTTTACCATCACGACCTTCATCAACAGACAAGAGGACATAACTCTGTCAAGGTTTTTGACAGAATTATGCCCCTTTTTGACTTAGAAAATACATTGAATATGGGTAAAATCCACTTATTGCCTTAACCCTTTGAGATATTGCTTTTGAAACTTTTAATGCTATTTCACATCATTACCCCCATCTGTACGCAAGAGAAGGTAACTCTGTCAAGGATTTGTTTTAAAAATTAAGGCCTTTTATCGACTTAGAATCTTGGTTAAGTTTTTTGTACCACCTCACTTTATTTCAAAACCATTGGAGGTATTGCTTTGAAACTGACCATACTTGTTTACCATCACGACCTTCATCAACAGACAGAGGACATAACTCTGTCAAGGTTTTTGACAGAATTATGCCCCTTTTTGACTTAGAAAATACATTGAATATGGGTAAAATCCACTTATTGCCTTAACCCTTTGAGATATTGCTTTGAAACTTTTAATGCTATTTCACATCATTACCCCCATCTGTACGCAAGAGAAGGTAACTCTGTCAAGGATTTGTTTTAAAAATTAAGGCCTTTTATCGACTTAGAATCTTGGTTAAGTTTTTAGTACCAGTCCACTTTTTGACTGAACTGTTTGAGATATTAATTTGAAAGTTGGAATACTTGTTTACAATCATGATTCCCAAACATGTCCAGGAGAAGGTAATTCTGTCAAAGATTTTATTTGAATTATGGCCCTTAACTGTCAATGTTTTGTATTATAGGCAAGCACTAAAAAAGTCGAGCGCGCTGTCTTACGGACAGCTCTTGTTATATTTTATTCTAAACATTTTTCATAATCAATTTATTGTCAATCCCGATCATAATGGAAAATCTCTTAAAATATGTTATTAAATCAAATCAAATTGACAACGATAAAATAAGCATAATATCACTTTAACGGATTTCGGAAACTGATTAGAACACTAACTCAATATAACAGACTATTTCTATGCCATAATTTGATTAAAGACCAATGCTTGAAATACTTAAAATTAATTCAGAAGAACTATTTATAAAGTCATGTTTAACAAATGATTTGATTTGCCCAGTTTTTGAAAGAATGTTACTGTTAATCGAAATGTTCGGTTTACTCTTAACTATTCGAAGAATAGTGAGGCTTTACTTATATTTGGTTATCGGGGTAACACTGGTTTAAGTTTTTCTTGCAACTGCATGTATAATCTTATATCTGATCCATAAAGATATTTGCTTGGCACTTCACACGTGACCTATAGAGGAAAAATGAAGGTCACATTTTAAGGTCAATAACTCTAGCATGAGCTTTGACTGAATTGTGTCCCTTTGTGGTAAAATCAAAGATGAAGTTTTACGCTTCAAAACTGTCGACGGTTTTTACTTGAAACTTTATAATTGAAGGTCACTCCCTACGACCGCTCATTCAAGACTGCGGATGAATTATAAGCCTTTGTTAACATACAAAAAACCTTCAGTCACAACTGTGTCACTATCTTAAAATAAAATCTCCATCTTTGTTTAATCCTCTTGTTTAACTATCAAGCACAGAGAAAAAAATAGTCTAACTAGAACAACCATAAGTTAAGATAAAAAATAACTTATTGGTATAATTTGCCCCCCCCCCCCCCCAAAAAAAGACAAAAAAAGACTGAATTGTGTTTAATTAGCATTTAGATATTTCATATTTCATGACCAGATTATAATAAAATAGAATCATATTAAATATCAATTAATTTTGTTTATTTAGCACTTATCAACATTAAAGTTAAAATTATTTATATTTACTTATTCTAACAATTAAGTTTTAAAGTACAAAATCAGTAAAATTAATGACTTTGAAAAATGATTGTTCTAATATTTTACGCCATATTTTACAAAATCTAATATTCACAACGTCAAATTTATTATGAAAAACTATTATACAGATATCTTCTTTTTTCTCTTTGTAAAAGTCAAATTGCTATTCAATAAAATAAAAGGTAACTGCTTAATACATATAATAGGTATGGTGCACTTCAAAGTGCACATCAAGTGCACTTTGCAGTGCACTAGTAGTGTACATCTAGTGCACTCCAAGTGCACTTTGTGTAACCTTTAGTGTGAACTCAACTGTACTCCGGAAAAGTGTAAAAATTGTACATGTAAATAAAAAAAGGTTAAAGGCACATCGTGTTTTAAGAATGAATGTTTTTTTTCATTCTTTAGAAACGACAAACGCGAGTTTTATAGCATTTATACAATAGTATTAATCTAAGAGCTTTTTAAATGCTTATCGCCTGAAGAAAGTAGATCTGAATGCAAAATTATCTGTCATGAAATAGCAAAATGTAACAGAATACTAAATCAATATATTTTAACTAATTGCCAAAAATACACAAGCAAAAAGATGGTTCAGATAATTGGCCAATCAGTAACATTTTGTAACTATAACAGGATACTAAAAGTAAAAAGCTTTTGAGAAAAAAAAAGAAAATAAAAGCATTTCTGAAGCATTATGTGCCTTTAAAACATAATACTGATTTTCAAATTTCACAATTTTCACAATTAGTGAAACACAGATGGTTTAAAGTAATGATATATACAAAAATTGTATGTACTTAAATTTATAAAGAATTGGCATAAAGAAAAGCAAGGAATATTTCCATTTTGTTTAATTCGATAAAGTAATTTTTCTGTATTATCAAAGTTGCTTAAACTCTTATACACATAATCGATAAAAAATGTTGGAATCCTTTGAAAAAAAGTGAACAACTTCAAAATCCTAAGCCATTTATAAAACGCCAGAAAATATAGGGAGTATAATGTAATGCACCTCGTCGTCCGTCTTTCTTGTAGTAATTCCGTCTTTTTGAACAGAATAAAGGAATTTGAAACGTACAGTGAAGATTTGATAGAAACTTAAATCATTTAGATCTACATCTAAGTAGATCTATGAAATTTATTTAAAGTAAAGTGGTTACATTGAAGATTAAATTTGTTAGATAATGTTCTTTTTTTATTCTAGGAATAACGAGAATTTTGGAAAACAAGAAGTTGGGAAACAAGCAAGCAAGACACAGTCATCAGAAGAAGCCAACAAGTATTAGACGAAAACACCTTATTAGTCCCCTACCGGTTTAACCGGAGGGGACTTTAGGTTTACCCTCCGTCCGTCTGTCCATCTGTCCGTTTGTCTGTCTGTCCGTCTGTCTGTCAGTCCGTCAGTCCGTCCGTCCACAAAACTGGATCCCGCGATAACGCAAAAAGTACTGAAAATATTTTTATGAAACTTGATATATGGATAGATGGCAGTATGGAGATTATGCACGTCTTTTTCTTTTCTTCCTATGTTGAAAATTCTGGTTGCTATGGCAACAAATAGTCTGAAAATATGGCAAATTTAACACATAAACTGGATCCAGTGATAACTCAAAAAGTACTGAAAATATTTTTATGAAACATAAAATATGGGTAGATGGCAGTCTGCAGATTATGCACATCTTTTTCTTTTCTTCCTATGTTGAAAATTCTGGTTGCTATGGCAACAAATAGCCTGGATTTCAAGATTTCTGATTTATTTTTTTCAGCTTTTTCACTATAAGTTCTTTATTTCTTAAGGTGTTTACTTCAAACTTTAAATATAAGTTTCTGGTCATCAACCACATCATATGTGACAAGGTTTATAACTCTAGCACAAAAATTATCATTATTACCTCCCTTGAACTTAGAATTTTTATGGAAAAACATGTTGTCTTTTTTAAATAACTTCTTTATTTCCTAATGTATCTACTTCAAACTTCATATATATGTTTCTTATTATCACTCAACATTTTTGAGAAGGTTAAATACTCTAGCAAGACTATTTCCAGAATTATGTCCCCCTTGAACTTAGATTTTTTTCGAGAAATTGTTATTTTTTACTCCAACTTTTTCATTCCTTATAAGATTTACTTTAAAATCCCACATCGTAATAATATGACAAGGTTGTATAAACATAATTGCCTTACTAGGCAGGGAAACTTAACACATTAATGTGAAATAGACAAACTTAGAACTCAAAAGATTTAAGTTCATTCATGCCATTCATTCACTGGTAAAATTGAAATCAGAATGTTGCTGGGGTTCTAAACGGTAGGGGACTTATGGATTGCTTGCAATACTATGATAATTGCTTGTTTACATTCAGGACTGGTACCTTTACGGCAACGTCATATTCTGATTTAAATATGCTTAATAATTATGATTTTGTACTTATATTATATTTCAAAATTTGTTTTTTGTTGACTTATCAACATACATACATATATGTACACGATTCATTTTCCAACTATATATTTTTTGGAACTGTTCAAATCATTCTTAAATTGTGAAATTAAATACAATATAACAAGAGTATAATAAGGTTGTTGACTTCAAACTACTTGCCCCTCACCGCTGTGTGGGTTCGAATCCCAACATGAACTGTGGATTCTTTTATGTGAGGAAGCTTACGGAACGTCGGTGGTTCACTCAGGTGCCCGTTCTTGCCTGAAATAATGCTTGGAAGGGCACCTGAGGTCTTCCTCCACCAGTAAGCTGGAACGTCGCCATATGACATATACTGTGTTCATGTGACGTAAAACCCAATCAAACAAATAAACAAGAGTATAAAAGTATATACATGTACATGTAGATTTAATTGAAGTAATTCATATTTAGTAATTATAATTGAAATGGGAAATTAATGATTGCAGCGATATTACATTTATAAGCATTACAATTAAGGCATGTTAAGGACAATTATGTCATTTTATACATTAAAGCTGCATGCCTTCAGGTGAGCCGAAATATTTCAAGAAAATTAAGCTATATACTTGTGTACATATACATGTACATATAATATACTAAGATTTTTAAAAAGCTCCACTGAGGCCCAAAAGCATATAACATATTTTTTTTTGAATTTCTTCAATAGATCAACAAAAGAAATATACTCATAAAAAAATGAAAATAGTATTTTTGTGCTACATTTGTATTTTAATTCTGATTTACGTGAAAAGCGTTGCACCGCTTTCAATTTTGGTCACTTTTCATAATCAGAATAAATATTCTTGAAAAATGAATAATCTAATGATCTGAAATTTGGCACACAAGTAAATGATCAAGTCCTACATGAATTAAATGGAACGTTATCTTGAGAAAATATCTCCAGTCTCGTCTTAACAAAAACTTCAGTGGAGTCCCTTTAAGAAAAGTAAAAGATTAAAAATTAAAGTAGTAATTTATATATTATGTGCAATTTATTATTGATTTTGCAGAATTAATAATTATGTATTTACTGCGTCACTTAGGCAGTCAGGGCTATTTTTGCATGACTTGTATTTTATTTGATAATTTACTATGCCATTTGCGATGTGTAAATTTATTTCTTTGCTCGTTTGACAATATTTTATTGTGCCCCCACCCCCGGTCTAGGGGGGAAGGCATTTAGATTTACCCTTGTCCGTCCGTCCACCCGTTCTCATTTTGTGTCGTACGTAACTCAAAAAGTTTTTGACATAGAGTCGTGAAACTTTATAGGAATGTTGCTCAGCATGTGAAGTTGTGGATTTATTCTGTTTTGTCAGAGTTATTGCCCTTGACTTAGTAAAAATTTGCAATTTTTAACGTATTTGACCTTGAGTCATGAAATTTAACAGGAATGTTGCTCAGCATGTAAGTTCTGCACCTGTTTTTTTCATGTGGATTTTTTTCAGTTTTGTTAGAGATTTTGCCTTTGACTTAGTATAAATTTGCAATTTTCAACTTGTTCATGCATTACTCAAAAAGTATTAAACCTGTAGGCCGGAAAGTTTACAATGTTGTTGATCAGCTTGTGTACTTATGCACCTTAGGATTTGCTTGTAGATTTATTCTGTATTTGTAAAGTTCTTGCCCTTTATTTAGTTAAAAAAGTTTTAGTTTTCAACTTGTAAAGCATGTAGCCCAAAAATGTTTGACCCAGAGTCATAATATTGACTAACAGTAGAATGTGGGGACACCCGTGTCATATGGACACATTTCTAGAGTCTTTTTGTGCCCCTCTTTAGGGGGGGATTTAGATTTACCCTTGTCCGTCCGTCCATCCTTCCGTCCTTCCGTCCGTTCTCTTTTGTGTCGCACATAACTCAAAATAAATTTGACATAGAGTCATGAAACTTAATAGGAATGTTGATCAGCATGTGCAGTTGTGTACCTGTGTACCTTTTCAACTTGTGTCGCATGTAACTCAAAAAGGATTTGACCTAAAGTCATGAAACTTTACAGGAAGGTTGGTCAGCATGTGTAGTTGTGCATCTGGGTATATTTTTGTGGATTTATGTAGTATTGTTAGAGTTATTGCCCTTCACTTAGTAAAATGTTGCAATTTTCAACTTGTGTCGCATGTAACTCAAAAAGGATTTGACCTAAAGTCATGAAACATTACAGGAATGTTGATCAGCATGTGAGTTGTGCACATAAGTATTTTAGTCTGGATTTATGTAGTATTTTTAGAGTTATTACCCTTGAATTAGAGTTTTTTGCAATTTTCAATTTGTGTGGCATGTAACTCAAAAAGGATTTGACATAGAGTCATGAAACCTTACGGAAATGTTGCTCAGCATATGTATGTGTTTCTCTTTTGGTTTCGCGTGTGGAGTTCTCCAGTATTTGTAGAGTTATTGCCCTTGACTTACAGGAGTATAAATTTGCAATTTTTAACTTGTTCATGCACAGCTAAAAAAGTATTTGACTTGTAGGCCTGAAAGTTTACAAGAATGTTGGTTAGCATGTGTACTAATGCACCTTGGGGTTTGCTTGTGGAGTATTTGTAAAGTTCTTGACCTTAACTTAGTAAAAGAGTTTTAGTTTTCAAATTATGGCACATGTTGTAGTTTTAATATATTTTCAAAATTTCATAAAAATAAGCATAAATCTATAAAATCTATAATATTAAACATTGTTAACTTTGTCAAATTTTAACAGATAAAAGTCAGGATGGCAGAATCGCATTTCGATTTTTATTAAAAAAAGCTTTGAATTTAAATACGTTGGAAACTGTGAATGCCCTATTTATTCTTTCACATATGGTGTTATACATGTAGTGCACATGTTGACCAGTGGACATCCACATAATTATACTTGTCTTTAAGTAATATTGTTTTTATTTTTAATTGATATAGGGAATCCGGAATGAAACCATTTCAGATATTGTTCCAAAATGCTAAATATAATTCTGACAACTCACATTTGAACAATGGAACATAATTACTTCCACCTAACATCTCATATTTTGTTATGACTAAGTCCATAGAGATAGATATTCTAAAGACTGTCTTTTCCACTTTCTGGAAGATTTTATAGGGATTTGTACCTTTCACACACTGAGAAAATAAGTGGTCCAGGTGCCCATTCGTGCCTGAAATAATGCACGGAAGGGCTCCTGAGGTCTTCCTCCACCAGTAAAGCTTGAACGTCGCCATATGACCTTAACTGTGTCGGTGTGAAGTCAAACTCAATAAAACAAACAAAAAAGTGGTCTAGCCTACTGCATTACAAAATGTCTTGCATATTTTTCATATGTTATAATTTTATTCTGAAATTGTCTGAAAACTATTAATAGAATAAAGAGAGACAACTGCAGAAATGCAAAGTATAACTGGTCTTTTATTCCTTTTCTCTCCAAATTTTTTCCTTTGACCCAACTTAGTTCGAATGATCTTAAATACTTACATGAACTAGATTTTCTCAATTTAATTTATTGCCTACCGGTTTCTATAATCATCAGGGCAAATAAACATAAAACCATAGTTACAACGTCATTTTTCAATATTTGTGTACACATGTGTACGCAATGTAAAAAATGTCGACGTCATCAATTTTTGTTTAGTTTCGGTTTAAACATAAAAAAAATAAAAAAATAAAGCTCTTTTGATAACCTAGTTGATACATCAGTATTTTATATTTTTTAAAAAGGACATATGGAAAATTTTGGAGCACTGTTACGACAAATATCTAAATGTGCACTTTATTAAAAGAATTTGTCGTATCGATGGGTCTCTTATTTGCTGTTAATGAACCGTCATTCTATTTCTTGAGTTGATCTCTAGCTTGTCCAATATAAAATTCATTGCACCCATTCCATAATAATACGTACAATACAATTTTTACTGTACAATCCATATCTTCTTAAATATGGAATGTTTTATCTTTAATTTTCAAAGAATTTCCCACTATTATATGATCACATAGAACACATTTGGAATCGTTGAATTTACAAATGGCGTATATGATTGTAAGGGAAGTAACTTTTGGTACTCATATTATTCCATATAAATAAAATTTATACGTTTTTGAAAACAACCATGTATATATGATAACAAGAGTAACTTCCCTTTCGAGCAGGTATGCCATTTACAAATCATCAGGGGAGATTACTCTTATCGACTTAATATATGGTAAAAAGAGTTACTTCCCTTACAAGCAGGTGTGCCATTTGCAAATCATCAGGGGAGATCACTCTTATCGACTTAATATATTGTAACAAGAGTTACTTCCCTTATGACCAATCATGCCATTTGCAAATCATCAGGGGAGATCACTCTTACTGATTTTATATATGGTAACAAGAGTTACTCCCCTTACGAGCAGGTACACCATTTGCAAATCATCAAGGGAGTTCACTCTTATCGACTAAATATATGTTAAGAAGAGTAACTTCCCTTAGACCAATTACGCCATTTGCAAATTATCAGAAGAGATCACTCTTATCGACTTAATACTGACGCCAAGTGTTGCTTCCCATACGAGCAGGTACGGCAATTGCAAATTATCAGGGGATATCACTCTTATCGACTTAATACTGACACCAAGTGTTACTTCCCTTACGAGCAAGTATGCCATTTGCAAATTATCAGGGGAGTTCACACTTATCGACTTAATACTGACACCCAGGGTTACTTCCCTTATGAGCAGGTACGCCATTTGTAAATTATCCGGGGAGATCACTTTTATCGACTTAATACTGACACCAAGATAAACAAAAACGTCATTTGCAAATTTTCAGAGAGCACTCACGTGTACATTATAATGATACTTAGGGAATTACTTCCCTCAGAAGCATACATGCCATTTGTAAATTATCTGACACCATCTGACACCAGTTTTTCGTAAGAAAAATATACCAGTCATAGAAGACAAAAAGGGTTCCTTTTATTCACAAGTCAAGTTCATAAAATATCGAATACTTTATTGATAGCAAAGATTATGTCTGAATTTTAACAATATGCATGTTTAAACCGTATCCAAGGTAACACTGGTGTGCTTGCTATTCTTCTCACTACAAATAAGTTCTAGATGTCTAAATGTCAAGAACACAAAAGTTTGAAACACTTTTTCAATATGTTATGGTCATTAATCAAAACAATTCAATTTAATATCTGCACCTTCATTGCCTTGTAAAAAAAGGTTTAGATTTCGTTTCGTATTATTTTTTTAACTTTGATATTCAGTAAAATACAAGAAAATGAAAAGAAAATGAACATAAAATGAGGAATGCTAGACGTGTAGCAATTTAAATACCTGATTGTTTGTAAGTAAACCAATTTGATGATTTCTAACTTTATCAAAAATTTATATTTCATTTTCAGAAAAAAACACAAGACATGAAAAAAAAAATACAACTGATCATTGTGTATTTAAAATTATTATAACACTTTAATTTCAACAAAACTATTCTGACACTCATGTATTTAAAATTCCTACATTTAAAATTCTAAATTAAGTAAAATGGTGGCTGTAAATGCTGCCGAACTTAATTTTCTTTTACAAGCTAAAACTTGTTTTTTTTAAAAAAATACAAGAACAGAAAGGTTGTACATTTTTTTCATCGGCCATTTATTCATCTATTCAAATGTTTTGCAAAATTTTGTTTATAATTGTCTACCATTTATTGCGCTATTTAAAGATTTTAGGACAATATCTTCGAGTGTTTATTAAAAAAAAAAACATGTCCCTTATTTTTTCTACGTCAAAGTTGTTTTTGTGTGTCCTATCATATGACTTATAAGCTAAATGGATTTCAAAACTTTACATATTATCTACTAACACAAAATAATATGAAATAAACCAAGGATATATACAACATCAATTTTGGATAATGACGTCATAAGGCTATATTTAACTTTTCCACTTTGTGATCATGCATGTAATGTGATCTTGTTAATACTAAAATTTTGTCCAATTTGTACAAATTCTATTATCTTCAATCAACACCTCTATCTGGTGAATAAGCCTAAGCTAAAAATAGACCATTATGGCTAAAAATACACCATTGTGACTAAAAATAGACCATTGATGGCTTAGCGCAAACTGATGCATCTCGTTCGTCATAACTTAGGATATACTGCCGTTTTGAACCAAGCCCTTAAACTATGCAATTTCTTGGCATTTGCGGTCCATATTTATAAACCATGAAAAGTTTCTTTAAAGCGACACACCTTAGTGAAAATATAACCTTATCACAGCCATCATAATGAGTATGAATTAATGGAAATACCAGAAGAAAATGAGCAAATGAATACAAAATTTAAAGAAAAAAAATAAAACAAATAAACAAAAAGCACAGCGTCCTTTCTATATTTAGAACATTTATTTCCGTTCTATATTAAGAATATTTATGTCTATATTTAGAACATTTGTGTCGCTTTTGTAGGAATGAATATCTCTTAAATAAATGTTAATTTATAACCGCTTAAATTAACCTTTTTAGGCTTAATAAGCGCCATACCTAATTTAAGCATATTTCAAACTGCATTAACGTCACAAATCGCCTGAATATGTCATTTGAATTGTAAGGCACATAGAATATAATGTAAATAAACATTCTTTAAGATAAGTAATTACCATAAACAATTGTATATAGGCACACATATTGAATTTCATTAAAAACAAAGTATTCATGTATGAAAAAACACAATCATCATAAATTTAATTGCACATTAAGACACAAGCATATTTATTCATATCTATACAGCCCAGTCCACTTATTACGTCATCGTGACGTAACCATGACAGAACCGCGTGCTTTGGTATCGTAAGTAATAACTATTGATATAGAATGATAATTTGGCAATTATGCTGATTTGTTATCATTTTTTTTTTGTATAAAACCTATCGAACAACTTCTTTTGAAGCATTGCCTCCCTAGAAAAGCTACAAACTACATTAAAATCCGAGATTATTGAATCTTTAAATCAGTGTTTGCCGAAGATTGACCTAAAGAATATGAAACATGTTCGGTTTTTGAAGTTCAGTTAAGAATCTGTTATATTCCAAATCAAAACATAAACTTGTATACATCATGCTATCGCTCAGATCTTGCTTTAAAAGAAAACCTACATGCTGCCAGTAGATGGCCCAGTACAGCAAGCCGCCAAACTATCACTCTATATCTGTCCATTTCTAAAGTTTTTTTGGGTACAACAAGCAAGCATTAGTACACAGTACAAAGTTATTGTCTTTCATCATAATGTTTTCATATTATAAAAAATACCGACATACAATGGATTACAAAAATGATTAACCATTTGTGGTAATTTCATTACCATTCCTACAAGTCGTTACAACGATATCGTCTAATATAGATTCTAAATCATTGAATGTGCTCACTTTGAAAATGTCATTCCTATTTGATGCTATTTGTTCGATCTCGGTATAATCATTCATGTTAACAGCAATGGGTATAATCCTAGCGCCATCGTCCTTGAGAGCTTTAGCAGCATCGACTGTTGTTTCTTCATCAACATTACCGTCTCCGTCCGTGATAACGAAGATTATATTTTCCGCATCATTTCTGTCACCCAGAGCGTCTACAGATATCTCGCTAACCGTCCTGAAAGCGGCTGCAGTATTTGTTTTCCCTGGTCTGTAACGGGCAAATTTTATGGCGTTCATAAGTACAGGCAGTCTGGTGTACCTGCCGAGGGAGAAAACGATTTGGACGTCATCGCTGAAGGTCATCAAGGAGAATCTGTTATAGCTACCTTCTCCGCTGAACTCTTCGGCAATAGATGCGATGAAGTTGAGAGCAGTCTGGTAGTTCTTAGCTCCAACACTGTCCGAGCTGTCCATGAGGAAGTAAATGTCCTTCACAGTAACGCATGCTGAAAACACAAGAAAGGGAAACATTTTAAATGGACGAGGTCATTTACCATATAATCTTATTTTATAAAAATGTGCTTTTATTTTCCTAATGAAAACGACATCCTAAAATATAATTTGAGATTCAGGAATAGACATTGCTGTTTAAAGTATCTGATATATCAAATATTTTCTTTAAAATGATTTCCAAACAAATTCAATGACAAAATATTAGATTGATTGTAGTGGTAAATTATATATTTACTAATCATACACTGCTGTAAGTGAAACGCACTTACGCATTAACGGACTGGTAAAAAGCATTTATGCTTATAAATAACGGTTTCGGATATAACATATTTAGTGTACAGTTATACAAAGTTGCACTATAAGCGAAATATTCTTATATGTGGACTCGTCTTATACGCGGGCTCGTGGTATAGGCAAGCTCGTCCTATACTTGGATAATTTGGTAAATTTCTACTTACAGTCCTGGCAGTTTTCTCCTCTATAACCAACACGACATTCACAGAATGGTCCGTTAATTCCTGGTACACAGAGGCCTCCGTTTCTACAGGGGTTCTCCTCACATACTGTGGGATCTGAAATTACAAACCAAGATAATATGCAATTGGAAGTTGAGCATACATAGAAAGGCTATCTCAAAACTTCTATCTATTATATATATATATCTGTTTCAAAAGTGGTAAATGTTATTTGTTTAAATTTCAAGGCCTGTCATTAAATGGGTTTGATAATAAGAAATAAGGCTGCTTAACAAAGCAATAATTTTCAATTACTTTGCATCATTTTTTTTAACTTGCTAGTTTTTTCATGGTTGGGTTTAACGCCGCACCAATATTGGTTACTATCTCAAAACTACTATCTATTATATATATATATCTGTTTCAAAAGTAGAGAATGTTATTTGTTTAAATTTCAAGGCCTGTCATTAAATGGGTTTGATAATAAGAAATAAGGCTGCTTAACAAAGCAATAATTTTCAATTACTTTGCATCATTTTTTTTTAACTTGCTAGTTTTTTCATGGTTGTGTTTAACGCCGCACCAATATTGGCTACGTTCGATCTGTAATGGTGGAGGAAGACTTCCGATTTCTCTCGGCACAAGTGGGTACTTAAATAGATACACGAAATTTTGATAGCTAGCTCGAGTTTCTCTTAAAAATGTCGATTATTATTGCAATGTCTTGCTTTCGGATAATGTGGTTTTATAAACAGGTTATTGCTCAACAGAGGGAGGACCGCTCTGTCGGAGAAGCACTGTATCAGGTAATTGTAGAATATAGACAAACCTCTGCAAGTTTTCTTGACAATACTGCTGGAAATATTTCCGAGGGCTGTGTAGTCACTCAGGATGAAAGCATTCTGTGCTGCCGGTGGACTAGCAATGCTGTTGATCTCATAGTGATCAAAATTACCAATGCCAACAGCATAGATATGCACACCTATAGGTATAAAATAAGTACATTTAACATAATAATTATAACAATAATAATTAATAATAATTTTAAGAAGAATAGAGAAGCATGGTATGTTAATGCACAAATTATAATTTGATAATTCCACGTTTCAATATCTGTATTTCGTATAAAGAAACCCTTTTGTCTTTTTAATATCCATTTTGATAAATCATCAAGTTTAAATAACTTGAAAACGACAACTTTGATTATAGATTAACAATATGGCGGACGCAATATTCGGAAACACTCGGAATACACCGATGATAGGTTGAACACCACCAATTCATTCGTGTCTAATTAACGGTACAAAATACCTGCATTTATTCATTATTTACAGCACACCACAGATTTGGTTTAAATATTGAAAATTTCATGCTTGCTATTAAAACAAAACGGTTTCCGCGTCATAGGTAGCACCTAGTTTCATGCTGGTAATTTGACAGAAAAAAATCGAGTACCTTCATCCTTCAGCATTTTCGCCTCTGTAATTGTCTCGTCCGGATTGATATTGGACACACCGTCAGTAACGATAATCACTGGAAATAGAAAAAGGGAGCTCATATTCAAACGCAAGCGCAGAAAGAGAATTGCATGAACAAAGTAATTTTGATACATATTACATGATTTAAAAAGAGACTACTTTACAGACTATATTGCAACATTCATTATCTTACTGATTGCAACAAATATTTTCTTCGAGAACATGGACACTGGCTGCAAGAAAAAGTTCCTTTCTTAATGATAGCAAGAAGCTTGTTCTTTAAGAAAATGTTCATGGACTGATCAAAAATATTCTTTGACGGCATGGTCACGGATTGCCAGGACAAGTGTTTTTTTTCAAGACTGTTTGTCACGATTAAATTTTGTCAAAATTAAGTTAACTTGATACATTTATCAAATTAAGATAAAAACAAACACAAATACTTACAGAAATTCTGAATGTTTTGCCTGTCGCCGTTGGCCCCTCCGAAGTAGCGTTCTCTTACAAGCCTAAGACCGGCAGCCGTGTTGGTATCACCGTACTCGTAGCCGATACCGGCAATGGCGTTCTGTAGTTCATACAGGTTGTAATATTTGCTCATGAAGAAACCGTGCCTGTAATATTAACAATAGTTATAACATTATTCATTTCCGTACAGATTGTAACATTTGCTCATGAAGAAACCGCGCCTGTTATATTAACAATAGTTATTACAATATGTACGGAAATGAATAATGTTATATTTGCTCATGAAGAAACCGTGCATGTTATATTAACAATAGTTAAAACATTATTCATTTCCGTACAGATTGTAATATTTGCTCATGAAGAAACGTTGCCTGTTATATTAACAAAAGTTAAAACATTATTCATTTCCGGAAAGATTGTAATATTTGCTCATGAAGAAACCGTGTCTGTTATATTAACAATAGTTTAAACATTATTCATTTCCGTACAGACTGTAATATTCATGAAGAAACCGTGCCTGTAATATTAACAATAGTTTATACATGATTCATTTTGGTACATATTGTAATATTTGCTAATGAAGAAACCGTGTCTGCAATATTAACAATAGTTTATACATTATTCATTTCCGTACGGACTGTAATATTCATGAAGAAACCGTGCCTGTTATATTAACAATAGTTTAAACATTATTCATTTCCGAACAGATTGTAATATTTGCTCACGAAGAAACCGTGCCTGTTATATTAACATTATTTTAAACATTATTCCATTATTCATTTCCGTACAGACTGTAATATTCATGAAGAAACCGTGCCTGTAATATTATCAAGAGTTTAAACATTATTCATTTCCGAACAGATTGTAATATTTGCTCATGAAGAAACCGTTCCTGTTATATTAACATTATTTTAAACATTATTCATTTCCGTACAGACTGTAATATTCATGAAGAAACCGTGCCTGTAATATTTACAATAGTTTAACATTATTCATTTCTGTACAGATTGTAATTTTTGCTCATGAAGAATTCGTGCCTGTTATATTAACAATAGTTTATACATTATTCATTTCCGTACGGACTGTAATATTCATGAAGAAACCGTGCCTGAAATATTAACAATAGTTTAACATTATTCATCCAGCTGCATGGGGAAAAAGCGTGTAGCTTGTTTGAACGACGACTCTCAAATCCGATTTCTTGTGGCTAATCAGAGCTGCATTTTGTCGTTTGATACTTCATAGATCTGACCTCAGGAGTGACTTTGCCACTCGGTCACCCTTGTTCCCTTTATACCAAATTATTCAATCAAGTTATGTTTTATCCAATGCAGGTCATTATTCATCTCTTCATCATTCTTTTTGGTTAATTTGATGCATAAAAAAGACTATGTTCCAAAATATAGAAAAAAGTGATCCCTCAGAAGCATTAATCACAACAAAATTACAAGAGAATTGCAGACTCTGTCTTTTATTAAAAAAGACGATACATAGGTAAGGAAGCTTTATAATTAACTGAAAAGGTAAAGATGTAACCAAAATTAACTAAAATCGAACATACAGAAAATGTTATTGATTGGAATTACTCGCTTTGCACTTATGTTAAATTTTTATTTCCGAAATTATTGATCGATTAATTAAAATATGTTCATGACTAAAATCAAACAAAGTAACAATCAAACAGACCTGCTGTTAGAGCTGTATGTCACGAGACCAACTCTTGTTTTGTCTCTGCCGATCTGAAGGTCGCTGACCATGTTGTGGACAAACTGTTTCACACGCCGGAAGTCAATGTGACCTACACTTCCGCTAGAGTCGAGCAAGAATACGATGTCAGCACGTGCCTCGCATCCTGAATTTGGTTCATAGAAATGAATATTATTTGCGACGTGTTATAATCATGTTTAAACAAGAATATGTTTAATATATAAAAATGAAATTTATTAATACATATTTACAGACTTACAACTTCGACGTGCACATATGTAAAGTCAAATGTGTTTGAAAGTGATTCAATAAATTGTGGTAATCCACCGGAACATTTGCGTATTTTTTTACCTAAAATGTACTCTTTCTTTAAACATTTTTTTGCATTGATGAAAATGATACAAAATTTGAAATATGCTTTTTGTAATAACAGTAAAAACATATTTAATTGGAGTATATTGAAATATTTTACTTGTGTACGTGAAAGTTTTAGGTTGCTACGTTAAGACACATGGCGCTTACGCTTTGAATTACGCGAATGTCATACACAAATAGTACAAGAATATCAAGAAACATACATGTGTAAACAATAAATATAAATAAATAAAATACTCAACGGTTTTCGCAGAATTTACCAGCATAACCAATACCACATTCGCAATAGAAGTCACCGCCAAGACTTCTGCAGACACCACCATTACGGCACGGGCTCTCTGCGCACAAGTCTTCATCTGTAATAAAAAAAAAACATGTGGAAATATGACCACAAAATGTTTATACATGTTTTTTAAATATACCAGTTTTTACTTTTAACACGAGCAACATGATATATCGAATAACGTGCTATTGCCTTATGATTACGTTTTTATCCAACTTTGGCAGACATTGGGCAAGTTCTGTCCCTTGCAAACCAAACAGCTTAAAACTAATTGCAATATTCTTTTAAATAGACTGCATTTAATAAAAATACAATGAACGTTCCATACGCTATATATTATGCAAGAATTTATTTGTTATTGGGTTTTATATCACACCAACACAGTACAGGTCGTACGGCGACTTTTCAGCTTTACCTGCGAAGGAAGATCTCAATGTGCCCTTCCGTGCATTATTTCGGGCACATAATTAGAACCAGCGACGTTCCATATGCTAGCTGGATAGTTTTCTGACATGAAAGATTCCGGAGACGCTTTGGCGGCTCGAACAGCGGTTCAATCTATGAAAGTTTAACAATATGAACAACAACAACCACGACGACGACGACAACAACAACGACAACAACAACAAACTTGTACATACCGTCACACATGTATTCAACGACTCTATCTGCGATATCGGCAAGCTCCTTGGCATCGGTTGCGAACATGGCGGTCTCCCTGTACGGCATGGACACGGTAGATTCCATATATTCCTGTTCCTTATCCGTTAATCCAAGACCTGGATAAAAAAGACCAGAAATATTTAACAACTGTCTGGTACTTGAAGTCAAACAATATGCTATATGTATATGTATTTTAACATTCTTTGGCGATTTTAATATAGAACGAGTACATCTACCATACACAATAAATCAAAATGAAAATATTTAGTAAATGCTCATAGTAAATACTCATGTGCATAAAATGATGATACGGAGCACCTAAAGAGACATTATGCACACTTTTGTTTGGTGTCGCGTGCATTTTATTTGGTTAAAATGAAAACAGTTTCTTTTATACACAAACCTGTCGCGAATTTATGTTAATTTTTTGTCAAGACGAAATAACAGATTTAATAAACGTTATCTTGTTAGAAACACAAATAAAATTAAAGTGGCAACATGTAACATGTTATTTTGATTTTAACTACAAATACATATATTTCAAAAAAATTTATTTCGCCTAAAACGAATTATTTCTTAAAAAAAAGGAAATATGCGTTAGAACTAAAACGTCTGTTTGGTGTGTTTGTTTCATTGGGTTTTACGTCACACCGACTCAGAATAGGTCATATGGCGACGTTCCAGCTTTACTGGTGGAGAAAGACTTCAGGTACCCTTCTGTACAACGTCACTTTAGAGGCTTCGTACAGACGAGACCATTGTTCTAACTAGTTTAACATTCTAGATCTAGTCAAATGATATAAAACAACTCACCAACACCCAAGACTCTGGTTCCACGAAGTTTAAGTTTATTGGCCTCCTTTAAGATTTCTTCTTCTCCGCGCATGCTCTTTGTGACAAGTATGAGGTAGTCGGGCTTTTCACGGTCGGCACCGTTGCTGCTGAAAATTCTGTAATTGGCTTTAGCCAGGGCGGTGGCTGGTTCCGGATCTCCACCATGTACTCTGATACAGAAATAGAACATCGCTGTATAAACGGTCTAATCGTCTAAATATCTGTTGATAAATCTTAACTTGCCAATTGTAATTATTAAACATTACTGTGTGTCCTGTGAGATAGTGTGAAGTTGACTGAATCTACACCGACCAAATTTCACTAACAGCAAAATGTAAGAAACACTTTAACAACCGCCCTTATGTATACATGCTTTTTATTATTGCCAATTTTTCTTCATAAAAAAAACGAATTAAGCAGCTTTGCTAACATTATTTAAACAAAGTTTGACAATAAAAGGGCCACTAAGCGCGCGTCATCTTATTCATTCGTAAAGTCACAAATAATGTTTGAAACAGAAAACAATAAACAATATCACGTCATTTCATATCATAAATCATATTATGTATCATATCATATATATAATATCATTTATCATATCATATCATAACATTTCATATCATATCATGCATCATATCATATCATATATCATATCTTTTATGAATAATTATCTAATCTTATCTTATCTCATCAGAACACTTATCTCTATCTTAGTTGAATGTTTAATATATTCACCGGAGTCCAGCGATGCTAGATCGTACTGCTTTCTTTGATCTTCCTTCGTTGAAGTCGAGAGTGACCTTTGCCCAGTCTGTAAACTGAACCATTCCAACGCTGAACTCGTTACGCTTAAATCTCATCCTCTTGACGACGGAGCGCAAGAATCTGCGGACCTTTTTCAGCTCGCTTCTTGTGACGTAACGTGACGTATCAACAGCAAATACGACGTCACCCTTAGCAGTACAGCCTAAAACGTGAGGGAAATAACTGTTCGGATTATTTTGTCATAACCCGATAATGAGATTAAAAGTATTTCCCGAGGGATATGAAAGAATTTTGGAAAACTAGATAAATAATTGATTAAACAATGCTTCAACTAAGTTAGAAATTGTTTAATGAGTGAAAGCAAATAATGATAAATAAACGTAAAATGGTCAATGATCAAATGATTTACATACATTTGAACAAGCATGTGTTTTAGTTTATAGCTAAGCAATAGGGGATTATTTAGGCTTTTGAACAATAAAAACACATTTCTCATGTTGAAGAGAATAAAGCGTCGAACTGTTGCATTTCTAAATCACATCAACTCATGTACACTCAAATGCAAAGTAAGTATGTGATCACATACATGTAAAAAGGAGCAGGTAAGATCACATCACACGAAGTGCTTTTTGATAACGTATAACAAAGCGCTTGAATGATCCCACCAATCAAAGCGCTTGAATGATCACACCAAACGAAGCGTTCGATTGATCATTTTTCACTAAGTGCTTGAATGATCAAATCAAACAAAGTGCTTCTTTGATCACATGAAACGAAGAGCTTATTTAATCACTTTCAATGAAGCGCTTGATCAAATCAAACAATCCGCTTGAAAAACGTTTCAAAAGCAAATATTTCACACGCAAAATCGCTAAAGCTTGAACAATTGGTTGAATTAACTTCTTATTGTAGTACAAGGAAAATACAAGGCTAATAAAATACACATTAAATACACATTAAAGTCCAATGGAATGAGCCTGCAATCTTGAGCATAACAAAATGTCATTAATAACTGAAATTGGATCTTAATTTGGGGTTTTCGTCATTACGTCTAAAGACACTTTATAGAATACCACAATTTAAAGGACATATTATAGAATGGACAAATGATGAGCGACAAACACATTTTTAATGCGTTGTAGTAAAATATTGCACGGTTTGTCGTTTATAAAGTTGTTTGTCAATATAGGCCTTAAAAATATGTCCATTCTAACACGCGAACGCCTATAAAAGGGAAATATCCGGTCTTCTTTTCCTTCATAAGTCTTATTCCAAAAGCATTAGAATAATAGAAATATCCATAAAAGCAACAAGAACTGTCAGTAAGACAGCGTGCTTGAGTAATGTATTTGATAGTAAAACAAGAGCCAAGAAAAAAAAGTAAAATTTTCGATGTTTAAAAAGAGCCATTTTTCTCTTAAAATTCACGTAAAAGTTATGAACCTTGGAAATGACCTTCTATTTTTCTCTTAAAAACAAGTGTATGAAGTTTCAATCCATTCTTGTCAGTTATTTTAAAGATAGCAACATTCACAAAAGTGTGACGGCGACAGCGATACCGACGCCTAGCGGAATACAACAGCTCTCCCTATTCCTCGAATATTCGAGCTAAAAATTTATTGTTCATCAATTAACTTCTCTGTTGTCAAAAGGCCAGGCCATGCAATGAAAGCCGCGGCTTCAATCTCAATACACTGAGACGCATAGAGTTTTCTATACTTCTTAAATTTGAAAGTGGAGGTGTTAGGCTGATTTTACAAACAAGTTGGGTGATAACATATACGGCCTACCTCCTTTGCCCGAGTTATCTTCTGCAAGATTTTATAAATGTATCAAAACTAAAAAAAATATCTACATTTGCACTGTTTACGAATCAGTCTTCTTTCGTTACTTTATAATACACGCAATGCATGAAATAAAGTTACTGAAATTCAATTGACTTAAAAACTTATTAAGATTTTTAAATAACATATTTTTTCCCTTTTTTGTTACTTTTATATATTATATAATAATCACTTCTGATTATATCGAACTATTCAGTCAAAAGACAAAACTTTTATCAAAATAAATGTGTAACAAAATGGAATTAAAATTAACAAATTGGTATGGATGTTATTGATATGTCCATCAAACAATGTAGATATTCATATAGAGCCGCGTCATGACAAAACCAACATAATGGGTTTGCGACCAGCATGGATCCTAACCAGCCTGCGCATCCGCGCAGTCTGATCAAGATACATGCTGTTCGCTTACAAACTCTATAACAAGTAGAGAAGCTGATAGCGAACAGCATGGATCCTGATCAGACTGCGCGGATGCGCAGGCTGGTCTGGATCCATTCTGGTCGCAAACCCATTATGTTGGTTTTGTCATGGTGCGGCTAATATAGACTTAGAGACCATCAAAAATAGCTAAAATCACTGTAGTTCACTTCTTCAAGTATTTGCTACAGGTTTTGTGGAAGCACTTACGTTTCTGGCACGTGTCACCTGTGTAGCCGACTGGACAGTCACAGGTGTATCCAAATGGTTCGTTCATACATTTACCACCGTTGCTGCACGGGTTCTCCTTGCAGAAGTCATTTCCTGTTGAATGATATAAAAAAATAAGACATTAAATGAGCCGCGTCATGACAAAACCAACATAATGAGTTTGCGACCAGCATGGATCCAGACCAGCCTGCGCATCCGCGCAGTCTGGTCAGGATCCATGCTGTTCGCTTACCAAACTCTATTACAAGTAGAGAAACTGATAGCGAACAGCATTGACCCTGCTCAGACTGCGCAGGCTAGTCTGGATCCATGCTGGTCGCAAATGCACTATGCTGGTTTTGTCGTGACGCGGCTCAAATTTAAAGATGGATCTTTTCATGGATGATAAAGCAAAACTACCCTTAGGAAGCAATAATTTATACTTATGTATATATTCAGGTGTTCTTAAAGTTCCATACTAAAACTGGCTTGATATATTATTAATAAGTATTGTTCATGATCTTTGCTTACCATATTTCTTGAATGAAACTATTCGAGATTTTTCTTCATTAAAATAAAAACTGTAACATGATGAAATTATATAAAATTTATGTTTGTTATTTTTTTATATATAAATGTAAATGTTTATTACAAGTAATCTGTAAGAAACATACAATATTCTTGTGAAAATCGATTTTAGCACAGACGAAAAAGTAAAATTCAGAAGTGACCATGTAAATCAGAATATTACAGTTAACGGACGCTTACCTTCAAATAAGGGCTGCAGAATGGTATCTGTGTTTTCTAGAAGATTTGATTCATCACGGATTTCAATAACCTTAAGTCCCTGGTTCCCGGCAATATTGTCCACTTCAAATCTTTCCCTGAGATTAATTCCAATCGGAATGATTCTGACACCGGAAGAGATCGTAAGTTCCGCTTCCGGTTCCGTTCTATCAGCGTTCACATCGTTGGTACCATCTGTCAGGAAGTATGCAATATTTCTCGCGCCAGTACGATCCCCGTTTTGTCCGTTAAACATTTGGGTTCTCAATGCACGGAAAGCAGCCGCCATGTTTGCTCGGCCACGTGTATACGAGATCTGGTCGAGTGCTCGAACATTGGTCTCCGTATCGGCATACATACCTGTTACAGAAATAATTATTATTAGAATAAAAAGTATTTTTCTTTTGCTAATGCGATATTGTTTGCTTGACATGAATTTGTAATGTATAGAATATGTTTCTTTGCCAAAAATGTTTAAATATACCAGTATGCCGCTGTATTTTCATGACACTGATTTCTTTCTAACATTTTTATCACAGATACCTACAAATGGATGCCGGAGATTGACGAGGTTATTATCTAAGAACATGATTGGTTGATTGATTGGTTGATTGATCGATGGAGAAATTGACTGGCATTTTGACCGAGTGAATGATTGATTGTTCCATTAATTGAGTAAATGATTGACTCAAATATGTTTTCATTTGGTAAGTACATTTGCATCATAATTAGGTAACTTTTTATTTGGTTGATATTTTTTTACTTAATACATTGATTGATTCATCGAATAAATGATTAATTGAAGTAATACAGCGAGTACATTGTTATTATTGACTTGCTTACCAAGGTTAACTTGTACCATCGCAGCAGAGCTGTACTTCAGGAATCCAATGTTGACGTCACAAGAATCTTTATTCATTTCACGTACCAAGTGTTCAGCGTATTCCTTTAGTCTACCAAAATTGTATTCACCAACAGTGTTTGAGGAGTCGAGTACAATCACAACGTCCGCTGGTTCTCCGCATTCTATTTGTTAAATAAGATTGAAAATACCGTTCATGATACAGAAAACGTGATAAAAGAAAAACGTAATTAACGAGAAACGTGATAAAAGAGGAACGTTATAAACGAGAATCGGCATAAACGAGAATCGTCATAAACGAGCAATCTGATAAAGGGAAAATCGTCATAAACTACAATCTTTATAAAAGGGCAGACTATTTAGCAGTAAGTTATTGATATATCGCTTCAAATGGTTGATATTATAATCATGACAATCTCAAAATAGTAAGTTCAAGGCCTATTTAGGTCATTTTAATATGTAGTTTTACAAGCTAAATTCAATTCAATTATGTTTACAGTAAAAATAATATGTTCCAAGTATAAAGAAAAGATTAAGTACAATATGAAAAAAATGTTTCATTGAATTTTAAATATATCCATGTAAATGTAATAAAGAAATTTGTTTACGTTTACTACAGGTATCACCGAAGAAATCGTCTGGGCACAAACAAACAAAGCTTCGAATACCGTCCATGCACACGCCGCCATTTTGACATGGCTTCTTCCTGCAAAGGTTCGAGTCTGAAAAATGCCAAAAACAAAGGTTCGAGTCTGAAAAATGCCAAAAACAAAGTTGATTTTCTGGACATATTCTTAAGTTTCTAACTAAATAATATAAGCATCGGAAAAGACGCTAAACTCACCAGCAGCAAAAAGATGTTAAATACATAAAGCCAACAATTTAAAAGTAAACGCAGCACAATTATTGGTTTAAAAAAAGCCCCAAAACACAAAAACTCTCTTCCACGTAAAGTTAGAAAACAAGAGTTATCGGTAGGACAGCGGGCTCGACTATTCTAAGTGCTTGATAATAAAACAAGAGCCTGGATAATGAAGCATGTTCTGGGTTCAAAAGGGACTAAAGTTCTATCAAATTCAATGTAAGAGTTGTGGGCCTTGACAATGACCTCCTTTAATGCTTTCAAATAAGTGTGTTAAGTTTCAAACCATTCCTGTCAGTTATTTTTGAGAAAACCAACCAAAAAGCAAAACCACAACCCCAACCAAAAAAAAAAAAAAAAAAAAAAATAAACAAATAAACAAATAAAAAAATAAATAAATAAATAAATAAATAAAAAACAATCTTAACTAGAGACGGTCGAAAATTCGAGCTTATAACTAATTAAATCTGTATCACTTAAAAAAGTCCATACCTTTATGTATCTTTTTATATATACTACACAATACGTATTTTTTTGGCATTTTTTTCAAAGAACTAAAATTTACATTGAATACTAGGCTCATTTCAAATTCACTAACAATATTTACCTGTACATAGTGGACTGATCAGTTGGTTCTTTAGTTGGTTCAGTGACTCATAGTTCTGTACATAAATCAAATTCTCGCTAACCGGTGGTGATGTTAGTCCAATCAATTCGCTAGTCTCCGACGTAAATCCGACGGCAACGGTGATAATGGTGACACCGGCGGCTTTAAGTGCCCTTGCCTCTGGAATGGTCAGCTCGTGGTTGACGTTGGACTGTCCGTCGGTAATAATGACAATGACATTGGGAACGTCTGTAATAAAGTACCGGTCAGTTAGTTAGTATTCTTTAACTGCTGTACGTAAAGCTATTAAAAACACATGTATTACAAAATCACAAAAATTTATTGGTCAAACGGAAATAAAAGTGTATTTTAATATAACACTTACCATTTAAAGATCATGTGACTCAATTTTTATGGTTTTATATCATAAATCTGATGCTCAAATGAAGATTTATCAATATTACAAACTAAAGAAAGCATTATTTGTAAAGATATTACCGAATTTACATTTCATGTAAATAAAGGGAGGTAATTAGAAATCTTTTTTCGAGAAAGTCTATGCCAATTTTTTTCAATAAGAAATGAATGCGTAGATTTTAATGATTACTTATAATGTGGATAAACATGTCTTTGGAACAAAAGGTGAATTGCAGAAACATTTTTTCATAAAAAGATCGATGGAAAAAAAAATAAGATAATGGTTTTAGATTACCTGGTCGATCCCCTGCCGTCATGGTGAACATCTCCAAACGAGCTCTTCTCAGCGCATGCGCAGTGTGAGTATTTCCGTACATGTATACCACCTACAATGATAAAACGTTTATGACGATAAACATTGAATTTTTGAAGAAAAAAAAAATTCAACGTAGTAAAAAGGTAGTGACGAGTTAAATGTTTTACCAATGTACATGTATCACACATTTATAAATCAAGCAAGGTTGTGTGAAAAAATGACTAAAATTTTATTAAGCTACAGAAAAATCGTATTTTTTATACATATTTCAAATGAGTAAGATTTATTTAATTCCTAAAATTTACACTTTAACCATCAAAGCATGTAACAAAGTTGTAAATATAAAAATTCTTTAAACGTAAGAAGAACACTGTATTCATATTCAGTGATTTGTATTTTTTACCAAGATTCTGCGCAGTTTTTTTGACAGGCCCATTCAGCCAAGAAAGCAAACTAGGTGAAGTAAAATCAATCAAATATACTCAAGAAAGTGACGTCATGAAAGTGCGACAATTATCAATACAAATAGAAAAAGACAAATGCATCGAAATCACCAAACGTTATGACAAACGTAACACAACATATGACGTCACACAACGTATGATGATTTAACACAACTAATGACGTAACATATTCATAAAACGTTTCATAAGTTTGTGCACGTGATAAAACAATGATCGATATAAACACTTGATGAAGGAACTAACGCTCAACTGTACAGATATACCGATATTGCAAAATGCATTTATAGCATGTCCAAAAGGACAATCCAGGATATTTGAAATTAAAACCTGCCACCAACATACACATGTCATGAAGATTTGGTTAAATGAACTTTTCGAGAAGTACAAAGTAATCATCATAATTATATTTTTAAACGAAGGCCCCTAAAACTTGTTTTTCCAAACAAGAAAACCCTCAGACTTTCTCCTAATCCCAAAACTTTAAATGCTAAGCGGTTTATAGATCGGAAAGCTGACAGTCCGTCCAAAAATATAACATTTTCAATTGAAATTTACTTTCATCGAGACCGCTTTTCCGGCCAATTTACATTTTGGTATGCATACTTGATTCTTTTAGTATCTATTCTATTTTTATCACCTTTTATTCTATCCCTGTTTAACTGTTATGCTTTAAAGGGACTCCACTGAGTTTTTTTACATGACAGGACTAAAGACATTTGCTTGGGATTTGTACAACATTTAGTGAAGGACTTGATCAATAACTTTTGTGCAAATTTTCTGGTCATTTCGTCTCACCGTTTTTCCAAAATCGTAATTTTAATTGTGCAAAATGGCCCAGAAATGAAAAGTGATGCAATGCTTTTAACTCAAATCGGACTAAGAATCGTCAGGAGCAAGCTGTTGTTTCCTTGAGCAAGAAACTTAACATTCGTTGTTTAGTACTGGTTGGTTCCTGGAATGGATTCGATAGTGTTTCAATAAGCTTATAGCTTCCAACACAATCGAACTAAAATAAATTTGTATAAACTAAGAATCGCACAAAATACGATTTTCAATTTCTTTCTGAGCATGTTTTTTATCGTTTGCATATTTTTCCATTTTATTTTAAGTGCTTCATTTAATTTTTGTATGAATTTTAAATTCTATGTTTTGAAGCTTTTTAGGCTCCGTTGAGCTCCTTTAACAAAGATTAATATATCAAGTTCACTGAACCAAATATTCACTGATTTAACAAAGATTAATATATCAAGTTCACTGAACCAAATATTCACTGATGAGACATATATAAAACATGAAGAACAGATAAAAAGCTGTGATTTATAAAGCAAGTGTTCGTGTAACATCCCCCTACCGGCTCGGCTGCTGAAGAGGTGCCATTCAAAGTCGGAAGTATAACTTCTGTCTATACGCATGCGTGAAAATAGGGAAATGATATATTTTTTACAGATCATGCATTACATACTCTTTGAAAATCCATATACATGTTCAAAGGCAGAAATTTATACATAAAGAAAATAACTTGTGAAAGCTACTTTTATAATAGATTAGACGTGAGAAACGGTTTAAATATACTTGGCATCGAATAAGAAAATACTTTACAAATGTACATTAAAGGCACATAATGCCGCAGAAATGCTTTTATTTTCATGTTTTGAAAAGCTTTTTACTTTTGGTTTCCTGTTATAGTTATCAAAATATACTGATTGGCCAATCATCTGAACCATCTTTTGCTTCTTTGTTTTTCTTTTTTTTTCGTGAAATTATAGTGATTTATTGTATGGAAGTGAAAAACCTACTTTCTTTCCATCTTGCGATTTTTATGACATACAATTTCGCATTCAGAGCTAGTTTCTTCGGCGTTATAAACGCATGTTCCCATTTAAATACACAAATCTGAGTCATAATGTGCCTTTAAATAAATGCATTTTATCTCTTTACAAAATTTATTTCCAACTATGAAATTGATATTAAATGAAATTTAAACAAGAGGTCATAAGACACGAGTTTTTGACATTTTATATAGTATTTTTTAATACAAGAATCGAATGACAGAACAACACTTTATTGGGTTTTATTGTCATTAATTGGAGTTTAGAAAAGTGAATAAATATAACACAGTGTATCTATATAGTAAATGTAGCTTTCACAACTTACTTTAAGCCCAGGACATCCCTCCTTCACTCAGTTTTAATAACAGAATATTCTGAATTTTTAATGGTAAAAAAAATGTATACCTATATATACAATTTTATTCAATATCGTAACGTTTATTGTACGATAAAAATGTGTAAGATAATAAAATTATTTTTGTAAATTTGAATTCAATGGTCAAAAATCACATGGTAGGGTAATTGCGCGTACATCTAAATGATTAATTGTGAACATTAAACATTGATCTTTCGATGCACAGCGGTGTTGTGCTCGGGTTTTGTACTGAACTGGGTGAAGGAAAGAATATAGGCCACATGTCCAAAACCAGATAGTTCATACACAGTTACGCTGTAAAAGTTCTGAACCAAACCTACCCGCTGTAAACAACAAAAAATATAACAAAATAATTAAAACAACTTTCAAAGTAAACAAAATAAAGAAAACTGAAAATAATAATATAAATATGGATATATATAACCGGAAGTTACGTCATCAAATCTTTGCCAAAGAGAAGTGAAAACTTATCAACGATCTTTAACAATAGCAAGAGCATTATCGGTCACACTAATCACTTAAAAGGGAGTTTGTCTATAATGGAATGTATGTAAAACCATTAATAAATATGTTGACAGTATCTAGTATTACACGTGACAACAAACCAGGAGATAATTATGGCTGTTGTTGGTTAGTTTGAAATACACGAACTGACATATCTTTATCTAGCAGGTAATTAAGTGCTCTAGATCAAAATATTATTAACATCATAACAATGTCCATACGAAGTCACTTAGAACTATATTAACATATTTCTTTAAGAAATGATTCAAAAGAATATTCAAATGATGCATTTCTATTGTTTGTATCTTATTTAAAAAATATGTCCATTGTAGACCAATACACTTTAAGGGAGGCAACTCTACCCTGACGCTTATTACATTACGGTTGCGACTGACTGGAAAGGGACACAACTGATAATTATTACATTTAAGTTTTCTCAAATAAATGAACCAAAAGGTCATGTGTTAATTTTAAATATTTTTCAACATTTTGTCCATATATTCAGTGCAAGAAGTCCCTTTTAATACTGTAATAGTTAATATTGAGTTCAAAATCAAGTATTGTCATAAAATAAAATATATACAACAAACTAAAAAGGTAAGTAAGAAGTAATAAAAGAAAAAAAAAACTAGAGAATTTCTAAATAAAACTTTCTAATAATAATTGATAAATAGATTCTAAAGATTATAATTATTTAACCACGACAGTCCATGCAGGATGAAATAAAACACAATCAATTAATTTGTCACAAATTATTTATAAATAGAACAAATTGTGACGCTGTTAACCATTTGCAATCAGTATAGAACAAGGCCATTCAGTATAAACCTTGCTGTCTGACGTGGCACTTTACTATTGGTTGCTCAATTTTTATTTCATACTGAGAAAAAAATCCGTTGAATTTTCAATGAACTGATAGACATATCAATTTTGCAAATTCAGCATGTAAAGAACTAACATTTGTAAGGTCAATTTTCTTCACTGTCGTTTACAGTTCGCTTTCAGTTTATCTACTTGTTATAGAGTTGGTAAGCGAACAGCATGGATCCTGATCAGACTGCGCGGATGCGCAGGCTGGTCTGGATCCATGCTTGTCGCAAACCCACTATGTTGGTTTTGTTGTGACGCGGCTAAAATATCTTTTTAAAGGCTAAAATCTCATCAAACAAGGGCACCGCGTGTGATGCTAACGCTCGTCTGTTTTAAAAAAGAAAATAACACCAAAAATAACACAGAATTACGCCCCTTGTCTCAAAACTGTCCCTTGTCAAGAGGAGCTAGTAGTCCAAGTTTCATGTTGATTGATTGTAAAATGTTTGAATATTAATTAGGCTTAATTCTTAATTTAGGTTGTTGCACGACAACGACGAAAACGACAACGCAGCGATCGCAATAGCTCGACTTTTCCTTCGAAACAGACGAGCTAAAATTGAAAAGGACCGCGGGATTAGGATTGCACACGTTTATTTAAAGAAAAGTGTATTACCTGTTTTAAAGCAGCCTCCATGTCGGCTTTGTCGTGAAACTCGTCCAGGTTGAAGTCTAGTCTAGAAGTATCGCTGAAGGTGGTCACACCGACTCTAAATCGACCATTGTCAATGTCAAGGCCATCAATGGTGGCGTAGGTGAAGTTCAATACCCGGTAGAAATTATCTTGTCCCACGGAACCGCTAGAGTCCAAAATGAACACAATATCACCGGAAGCTGAGCAGACTGTAAAAAAAACAACAACACACACACAAAGTGCGTCTTATCGCTGTCTCATATTTCACGTGATAGGGTTTAAAGTTAATAATTGTCAGCCGAAATTCAATAGCAATCCCCACATCCTTGAACAGGGCCTGATATAGCGCAGGAAATTTTACCGAAAACGCGTGGAGTTTATCCACGCACTGCAGCCCTGACTGTGTATAAATGTACCGAAATTTGAAAAAAAGAATTCCCTCCGCATGACACATTTTCTGTATATGTTTTACAACTTTAACATTAAAAGAAACCGCGAAGACAATTCTGAAAGGGTCGGACAAAACCGGTGGAAACGACTGACTTCTAATAAATTTACATATAATAGCTATAATTACAAAATGATCTTACCTCCTGGTGCACCGGTTGTAGTGGGTGCCTCAGTTGGACAAATCGAAGGTCTCGGGGACCCTGAAATAAATAGCACATTTGATGTAAATAGCATGTCAATATTAATCAATGTTTATGGATTGTTTATCAAAGCCAACTGTACATTTCATGTAAATAGCATAACAACATAAATCTATGTTTATCGATTGTTTATCAAAGCCAACTGCACATTTCATGTAAAAAGCATGTCAACGTAAATCAATGTTTATAGATTCTTTATCAAAGCCGATTCTACATTTCACGTTAATATTATGTCAACATAAATTTATGTTTATTGATTGTTTATCAAAGCTGATTGCACATTTCATGTAAATAACATGTCATTTCGTAAATCTATGGTTATACAGATCGTTTATCAAAGAAGATTCACAGTACTTGTAAATACATTTCATTACGTAAATAGGTACTTATAAAAATAATAGTTTTTTTAATACTAAAATTCATCAAACAGATAATCAAATACACGTTTAATCAAAATATTCATGAGACAGTAAAAAGAACTCATTCTTGACGTTATTCTGTCAGTACGAATTTCTTATAAACGAGCATCTTTCCATATTTACTTTGTACCAGCTTTGCATTAATTAAGCGTGCTCTGGGGAAAACTACCGAAATGAAACACAAACCATTTTTGAGTTGATATAACATAAGACCAGGCTTTTCTCCCATTTCACTCTCGGCTCGTATTTCCATCTCATAGTCAGATGTTGGTAAGGACGAGTGGGCATCTAGCTCGGACTTGTCTGGTATCTCTCCGAACCCGACGGCAAACATACCCACTTTGTTTCCCTAGGAAAACAAAACACGACATAAATCGCGCTTTTACGTCATCATTACTCAAAACAATATTTAAAATCCATACGCGCAACAATATAGTTTGAAACAATTTAATTTATTAAAAACAAAACCTGATAAAAATGTTAACAAAAATTTTACAAAATAATCTTTCTTTTTTGAAAAACATCAAATTTGGCGTTTCATGAAAACACAGATGTGTTCTTTATATTTTTTAACTCTATGTATAGAAACAGTAGCGAGACGTGACGTGGTCACTGTAAGGAATGGACTTGAATATAGAATATCTTTGCATGGGACTTAACAATATTAATCTGAAGTATTGATAAATAATATTGCCAAATATTAAAGTTGCTCTTCATCAGTACTTTATGCACTTTGATTAAACATACCTGGAGTGTACATGCTTCGGTTGCAGAGTCGAATGGGTTGTTACTAGGGCCGCCACCTGTTAGGTGGATGATGTAATTTTCGGCAAAGTCACGGTCGCCATTTTGTGGTGTGAACATACGGCTTCTGGCATACTTGAAGGCTGATGCAGTGTTTTTGCTCCCTGGTTTGTAGTCAACCTGCAAATCAAAATAAATTTACTCTTAATTCTCAAAAATAATTTTGTTAATACATCATCATCTTCATCATCATAATCGACATCATCATCATCATCATCGACATCATCATCATCACCAACACCACCACCAACCATTATTATCATCTTAATAATAATAATAATAATTATCATCATCATCATCTACTTCTTCCTCTACGTTGACGACGACCACTTTTATTTCTTTTCTGTGATCATTTTGATAATGAACAAACAACAATAATGGTGATTTACCACATACAAAATGTATATGTAATTCTATGACGTCAGCATTACTAGAATATCACACTTGCAGTTATTAAAGATAGAAAAAAAGTATTTCAGAATACAAAACTTCATGGAAATATCTACATTTTTAATTATATAATAAATTATGTTAACTTACTCTGTCGATTGCAGCAAGGACATCGGCTTTGTTATCGTTGTCATTAAGATCAAACTGTCTATACGCACCATGACTGTATGTTAGATATCCGACCCTAGAATATATAAAAATTAAAAAAAAAATGAAAAAATAAAAAAGATCCTCTATGACCAGCGACGTAACTCAGGCCGATAGTTTGGTACATATGACCTAGCCGGCGCCCAGTATTAATAAAACTAAAATCATCATCCTCAGGAGTCACGTACATAACCCACAAGTGTCTATGTCATATACCACCTTGTACATCATGCACTTATCAGGGAATATGTTAGAACTTATTATAGGTATGTTTATGCAGTAATAATCTGTAAAAAAAACTTTCCGCGACTTGATTTGTACGTTCAATGTTTAAACAGTACAGTATTCAATGACTTTATATAAAAAACCAACATATAAAAACAAACAATCAAAAAGAGCAATCAGTTTTGAAACGGTGGCTTTGAAAACAAAAAAACATTCAACAAAAACAGAACGATTCACAAAACGTATACATGTAATATTCGTAAAATTTCTAAACGATGAAAGTTATATAAAAATTATACATACCATGCTTTTCAACAAGACAGCTTGATTTAATAAACACATATCAAATATTCTGTTACAATCAATATTATATAGAAAAAAACAACATGAATTGTACAGTCAGGATGAAATGCTGTCTGCTAAATTAACTGTCATACAAATCAATCGTTCATCCATCCATCACAAAACTAGAACAACCGGTTCACCCATACATTTGACACATGAGTTCCCCTGCTTTTCCTTTAAGCATAACGTACTCATTTTTGTTATACACGTGTAATATAACGGTTCTTCTGTTTTGTGATGAGTGTATATAAATGGATTGTATTGGTTTAATTTAGTCACGTGATAAAAAGATGTTATTTTATCCAACTGGCCACAAAGCAAATGTTTATTATTCTTAGGACAAAACTTTTTTTTAAAACAATAAATGTCAGTAAATCAATATACATTTATAATGCTTCTCATTTTCAATGTTAAAACTTTTAATGCCTGATAGGGGAGCGGCCTAGTGGTTAATGTGTCTGTCTATCAACCCAGAGATCATGTGTTCGAGCCCTACTCGGGTCACGACCATGTTTCTTCATATGACACCAGTACTGGTTGGTTCGACTCGATTCGAAAGTAATTAATATAAGTTGCAAGAACTTGTTTTGCTATTGAGCTTAAATAAAATGTTTAAACCAATGTCTGGTAAATATTATGTAGTTATTTGATAAAATAACTAATACGAGTAAGTTGCCCGCTTAATAACATTAATTTTCACGAACGCGTTTATTTTTTAATTTTATTTATTATTATTATATTTTTGTTTGGTTTGGGTTTTACGTCACCCCAACACTGTAGAGGTCATATAGCGACTTTCCAGCTTGACTGGCAGAGGAAGACCTCAGGTGCGCCTCCGTGCATTTTGTCAAGCACCCATCGACGTTACGCAAACTTGCTGGATAGTTTCCACATATAAAATAATACAAATTTCCCGGCTTGATCCGAACCCACAGGGGCATGTGGTTTAATGTTAACGACCTTAAAAACCAGATAAGCCTTTAAGAATTAATGGTGACATTTTGTAAAGTATTTTATATGGATTAACTCAATACAGGATTGGAGCAGTACCTCAGTACTTTAGACGCTTGCAGAAATCATGATCACAAAATAGACAAATATCGTTTTTTTTTTCGCCGAGTTTTACATCTTCCATTCATTATTATACATAAATCGGTGTGAAAAGATGAATTAGACCTTTAATACTTCATTCCAATGGGTGAAAATGCAAGATTTTGGCATTTTATCATTCAAGCGCCTTTTCCGGTATATACCGGAATACGGTATTTAGTGTGGTGCTCCAATCCTTGTTTTAGTCTCACTCATTTTATATACACACCTGAATTCCCCATCATCTATACTCATTTCTCTGATAACGTTCCTGGCATAATTATTCATCCATGAGAACTGGCTTGGACTGACGGAAGAATCTAGTATAAAGATGACGTCATATCCGGAAGTTCTCAACGGTCCTGTAATATAAATAGAGGATATTGAATGAGTGTAAGTTCAATACTAAATTTATTGCACGAGTTGAATAAAATTATATTATGCGAGCCTCTGGCGAGCATAATATTATTTTATTCAACGAGTGCAATAAATTCAGTAATGAACTTACACGAATTTAATATTCTATTTATCACATACCAAAATTAAGACTGTTTAAAGTGAAATAAGAGTCATTTTACATTGACGCGCCTATAGTATAACGCTAACATTTAGCGCGTCTTTACACTATGTTTGTATAACGCTAATGACGTCACGTCAAAATATATGCACGGCCGTGCAATACCATATTTACTGAGTCGCAAAATAGGCACGGGTATGTGATAAATTTCAATAGTTTTCGTTACAAAGTTTTCGCACTGAGAAAAATATTCTTTCGGAATAAAATGTAATGTACTTTTGTTATGCATTTTGTTTTCTTGGCAGTTTTCATCTCTTTATTGAAATTATAAATAACACAAATTATAACGTTCAATCCCCCCTTTTTATTTTGGTAAGCAATAGGGTGTGTTCAAATATAACTTTCTTATGAAAAGATACAATGCAAATGGTGGTTCCCGTGCATGCTTATCATTAGATTCAGAAAAAGTCGTTTCTATATTTCTACACACATATCTATAGATGGATAATATGTATAATAATGATATAGATAGATATATGTATAATTAAAATTATTATATTTTTTACTTGGTTTAACAACAATTCGAGCTTCATCAGCTGATGTCTGTCTTGATCTGTCACTAACAGACAATCTGGCAACATATTCTCCTGCCTGTAAGTTGTCCAAAGTGAGGGTGTCAGTTCTTTCTCCCGACATCCTTACGCCGCGTGTATTACCGGAAGTGAGCGTCCATCGATATGACGTAATACCGATATCGTCCGTACTTCTACTTCCGTCAAGGATAACAGAATCTGTTGGAAGCTGGATTTCGTAGTCTTGACCAGCGTTTGCGATTGGTGGTTCGTCTGGGGCTTAAATAGAATTGAAAAAAAACGTCGGTAAAATTAACACACACGACACGCCACTTGATAGAAAAGAAGAAGAACAACAACAACAAAACACATCCGAAAGAACATCCTTTTACTTAATAATTATTTGTAATATGTACATTTTAGAAGCTCAGATGAATCACCCTTTCGGATCGGTTTGAACTTTGCACTATAAATTTTTTATTGAAATTTTACCATTGCCTGAAAATCTAAAAGATATAATCAATGGGTCATTAATTTAAATGCTGTCTAGCGTTAAAAGGTCAAGAACAGAAATGGCTTAGCTTTATTCACTGTCTTAAATATAACTTTTAAATAAGATTTCGTAAACGTCTAATAAACAATGGACTGTAAACAATAAAGCCACAAAGAGTTTATTTTTTTACCTGGAAGAACCGTGATTCTTGCACTGTCGGAGTCACTTTGTCCCTTTTTGTCCTTGACCGTCAATGTAAAAACATAGGATCCTTCTTTCAGGTTATCAGCCGTGAGTTTTTGGGTATTATCTCCCCTGAGTCTCACTGACCTATCCCTGGGGCTGGTTAGTTCCCAGTCGTACTCAACGATACCCTTATCATCTGAACTTCTCCTGCCATCAAGAACAACACTGTCTGTTGGTAAGCGAATCGTCTGGTCATCTCCAGCGTCAGCGCGTGGTGGAAGATCCGGTTCTATAAATAGATTTGATTTTCAAAAAAAAGTTTTATGCTATCAACATTTCATATTTATACAAAGTTAACTTTAAATGATTGCTCCTCAACTGTAACAAAACGGACATAACATTTGATAGAATCAGAGTATGAAATGTTGTTTTATGATTTTAATCAATTTGATTAAAACTTACCCGGAAGCACTGTTATAGATACGGTATCCGTGTCACTTTGACCCTCAGCATCCACAACTTTCAGTTCAATTTCGTACTCGCCTTCTTTCAAACCCGTCAATTCAAGGAACTGGTTATCAGTTAGGGCAACGTTGAGCCTTGGTCCACTTATCTGACTCCATACGTATTCCACGATTCCGTTGTCGTCTGTACTCTGCGCGCCGGAAATCAACACCGTGTCATCCGGAAGTTCAATCGTCAAGTCTTTTCCCGCGTTCGCAACTGGCGGCTCGTCTGCGTGAGTATATACATTAAATAATCAATAATAGAAACAGTATCACGTGATCCAACTGTTGATATCATTACTAAAATTTCTAGATAAATTATTTCATAATTGTGCAAAGTACATAGATGTGGCAGATTAAATTGATATATTATATATGCGACTGTATAAGCACGAACTAAAGGGAGATAACTCGATTTTATTCAGATTTCTAAAACGTTGAAGTAAATATGAAACTGTGTTGTAAATGTGCTGAATATTTTAGAAGGAGAACATATGCTTTTTATTAAACCTGTACGAAAAGGTAATGACTAAATGTACATTTTTTTTTATTTTTTTTACAAGTTATTCCCCTTTGAACTACATTTTTACAATTTGCCTTCAAATATAGTGAAAAATGATTGGTTAATCAAAATGTTTACGAATTTGAAAAAACGCATAAAATTAAAAAAAATATATATTATGAAAAGAAAAATATTGCGTATGTCTTTACGTTATTACTCCGTTTTCCCGCAAGTAAAACATCTAGATTTATTACCCAAAACAGTTTAGTGTCCTTAAAAGTAGATATTATTCAAACAAAACATGCAGCATGCAAATTAATGTAAATCACTTCAATTTAAAAAGAAAATCCTAACATGCAAAGGGTTATCAATATATACTTACACCGCAAGACCGCTTTTCGCGCAATAGATGCATGCAAAAATGATTTATAAGCATTTGAATTGAATATTATTTAGAAATATAATTAAACTTCCAGATATTCAGACTACTGCAGGCTCTTGCACAGCTTTTAACTTTTAAGATGCTATTGAAATACAATTTATCATTTTTTTATAAATTGTATCTTTGTCGACTTTACGGTCATTCGATACTAAATGCAAAATACATTTTATGCATTTATTTTGGAAATAAATTACTATGTACAACGCCTTCAGCAAGACCAAGATTTTTTTTTATTAAAAACGCATAAGTCGTCTTTGTTTATATATATTTTTGAATATATATTTTTGGAAGTATAACATACCTATAATGATAACAAAACACTACAAAATCATGCAAAAAGTTTAAAATATAGAATTTCTCTTTTTGTTGTCTCTATGGGTGGTTTAAAAAGAGAAAATATGACTACAAGTTTTTGAAATTTACAGATTAAATTCAAAGATATCATGCTGATAAAAATGTATTAAATTTTTACATAATGCATAATATTATAATGATTGCCTTTGAAACAGAACGTTACGTGAGGTGCAATAAAAAGGAAGACTGCATGCATTTAAGGGACAATGCAAATTATTAAAGTGTTTTATTAGCCGTTCAACAGTCAGTAATTATCGCCATTTTTTATCAAGGTTGAAATTTAGAAAATATTTTTAATCTTGTTAAAATGAATCTGAATGTACAGAAATGTTATAAACATCGAATAAAAAACTCAAATATCAAAAGTAGGCAAATAAAGATAAAATTGAGTAAGAGAAGATGTAAACAAAACAAAAGAAGAGATATAATAAGAGAAAATAATTGATAAATAAAGAACGCCCTACCACCTGTGTTAATTTGTGCTCCGTATTAATTACATGTATCAAACATGGCTATGTGAATTTCTCAACCAAAGACCCGTAATGACAAGTGGTAGTTCATACGGATTTTATTTTTGCCTTAAACCGGTGCTAGGGGGCATAAGAGATGGTGAACTTTATTTCTGAACAGACACACACATGTACCCGCTAAAACACAATTTAAATCAAGTTCTCCATCTGTTGCCATTGCTCTCGGAAGACTTCCCCCTTTTTAGTATATTAACTTAACTGTAACAACATGACACTGTCTAACTTATGACACCACTTGAGTAGACTAGCAGCGACACATGTCACGAGCACCTGTTAATGACGTTGAATATGGTTTTTTTTACAGTAATTACCGATTGTCATTACGGATCAATAGTCATTAATGTGGCATTTCTGTTAAAAATAGTCAATTTTAATTTACCTTTTTTTACAAAAAACACAACAGCTTCCTATTTTGTTACAATAAAGTATCGGAGAAAATTGGCATTTACAAATCATTAAGTAGACAAGTGTACGTAATGACTCAAGTACTGATAGCATTTATCTTGCTTCTATTCGTTGTGGTTAAAACAGATTTGTGCAGAAATTCAACACTCTCGTATTCTAATTGTTTAAGATACTAAGCAATGAGCGTATTTAATTTTTAATTGAACAATGTCACGTGACCACTAGGGCGGAGCTAACTTCTAATAGACAACGTTGATTCATTCTTACACAAGTAAATGCCAGTCTTCAACGAATACCAGTTTCACATTATACCCCACCAATCCGTTAGTCAAATACCTTTTTTGCATTTTCCTTTGAACATTTGCTCGGGGATAGCACCAAGTTGATCAAAATTACTAACAGGAAACGAATTTTCAGAGGCTGGTTCTGACGCAATACTTAAAATTTCAGTGGTATCAGACAGACCTATTCCAATGGTATACATGTGAATACCACTTGCCCTAACCTTTCTTGCTTCACGAGCAACTTTCCTTGCATTTAGGTCACTGACACCGTCAGTAATCAATACTGCGTAATTTTTCACATTAGGTCTGTCACCCATACTCCTACGAAACATTTTAGTCCTCATAGTTTTAAGAGCGTCAAAAATATTTGTTGAACCATGCGTATAATAAATATTGTCAATTGCTCTAAGAATATCGGTTTTTATTGTAAAGGTGTCCAAATGAAATTTCATATTTGTATCGTCACTAAAAATAGCAAGGCCAATTCGAACACTTCCGGTGTCAATATTGGCTTCTCTGACAAACAGCTTCGTGAGACTTAACATTTTTCGAAAGTTAGGGGCGGTTACGCTTGAAGAAGTGTCCAATAAAAACACAACATCTGCATTGGAAAACCCACAGGGCGTGTCTGAAATTTCAAGCATTCGCAATAGGATATAGGGAAGTCAACAGAAGAAAAGTATGAAATAAGTGGTCAAGTAAATATGTTATTTAGCAAATATAAGCAGAAAACAAAATAGCAAATGATTATAACACAACTGCTGAAATAAAACATAAAAAAACTGGAAGTCTACAGGAAACAATTTTAGGTGTAGACTTGGACCAAAAATGAAATATGTTTGTTTTTTTGTCCCAGGTGTAGGCTAGTTGTAGAACACGTACATCTTCTATTAAGATTTCATAGTGTGTAATATAAATTTATTTTTTGAGATGGGGGTTTAGGAATAAAATGGCGTTTAAAATGTGAGCCGGATATATTTCTAGAAAATTAAATTAAATTGGAACACACTTGGATATTTCAACTATATAATATATTATATTCTAGTGTTTTGTTAGGTATTAAAAATAAAACTTAGTGCTAATTGGTTAATGCTTAAGGCAGTGTAATATCTACAAAATTAGAAATAAAAACTACAATATATTTATGCGTGCGTTACATAAGTGAAATTATGTTACATATACTAAATGAATAAAATAAATGTAATATCGTTTTTCTTGATCCCGCAGTTAATGAATTCAAGTGCAAAAAAAAAAATTATCCGGATTTAAAAATTTCTTGATATGTTTTAATTAAAAATTACAAAGATAAATTATTTTCAACAGTAAATTAACTTACAGTAATTGTATTTTAGAAGCGCAAAGAATATGTCTATATTAAATTTCGTTAATCGTACTGATGTCGCATAACGATAATGCTATGCAGTGAAATAATAAAAATTCATTTATTATACACTTATCAATGTAATATTGAGAAAAATTGATGAAATGAAATGAGTATTTACATTTTTCGTCTTTTTAATGTAAAAGTTTATTTTTTACTGCAGTGAAATATATTTTCCATAGTTTCACTGGTGTCTATTTAATACACAACATTAGAGGAGAATTCTTAAGAATTGTAAGGTCAAAAAAGGGGAAAATATAGAATAAACAGAAAATTCATTTTTTTTGCTATAATTACAGGATATATTTTCATCTTAGAATATGAAAATTATCATATTTTACTCGTGGCTCGGAGCCACCATTCGCAAAATATTTATTAATACCACTTGATGAAAATAAATCTTGAATATTAAAAGTGCACAAAAATGCCCGTAATGAAAAGTCTTATTTCAAAAGCACAGAAATATATCCTTCAGTAAATGAATTGAAAGTCGTATATATTTTAGGCGTACAATATTGCTCCAACGAATAAATTTATAAAAAATGAACAAAACTGAAATCTATTATGCAGTAAGTGATTTTAAAGTCGTGTATTAAAAGTGTACAACTATGCCCAAAGTGAAAAAGTGATATTTAAAAAGAACAGGCAAATAGTCAGTAAATGAATTAAAGTTCGTATATATATATATTTCATGTGCACCAGCATGCCGAAGTGGAAACAAAATGTATCCAAAAAAAAGGTTTTTCAAGTTTTGACAAAAGAAAATGCTCTGAAAATGTCCTTCAACTTATATTTCAGTTCTTCTATTCTAGTTTGTTATATGCTATTAAAAATAAACGTCTGTACAATCCAAAGATAAGATGTGGAGTAATTTTCAAATGGAAAATTGTAAATAAGATAAAGCTAATGACGCAAAAGAATATGTCGTTAAACATACGAGTATAAGGCAGAAATTTAAAAAAACAACACCTCTATGCATTTACTCAAGATTAAGGAGAGACAAACATCCTCTCTTTATATACTAACTAGAACTATTTTGCTCGTTGTATATGCGGGGAACCAGAGCAAGGCGAAGGCGAGACTATAAACGCCCGAATGCAAAATGCAAATTTCCTTGAGAAGTTATAAAATCTTTTCCATTGGGGAAGACACCCTTTCATAAAATTTGTCGGAATGTTTGATCAAAATTATCTCTATGAAACAACTACAAAAGGCCAAAAAAATATGATAAAAAGTTTTAATCAATAAATAACCTCCATTTTGTTTCTCTTATTTACCGATAAATACAATCTTTTTATCCATGTATATCTTTTTTAATAAAAAGTTTCCAAAGAACGGAATAATAAAAACAATAAAAAATAAATAAGGACAACCCCCCCCCCTCCCCCCAAAAAAAATAAATAAAAATAAATAAAAGTAATAACTGGAACCAACAGTATTGACTTTGAAAGGATGCTCTCATGTCAAAGTAGCATATTCTAAAAATAGATTTTCCCTTTTAACAAAGTAATTTCAAAGTTTCCTCCATTTATATATCTTTAAATGAATATTCTCCCAGTGAAATTTACTAAAGACTAAAAGTGACATTGAACTTTTTCTAAGAAAGTATGAACCTAAATTCCGAACATCTCATTATAATTATATTTCTGCCAAATAGTTTCATTTTCCTTCCATTGGTTCCAAAGATACAGAGCGGACGTGAAAATACTAACAAATGGACAGACGGACGACCAGGTACATGACATAATACGTCCTAAATTTGTTCACGACATATAGAAAGATAAGATACTAAAGCTACGCATATCGCAAGACATCAAAATAAGCTTCAAAGTCATTTGAAATTCAGGGTGGGATGCAAACGGTTTATAGAATGACGACATACCTGATGGTGCTATTTGTGTTGAAAAAAGGATATTAAATCAATGAAAAAGGATAATAAATCAATATATTTTGCTCAATTAAGAAGAACGAGATATTGTCATTCAGACGGTTAGTACAATTAAAATATTATTTCATTTATATATTTTTCGACAGTCTCAACAACAATTAATGTAAAGTTATCTTTACAAGAATTTATGCATTTAACAAACCTGTTTTTCTTTTAAAAGAAACCATTATTTCGGCCTATGTGGGTCTATTGATAGATCCCTACTCTGACCTTTTATTTGACTGACAATAGATTTAACTACAAACATTGACATTTGCTCTTTTGTTAAAAAAATGTTGTGCTGAAATTCTTATAGTATCCACTAGTCTGATAATTAGAATTAGAGAAGTCAAGAATCTATGTATTCAATAACACTTGCACGTTACGTTACGTTAGATAAAGAGTTTTCAAAATGTAAATGGAAGTAATCTCATCTTTTAATGTTTAAAAGAGAAATAATGCTGATGACAATGAAGGAAAAAGTTAATCCTTACAATAGTACTATGCATACCTTCACAAGAAGCGCTGAACATTCTTTGTTTAAGTCCTACCAACTCGTCGAAGTCTTGTACATTGAAGAGGTTTTGACTGATTGGTGGGGAGGCAATACCTTCGACTTCTCTGGTGTCTTTTAAACCGATACCAATGACGTAGATGTGGATGTTCTATATATAAAGTAAAATTTGTTCAGTTTTTTTGACAATTGTTCATTAGTGACGGGTTTTAGCAAATCAGAGATGTCACATCTTTGTTAGTAACAGAATGTGACAAAAAACGAGTGAAAACCGTATTAGTAGTGATTAAGATAAACAACTGAATGGAAGACACATACCTAGACGACGATGATGCCAAACTTTTAGAATGATATCAGTGTTGTGAGAAAGATATGCAACAAACAACAGCAGCGAAAAATGATTAGGTAAAAATTTAATTATGGAAATGACAAAATGTGATTTAAGCAAAACACAATTACAGTTACCGAAACAATTATCTTCTAATTATTTTAAAAGCATGAATAATAAAACAAATATTTTCTCATTGACGAAATTGTATTTTTCCTTATCATTAATGACCAGTGATGTTTTAAATAAAAACCGTCATCCAATTTATAAGCTCCTTTATAAAAATAAAACTCAGACTCACGTCGTCTCTAGTAGTTGCTGCTTCTGGTAAGGTCCTTCTAGAGTTGATATTAGAAATACCATCGGTCAAGAGAACACATACATTAGGAGCGTCAGGGCGATCACCTCTAGATGCTACAAACATTTCATTCCTCATAACCTTGAGGGCATCCGCAGTGTTGGTAGAGCCGTAGATATACGGTATTCTGTCAATGGCGGCCATGACATCAGCCTCTTTTTGGTACCTAAAATATTCAAATAATTTACATCATATATTTCCTGAACTTCAAGATATAAAGCTTGACTTTAAAAGGTCACCAGACGTTAACACTTTTATTTTGCTTCAAGCATGGAAATATCAATGATAAAATGGACAGAAATCTGCCTATTAATAGCAAAACCGTAAAGTAGAGGGCAGCGGTTAGATGCTAGTGACTCGAAGTTAACAACCTAAACAACTAGGCCACGAACGCCCCTTACCCGACAGGACAGAAAAATCGACTCGCATTACATGTATATCAACACTCTACAGTTCCGTACAGGGGATGAAAAAAAGGCTCTATTCTCATAATAGCTCGATCTCAGTCCCTACAGGACAGTTATGATGGATTGCACACGTTACGTCCGCATCTAGGCAGATCTTAGTCTAGCAGAGTTTTTTCCCAACAATAGCCACAGATCAAGTTACCTTAAAGATTTATCTCTCTATATATTACTTACTCATTCAGATGGAACATGATTTGGACATCAGTGCTGTAAATGTTGATACCGACTCTTACAGACCCAGAGTTAATGTCAGCATTGGTCAAGAAATCTTTTAAGAAGTCCCTCATTTTCTGGAAATTCGCCTCCGTTACGCTTGTACTGGCGTCCAATATAAAGACTAAATCCGTCTTGGATAAGCCGCAGCCTGGTTTAAAACAGTTTGTAAAAAACTTAATTACTTATAACTTTGAGTGGCAGATACCAATTTATAACTGAAGATGTAAACCTTTTGAAAATTCTTTTTTTTACAAAACAAAAATATACGCCCAAAGAATTAATTTTTAATTTATAACATTTTAATTGAATGAACTGGTTCAAGGAAATTCAAATTCGCATGAAAGCTGATTTGAAATATTACTAAGTACTATTAATAGAACCATTCGATATGACTTTTCAAATATAATGAAATGGATTATTTTATTTCATATAAAATGAAATTTAAGCACAAATTCTATACTTACGGGTACATTGTCCCTTCACCAATAATATATGTTACATGTATATAAATAACTATTGTAAGTATAACTAAATATTAAAGAAGAGAGGAGTAATATTATACAAAATTAGTTTCGTGTTAAAATATTATACGATGTATAATAAAACAAGAATTATAGTAAAATAATAATAATAATAAAATAATGATAATAATAATCAAGCTTTCGCACACAGAATAGTAAAACTAACTGAGAATATAATTGAATAAATGGGCCAGTAAATAAATTCGCTTGCTTGCATTTTTCTCAGCAAATCACATCCCCCACAATACTTATCACTTCACTAAACCACACTACACACATCATATACAATAAATGCATCGCACTTAAGCTATTCCCAATACAAAAATCATTTACAATACTTCGCACTTCCGCAAATCACACTACAAAATCATTTACAACACTTCGAACTTCGGAAAACTAACTTAGTTGTCTCAAATGGTTGAAATATAGAGATATAGTATTTGACATATTATTCTTGGCTCAATTTGTTCACTCGTGAAAGCAAACACTTAGCATTTTTACACCAACATCCCATTCTATGATCACATTTTCATTTCTGTGCAATCATAAATTCATTTAATTTTCAAAAACATGTGCAACAATTGGATAACACAAACACATTTCACAAGCATTCAAGTTGAGTGGGACATTTGGACAAGTACCAAATATGATAAACAAAATCAACAAGGCCGGCGTTCAAAGATTCCACAACAAAGTGGAGCATTTCACAAAACTTTCACAACGTCAAGATCATAAAAGGCATCACAAAGTTCATAAGTAGGTAATGCACCGTTATAAATGTTATAAATCATTAAAACCGTTAAAAAGAAGGGAGGGAAAGCAATTCCATACAGTGATAAACAATGACCCAATCTTGTGTCTATGTACTTATAATTTGATCTACCTATAAGAAAAAGATCATATCAACATTTTATTTTAGACTTATCTATTTAAAACTATACTTTCTAAGGCTCTGTCATTTAATGTTAGAATAATTCTAAAAACTCCATACAACTTGGGACAGAATTATTCCATTTTGTTCGACAGTTAGCTGAACTTTTGACAAGCAAAGCCGAGCTTTGCATTGACGAGTAAAAGTGTATAACTAACTATTCTAACTAGCACCCCGCCCTCAAGCTTGTAAAACTATGTACCCACCACCATGTATGCATATGCCTACGCGTTTAAGCACCATTTCCACAAAAAATAAAAATAGAAAAAAGTACATAGAAATGATTGTTAATACATACAAGGACAGACGGATATAAAAGAGAGGACAGTTTTGTTAAACAATACGAAAAGGGCATTCGTGTTTACACATTATTTAGTATTTATATTTATATAACACAATATTGTATTAAATCATTAATTTTGAGATCATAGGTTTTAGGAAAGATTAACTTGTTTATGGTTTAATACATACAACATGAAAAGCATTCGTTAGGACATATTTACATGAAAGACATAGGATGAAAATGAACGTATCAAATGTTCTTCCGAAAGGAGAATTGGAGGCTTGTTTTAAAATAGTTACAACATGAAAAGCGGTTAAAAACGGTCGAGAAAAACGGTTAAAAAGAAGACTCCAACGAATGGACGATTTGTAGCACACGACATATAAAAGCGCATTTGAAAATGTTAGTTGTAGTCTTACGCGATACATTGTGTTAGTTGTAAAAAATGTACACAGATGCATGTCTGAAGTCATGTGGTGCATTAAGTCTGACACCATACTCACTCGTGGTTGTAGGCATTGGAGCTAGAAAAGAGAAACAAACACAACAAGATGAATTCAGCTGAAATTACAAGACCTCAATATATGAATGTGGTTCCTCTATATCACAAATAAAGATAAGCTTTTATTTTCAATCATATTTTATATTTGTTAAAACATGGGTCACATATTAATTAACAATTTAACTATTAAACTGATTTAAAATGTTATGTTTATACTACACATATTTAACTCTTTAACTGCCATGACCGAAAGAAATAAGCCTTTGCCAGTAGTATTGAGCCTGGATAGCTTGAACATTTGTGCAGCTTGACCAGGTTCTATACTGTTGGCTGACTGATTTTAATCTTTATTTTGATTCCCCTAAAATTGTAGGATGTCTTGGACAATTAAAAATAGAAACAAACTCAGCAAAGTTCGTAGGGTTAGGGTGCTACAAGAAATATTGTAGATTAGGAAATACTGGCGATATTGTTTTTCGCTAATTTTCGCAAATTTAATATATCAGCGAATTTAAGAAATTTGCTAATTTTTGTTCATTCTGTCACGGAAATTCTTGAAGATTACTGAAGTCGAGGAGTTGCCAGTTATATGTACGCCTTATTCGACAATAATGACAACATCATATAACAGTCTCATTTATATACACTGAATGAAAATGACAAAAGTATTACAAAATATAAATTAACATATGACTATTAAAGGCATTTGCCTAAGTAAATCCGACAAAAAAGACACTTGATTAGAATAAGAAATTTGTAACATTTTATCAAATACAGGAACACACTATGAAAAGCTTAAAGTGTAAAGGTCTATATAATATGTATCATTAGTTATATGCTACATGAAATTTAATAACAAATCAAACAAAAGAGTCGTGATCGGTAATCGAACATTTCACTAGGTTCAAAAATAATATAAAATTATGGAGATCTTTTTACAGATTTTTTATGGAAACACAACAATTACAAATTTAAAAACTTGCAAAAATATCGTGTACGAACGTTGTTTCGCGAAATTTAAATAATGCGAAAATTTCCCTATTTACAGTATCCTTGTAATAAAAGGTAGAATAATTAAACCTACCTGTGTCTGTAAATCTAAAATAATCTGATAACACAACATGACAAATACATGTAAAATTGTTAATATATTGTATTTTTTTAATTTCTAAAAAAGATATAATCCGAAACTATTTATAGGCAGAAAGACACACATATGGAACGAGAGAAAACAAAAAAATCTACTAGATGCGTTACATGGACAATATCTATATTCGGTACAAAGAACTTACGTTGAGTTGTGGTGATAACAGTTGTTGTTGTGGGCGCGGGTGTTGTGGTAGTGGTAGTTACAACAGCTGAAATAATATAACAACGTGCATATTTTTTTCTTTATTTTTTTCATATTTTTTACACATTACATGCATGTTTCATGAATTACTGTAAATGCAATGTAATGATTGTTTTCAAAAAGGGCAAATTCAAAAACCTGAAGAAATGTATAATCATCTTGAAATAACTGTAAAATTGAAAACTGTTTAACTAAAACACGGCTGCTTACTGATATATATACAATCAAATCCTAAAACCTAATTCTTTTATGTAAATTAAATAAAATTTCCCTTGATGCATATAAAGTTCACATTTTTTAGAAGCAAAGACATGATGCATTAAAAGCAATATTGATTGATTTCAATCATTGAATCCAGATATATTTTATTTCCAATTGAAATACTATTAAACAAATAAATTGTTGCCAATTTTTCTTTAAATGCTCATCATGCCTCAGAAAAGCTTTAATTTTAATTTTCAAACCTTTTTATTTTTGCTGTCCTATTATAGCTTCAAAATTAACTCTCATTGGCCAATTAACTGAACCACATTTTGCCTATGTTGCTTTTTGGCAATTAGTACCGTTATAGCTTACTATTTTGTATGAAAGTCAAAATACTATTTTGTTTACATTTTAGTACCTTCATAACAGATAATATCACATTTATCACTACGTTCTTTTTTATTAAAGCATGTAAAAGTTTCTTAAACCATTTTCAAAGTGAAAAAAAAAAAAAAAAAAAAAAAAAAAACAAATGTTTGAAGGATGTAAGATCATAAATAGCTTTTTAGTAGATCAAGTTTCTCTAAGTATTAAATACTAGTTTTACCGCAAGATGCAGTGAAGATCTTGTTTCCCAATCCTGACAGTTCGTCGAATGTGCTGACAGCAAAAGCATTCTCGCTTGCTGGTACCGAAGCTATGCCATTCAATTCCCGCGTGTCTGTCAAACCAATTCCTACAGCATAAATATGTATTCCGTCATCCCGCGTTTGTTCCGCTTCCGGTATTGTTCGTCTGCTATTGATGTTTGAGACACCGTCTGTGATAACTATAGCAACATTTGGCGCATCACTTCGGTCACCTCTCCTACAAAATTATAGATTGTTTTAAAGTTTTTTGTACATAACGTTGAGATTTGTAATCAATAGCATAATGCTCTATTGCTCTACTGCTATTGCTCTCTTAGTAAAACTAAGCGAAAAATTTGGATACATTGGATAGTAAAAGTAGGCGAATCTTTAAGACAAAAATATGACTACTGACAGGATCAACCAGGTAGCTATGGAAAGCTACTTTCAAGCGACGCCGCCGTTACCGTTACCGTGACGGTAACGCATTTTTTCGCGATGAAAGCATAAATGTAGTATTTGCTACTCTGCTTTATAATTATATATATTTGATAAAGAAATAATAGAGAAACTATGCCCACACGATTTGGTTAACTATTGTAAAAAAAACAGCTAATTTTGAAATGACAACATTCGCACAATCAACATTGCCGACTTATAAGCAAATTTAAATATTCAGTTAGTTTAACTTTTAGTTCTTTTCAATTTATATTAAATATACATAGCAAACACTAACTTTCACGAAAATATTCGATTCTCATAATAAGCGATATTTTATTCCTGGCAAAAATATCTGTAATAAAGTAATAGCGCATACTCTGTCAGAGACTTTGTATATTAAACCTGATATTTGACATGAAACGTTGTTTTTTTCCTTTAAAAAGGGACGTTTGTTGTATTACAATTCGTTTTAAAAATTCCTGCCAGAGTATAATATTAGTTATAAAGATTGTTGGCATATTTTATGGCCCTATATAAACGGTTGTTTGTAAATATAACCCGAGCCGCTAGAGAAGATTTCTTCATGAATCGACAGTAGCCATGTATCTAAAACTATATAAACGCCACAATTATCCAATGAAAAGCAACGTTACAAACGTGCAGTATCATAAGACCATATAGAATCGGTTGTTTGCAATAAAACCCTCATGAAATGACACCAGCTATATATATTTATACAAGCAACCGTCTATATAGGACCATAAAACCGGTCAAAAATCCTTATAACTAATTACATAACAGCATAAACCTCCCACCAACTCATAAGTAAACAAGCTATTCAGCAACATATTTACAAACACTGTAATTGATTATGCAGACGACTTACCTGAAACTGAACATAGTGTCTCTCATGGTCTTTAGTCCATCAGCAGTGTTTGTACTGCCGTAGATATAAGGTATCTTGTCAACAGCGTCTAGAACTTCGGCTTTTGTTCTGTAACTATCCAAATGAAATTGTATTTCCACTTCAGTACTGTAGATCAAAGCACCAAATCGTACGCTGCCTGAAAATGCACACCTTGTATATGATTAAATCAATCAATATGTAAACGAAATAATTAGGTTTAAAATAATGGATAAAAATAATTTAACGTGGATAAGATGACTGTTAACAATAATTTTTTTTATATTGCTCTTGTCATATTTTTTGTGCAGAATATAGTGAGATGGTATTTTCTAAAATATAAACAATCTGGAAGCTGAAACAAGCGAATTTGGTATCCTAAAACTAAAGGCTCAAAGCATATTAACACATTTTTTGTGCTAAATTCAGAAAGAAATCAATGTAATTCTTGTCTTGTTTGAATAAGGTATGCATTTTAAAAGAAATCAAATTGGATGTATTATAGTGTGACATTCTTGTGCTATAGAGACATTTCTATGGTTATTTGATCAATAGAAACTACTCCTGGCTCAAACGTCTTATATCATCTACTTAAAGAAAACCCAAAACAAAACAAAAAAACAAAATCGTATCGCATACAAACTTTAGATTGACTTTTTTGAAATCTAGTTTTCGGTATCTGTGCAATATGTCATACAATTTTATAATCCACTTAAATCAAGATGTGAATAACCTTTTCTGTATTGATTCGTATCATCCAGCATTATTTTACATATTGTTCGTTTGTTTCTTTATTTATTTATATTTACGCTGATTTTATTGGCCATATATCGACCGATGATCAGACCAATAACACCTGGATTTCTAATCCGGAGCTCTCCCTATTGAGCTAACCAGGCGGACAACACATATCTTTGTTGAAATAATACGTTAATCATACCTGTGTCTACATCAGCAAATTCTACAATCGACTTCATGAATTCAAGCTGCTTCTTAAAGTTAGCCTCTGTCACACTAGTTGAAGCATCAACGACAAAGATAACATCGGTTTTGTCGAGGCCACATGGTTCTTCAGTTGTGGTAGGTTCTATGAAAAGATTAAAAAAATAATACAATTAACCTTTTCCTATTGTTAACTTAATTTGCTGAGTTCATATGAAAGATTATTCGAGCTTTGCCTTTGGAACATTCAATTAAAACTTTCAGGGATCTCAACATTCAAAACACAAACAATTTCGAATAACCGTCTTGCCACCATACTCTTTGCATATGCGACTTTTTTCTTTTCTCTTAAAAAGTTCCTATTAGGTCGTCTAGACAAGTCCCAACAGACAATTTGGCTCAGCCAACAGTCAGTGCCTCAAAGGTCTACCTAAATCTGCGTACCGGCACCCATTTCGTAAGTGGATTGAGGGAATCTTTTGAAGGGTTGCTATTTTCATATGGCTCTTTGAGTCGAGTGCTTTTGAGAAATCGTACACTACACTTTATATATCGAATAACCCTCGTATGCTTTAAAAGTCTTGTTTAAAATCAAATCCTAACCTGGTAATACTGTAAGTCTCATTTGATCTGTATCTTGATTTCCAGATTCGTCTGTAACCGTCAATTCAAATACGTAATCTCCGGGCATAGCATTGCGTATTCCCATATTGGCTCGGTCAGTGTCAAAGGTATTTATGGAACCATCACCAGACAACAGTTTCCAGTCATAAGTGACAATACCTACGTCATCAGAACTCTGATCTCCATATATAGACACAGTACCGGTTGGATATTGTACTGTCATATCTTCACCAGCATTAGCAATCGGAGGATCGTCTGCAATTTTATATCATTACAATTCAGATATGATCTGACATAGCTTTTTTTACCATATTTCATTTAAGTAAAGGTATATATGAAGTTGCAAGCCTCTCAAAGAAAGAGGTGTTTTTTTGTAATGATCGGAATACCTTTAACAGAAAATACTTTTCAAAGTTTAATGTAAACAAAACCAATAGCGATTCTATAATAATGTACTGTTGTACAATTATTTACAGGAACATAAATTCATTAAAAAAATCAAAATCATATGAATGTAAAATATCAGCAAATGCAGATTACATGAAAACTGCACTACTTGTAAAATCCTAATTTCGACTTTTTGTTTACATTTTCTCTTTTTACTATAATTGTTTATTTTTTACAATTCTAAGATTCATTAAGAGGCATGCACCTTCCTAATAATTTCGATACCTTATAAACAAAAGATTTTAAGTCTACCGAAAATAAATGATTTTAAGAAAAAGAAACAAAAATGACGACTATGCATTTAAAATATGTGACACAGGTAGTTATTGATACAATAAATTAAGTACACAAACAATTTGTAAGTGACATCAAACATATTTTATTAAGAGACACATAGTCATTAACATCTAAGGATGTTTAAAACATATGACAACATCAATTATTTTGTTATGTAGACAAAAAAGTACGATACATTTGAGTGAGCTACAGATAACGAGCGAGCAAATTAGTTTTTGTACATATAGGTTTTTAAAGGTATACAACATATTTGCATAGTGCATTTGAAAAGCCTTTTTGATATAAACGCAAGGGAGTTGTCTTCAACCAGGAAGGTTGAAAAGTGTCGGAGTCGGAAATGAAGACATAACTGGAAATGGGTAGGCCTCGTGCATATTTGTAAAATCGCACATGGTGATTAAGATTCCAACGCAATATTTTAAACAATTGTGCAATAACGTCGTTGCCTGAATTGCCCATTTTTATTACTTGACATTGTAGAAGTCTTTTTAATTGAGGATGAGGATAAAGATTTATAACAATATCTTAAAACAACTTGCCAATTACATTGAATATCGTTCATTTGATTTTGGATCACTTTAAAATATCGGAATCACAACCTACTTCAAATGGTTGTTCAAAGCAAAGTTATGTCACTTGAAAAACAAAGTTATGTCACTTGAAATCTGCGAAAAACTAGCTTTACATGATAATAGACATATATATATTTGCTAGCATTAAAGCGTTGTTTAGCTTTGCTGAAATAGTAAACTATAAGCTTGATAGAATATTTAAATGTTCCTGCGAATTCTATAATATGTCGGCAGTTGCTAGGAATCTACATAAAATGTATATGTGTAGCATGTTAAATAAATAAATAAATGTTCATGAGACCAAAGAACTCTCGACAGGGCCCTAAATGCCTTAAAAATTACCAACTCGAGAAGTGAAACTTTGAAAAATTCGAAAACAAAAACGTTTACTTAAACGAAACCTATCGATAAGTGAAACATTGTGAAGAATTCAAAAACGTTCACTACCCGATAAGCGAAACCTTGTGAAGAATTCCAAAACGATTATTAATCGGAAAGTGAAGCAGAAAACGTTTACTAATCGAAAAGTGAAACCTTGTGAATAATTCATAAACGTTTACAAATCGATAAGTGGACTCTTGGGAAGAATTCGAAAACGGTTTTCTTACCGATACGTGAAACCTTGGGAAGAATTAAAAACGTTTACTAACCGATAAGTAAAACCTTATGAAGAATTAGAAAACGTTTTGATAATTGAAAAGTGAAACCTTGTGAATAATTACAAAACGTTAACCTATCACCAGTAAAACTTTATGAAGAAGTAGAAAGCTTTTACAAATCGAAAACTCTGCTTTATGGAGAAAAAGTAAACGTTTACCAATATAAATATGAAACCCAAAGAAAACTCAGAAAGTATTTACTTAGAAAAGATGAAGAGAGGAAATTAAATGAAAGAAACGAAGGCTAGAGTTAAATTACGTTATAAATAGGTCTATTGCCACACGGACACTAAATTTCTAAGGGGTTATTGTATCCACTTGCGAAAAAATCTCAACAGATAAATTTAACCATTCATGTATATCGCGCTCTAATTCTCGTTTAAATCTTAGAAAAGTGGCCTATTCAAAATATAGTCTTTAACAGCCAGGTTATCTAATTTTAGTGCCAATATACATATATATGATTGCGTATATGTCATGTCAATTATAATACTGCATGTTTGTAACGTCGAGTTTTATTGGATAACCGTGGCATTAATTATATTTGTATAAATGGCTGCTGCAAACTTATGAAATAACAATTTATCGACATTGTGCAGTATTATAAATTTGTTACATAAAGACTTTTAACAGGTTATATTGCCGTTCGGGTAATATAACATTAAGTCCATTTAAACTGGGTCATATAGCCTGTAAAATTCTTTATAGCTTATAAAGTATGTCTATAAATAACATGGAGCTTAGAAGATTTGTTTTTCTTGCAGTTTACATAAAATGAAAAACATGGATATTATTCAGTCCAAACTGGTGGTTGCCAAGTTTATTTTTATCATTCTTCAAACATATTCACAAAATAAACTATAAGATGTATAAATTTCAGGGTTTAACTGTTATGTCAATCCAGAGTAACTTATCTTCGTTTAATCCGTTACAAGCCAATGCATCATCATGCCTGACAATGGCACCGCACTGCTTAATTTAAGTCATGACATTCAGAATATTAAAAAAAAAAGATGTGTAGCTCGACACTGAAACAAGGAAGCGTCCACTTTACAAATTTAAAGGCTTGAATAGAGACAAACAAAAAATATATAAAGAAAAACATATCTTCTAAGCAATCTTTTCTCGCTTTAAATCTACCTGGCAAAACGGTAACTTCAACATAATCGGTATCCTTTAACCGCTTGGCATCGGTTACGGTAAGACTGAACCGATAATTGCCAGGCTTCATATCAGTTAATCGCAGAACGGGAGACCTGTCACCCTTCATTTTGAGGGCAGACTTATCTCCCGATCGCATTCGCCATCTATACCGTACAATGCCAAGATCATCAGAGCTCCTGCTTCCGTCTAGTGTGACGTAATTTACGGGTAGTTTAATTGTGACGTCGTCACCAGCACGTGCGACAGGTGGAATATCGGCAGCTGTAGGTTAACATAAGCATTTTTGTAAGAAAGGCGTTTTCATATTTTGCCATGAACAAAACTTTGGTTGTTTTTCTCTCTAAACAATAAGAAAGATTAACAAATAAACACCAAGAATCATAAAAAAGGCCATTACCTTTTTTTCATTTGTATAAATATTGACAATGCACAAGGCATGAAACATTAATGAAAGTGAAACTAAGTGAACAAGATTTTGTTATATGGCAAAACAATTCTCAGTTTGAAAATATGCAAAATAAAACAAAAAGGTAAATCAAAGCAATAATACACTTTTAAAAAGCATGAAATTAAAATTACTATGTAAAATAAACATAAAGCCCACTGAAAGCTAAATCAGTTAGCGTTTATCGGTTGGTGAAGAAGCTGAAAGAAATGTCACCACGTGGAAATCAATTAAATTAATTAAAGTAAGCTGCATCAAGTAAAAGGCAAAGGACTATGCCTGTAGTATTTACATAAATAAATCTCAATGCTATTAAAACTCTTTCCTTTTTGATTGGTTACAATATCAAAATATATAGACAAATGCTATTTCAATTCTAAATATAAAAACATTACTTGTTAAATTTAGTAAAAAATTTAAAATGTGGCCTATATGTCTTAGCTCAGATTTAATTGGAAAACTAGAAGTATTTTAATAATTGTAATGATTAGATAAACACCATTGTAGCCCCCTACGCATGGTAAGTATTGTCTCAAAACAGTAATCAAGCATAAGCAGTATAATTATGGCGTGCATTACCAATAAAATAATTTTTAAGAGAAACTTGGTACAAATGCTTGATAAAATAAAAGTTTTTTTCTGTACTATAAGCTATAGGTAAAAGTATTAGCGTAATGTAAATTGAGGCAAATGTAAATAAAATCATGTGTAAAATAAAGTATTATGTAAATAAAGTGTTTTTTTTGTGTGATTAAAGGCATTATGAAAATACTTCAAATTTACATATAACATATGAAATTACTATCCTGTATTTAATCACTAACATCATCTATTTAATTAAAATCTCTATTTTTCTAAGGAATTGAATAGAGAAATATTATGAAACTTCAAATCTTTAAATTTAAACCGTAACAATAAAAGCCTTGATTAATAATCTGCTTAAGTTGAAATATTTTATATATGTAACATATACACTATTATATGATAACAATAGAATTTCAAAACACCTGTAACTGTTATCGTAACAGTATCGACATCTGTTTGTCCGAGCTCATCTGCGACGGTTAATTCAAATGTGTAGGTACCAGCATCAAGTCCACGCACTTTTGTTTCAGCATTATCAGTATTATCAAACCGGATTGATCTGCCATCCCCAGATTGAAGTCTCCAAGTATAATCAACAATTCGCACGTCATCTGTAGAACCGGTTCCATCTAGTTTTACTTCATTAGTTGGCAGTTTGATAGTAGCATCTTCACCGGCATCAGCAACAGGTGGGAAATCCCTCTCTAGAAATGATAACTTTCTGGTTATATTAAAGGTTAAATATGATGCAAATACTACAAAGATCAATTCGTGCGTGTAAGATAATTATATGTCGACTATATTTGTAAGGTATTAGCATAACGAATATGTGCAATGATTATATATTTCAGTTTTCCGTAATTTCTTTGTAAGTTAGGTTATATATGGTGGATTAATAACATATATTTGCGACGACTGTTTTAATTACAAAACATTTTTTTCATTATAAAGTTTATTTTAGTTCTAAACATACATTGCAGACATACAATTATGTTACAATTATTTTTTAATGATAGAGACATAAGATATTAAGAGAGTAATTGTAATATTACATGTATATACGAGAATAATTTGATCTTAAGAAAGTGTTTAAAACATGGAACATATACGTTTTTAGCATAAAATGAAACAGTAAAAATAAACCGGCCATTAAGTATTAGACCTTTGACGTTAATAACCAGATCATCTTTATCTGATTGGCCTTGTTCATCAAACACAGTCAGTGTTAATGTGTACCGGCCCGCTTCTAACCCTGCCACGGATGCCTCCATAGAATCTGCATCATTTAGCTTTACCGAGTCGTCATCAATAGACCATTCATAACGCACAATTCCTACATCATCTGATGACTTGAAACCACTAAAGGATGCCGTATCAACGGGTAACTGTATATCAATATCAGGACCAGCATTTGCAACCGGTGGATAATCTTGGGCTGTGAAAATGCACATGTCCAAAAGCAAACATATAAACTTGCAATAAACAAACGTGCCAAGGAGTGAAAATGCAGAGTGTGTACATACAGGAAGAATTTCAGACAAAACATTAAAAGCAGGTCAAAATAAGCATATTAATAAATCAATTTAATATTTTGATGTACGTTTCCTCGTATTTTTCTACTTTAAAATCAAAATATTGTAATAATATTGATTTCTGAACTTCAGCAAACACAGAAGTGGTTCAAATCTTATTTTGACTTGCTATTTCTTCGGCATAAGCAATTTACGTACCAGTCACCAAATATCGTATTGCAATACAAAATTCAGGTAATTATAAATTCCGTTAAACAGAAAATAATTATTGCTTGATTATATATAATAAAGCCTGCACCATGTTTTAGGAAAAAAGCATATAAATAATTAGAGCAATTTTGATTATCTTAGAGTGATTGATATGGGCTTTGAGCTCTTATTACAGTTTCTGCAATGTATCTGAAAAACGTTCATTTTAATGAAATGCAAAGATAAAAGAATGACCTTTAACGTTGATATTAACTTCATCTTCATCAAATTGACCTAATTCATCAAAGACAGTGAGTTTTAATGTATATGATCCAGCATCAAGACCCGATGCAGTTGGCGTGGCAGATGCCTCATCATCTAGCTGAATCGGGTCGCCGGAAACGACTTCCCATACATACGCAACGATGCTACGATCATCTGTGGACTTTTCACCACTCAATGTAACCTTATCTTTTGGTAGCTGCAATACGACGTCATCACCAGCATTTGCAACCGGTGGAAAATCTTGAGCTGTGAAAAAGTGCACGTTGCATACAAACAGCACATGGTTTTGTGTGTGACAAACATGCAAATATCATTCATTCATGACAAGTAAAAAAGCTTTGATAGGCAATGAATACTGCGTTCAAAATTGTTTTAAAATCACTGAAAGCTTTCATGACAAATATAATTGTCGTAATAAATGATGCTTGGATGTTGCTGTTATTCACCCACATCAGTTATTCAGAGACTATAAAAGTACATTTTTTAGTTCCGGGATATTAGTGTTTTCCCTCTTATATATAAATCTAGTCAGTGTCTATTTTGACAGTAAGTTGCATTTTGTTGCTAAATTACATCAATAGTTTCTTTTGTAATAAGTATTTTTAGCAATATAACAAAATATAATATTTTATGTTTTGATATTTCATTTCCGGATATGCAGATTTATTGATACGAGCCAAAATGTGTCATAGCATTCAAACAGTGCAAACAGTGTAGGAAAAACGAACGTGCATACTGACAATACATTTATATGCTGTAAGAACTCCTAATTAATAATTATAGCTAAATGGAAAAATTCAATAATTAACCTTTAACTATAACATCTACTTCATCAATATCAGATTGTCCGGGTTGATCATACACTGTAAGTTTAAAAGTGTATGGTCCTTCCTTAAGTCCGGTGACGGTTGGGTTGGCAGTGTCGTCGCCCTCAATTTCAAGTGTCTCGTCATTGCCATTGACGAGTTCCCATTGATAGCGTACTACTCCAATGTCATCGGTTGAAGCATCACCAGCTAACGTGACCTTGTTTATTGGTAACTGTATCTCAACATCATCGCCAGCATCAGCAGTTGGAGGGAAATCTTGAGCTGCACATTAACACACAATTTTGATATCAAGCAGGTGACAAACAAATTCATAGCAACAATCAAGCAAGTGTTGTGAAAGCTACAATGTGCTACAAGTGCTATGTATTATGACTTCGATGATCTTATTAAAAGATTAAAGCATATAATACGGTTTAATTCATATACATTTGTATTGAAGGGACACGGAACACGAAACTATGTTTAATACCCATCACCAGATAAACTAAGTGCAAAGCTAAATTGTGACAATTGTGCAAGTAAGAAACATATGAATACGTTTTAAAACAATCACCATATGATGTAAGTGCAAAGCAAAATTGTGACAAAACAATTGCAATAAACAAACATAGTGGTTTTTTAGTTAATAATAACCTTTAACATTAATTGATACTGTATCGTCGTCCATCTGACCGAGTCCGTCATAAACTGTAAGCTTCAATGTATAATCTCCTTCCTTTAAACCAGATAGTGTTGGCCTTGCCGTATCCATTCCTCTGGCGTTTACAGAGCTGCCATCCCCAGAAACAAATTCCCATTGATAACTCACAACCTCAATATCATCAGTAGAGCCAGCGCCATTAAGGTTTACTGTATCATCGGGTAATTGGATAAGAACATCTTCCCCAGCATCAGCAACGGGCGGAAAATCTTGAGCTGCATATTAACACACAGTTTTGATATCAAGCAGATGACATACAAATTCAAGGCAACAATATAATCAAGCAGAAAGTGTTGAAAAAAACTACAATGTGCTACAAGTGCTATGTTTGATGACTTCAATGACTTTATAAAATGATTAAAGCATATAATACGGTTTAATTCATATACATTTGTATTGTAATGCAAGAAACAACATTTCGATATCCCAAACTAGTTTAGAAATCGAGTGCAAGGAAGGAACACAAAACTATGTTTTATACCCACCACCATATGAATTAAGTGCAAAGCTAAATTGTGACAACTATACAAGTATGAAACATGTGAATACGTTTTAAAACCATCACCATATGATGTAAGTGCAAAGCAAAATTGTGACAAAACAATTACAATAAACAAACAAAGTGGTTATTTAGTAAATAATAACCTTTAACATTAATTGATACTGTATCGTAGTCCATCTGACCGAGTCCGTCATAAACTGTAAGCTTCAATGTATAATCTCCTTCCATTAAACCAGATAGTGTTGGCCTTGCCGTATCCATTCGTCTAGCGTTTACAGATCTGGTATCCCCAACAAATTCCCATTGATAACGCACAACCTCAATATCATCAGTAGAACCTGCTCCATTAAGGTTCACTGTATCATCTGGTAACTGGATGAGAACATCTTCACCAGCATCAGCAACGGGCGGAAAATCTTGAGCTAAATGCATACATAGGCTACATAAATACAAGTGAAGACTTGTGAAAGATATCACAAATTATGAGTGCAAAAGATCATCAGTTTGGTATAAGTACACGTAAACGATATATTAGTGAAGAAAAAGAAACACTATAAACACTTCTCTATCCCTTTTACTGTTAATGCTCAATTGTAATTTTCGCATATATCAGAAAGTCATGATTGAATGTTTAGATCATTAAGTTGTCTTAAGTCTACTTTAATATCAGTTTTGATAATAGCTAGACAATCACCTTATTAATACATATTAAACTCCCTAAATAAAGTGAAGGAAAATGTGCATAATTTTTGTGTCTTCTTTTTCATCGTATTTTTAAAGGTTCAAGCATAGAAACCCTAAACCAATATTAAACTATGCAGATAAAGAAATGAAAGATTAGCATATTTCATTGAAGTATTAATCGGAAATTTAGATTATTATAATTTTTATTGATATCAACTGTGATACAAATGTTGGCACATGAAGTGAGTTGTTTCCTACAAACAGAATATGTGCAAAACAATATTGCAGTACAACAGATATACACATGAAAACATGTCAACATTTAGCCATACTATTTTAATATGTAAAGACCTTTAACATTGATGGTTACAGTATCCTCGTCCATTTGACCTAGTTCGTCATAAACTGTTAGTTTTAGGTTATACACTCCTTCACTAAGACCAGAAAGTGTAGGGCTAGAACTATCCATTCCCTCGGCTGTAACAGAACTATCATCGCCGGAAGCAAACTCCCACGAATATCTTACAATTCTGATGTCATCGGAAGAACCATCACCGTTTAATGTGACTGTATCATCGGGTAATTGAATCTCAATATCATCTCCAGCATCAGCGGTAGGGGGAAAGTCTTGTTCTAATTGGATTGTACATTATTAACTTAAACAAATACAGAGTTACACAAAACAACATTTTGATGTGCAATGTCAGATATGTGATGGATAAAACAGGAAGTCGTATATGAATATATAGCCAAAAAGGAAACTATGAAAACATTTTGTATCATAATAATATAATGAATTATTCATCGCAATATCAAAATAATTTAATCATAATCATAGCCTTTGTTATGATACGACTTTCTTTTTATATCCAAAGAAGTAATAAAATTACGCCCACCACCACAGCAGTTTGATAAAAAGGCCAATACCTTAATGAAAATTGAAAATCTGAAAAGAATGCGTGCTTAATGCGTTTCATACAATGTACAACATTTTTAAAAACACTTTTGAAAATGACTGGACAAAGTGCATATCTTCAGCATGTGTACGAAAACGTTTCTGTATACAAGCAACATTTAAAAAATTGTACATAAATTCAAGACAATTACCACCACCAAAAAGCAATATATGCATCAGGTCTTCAGCTACCCAACAAACTCTGATTACATGAGTTACATTGATTTAATATCTTTAGCATAAATATTAAATATCATACACATGCTAAGTTTACCTTCAACAATAACTCTAACATCATCGTCATCGCTTTGGCCTTCAACATCAAATACAGTAAGTGTGAAAACATATTCGCCAGCTTCAAGGTTGGCAAGATTCAATATTGCACTCTCCTCGCCCAACATTGTCACACGACCACCGGACTTCTTTATCCATTGATACTGAGTGACCTCTACGTCATCAGTTGACCTAGTTCCATCAAGAATCACAGAGTCGACCGGAAGTTGAATACTGACGTCATTTCCGGCATCAGCTACTGGTGGCTCGTTTACTGAAAGAAAATGTTCAAAGATTTGATTTTTTTTTGCTTTTGGAAAAGCAAGATATCCTTTGATGAAACGTGTTCAAATTAATTGGTTACTTTATTGTTATCATGTGTGTGTCTTGTATGTTTTCAAACATATTGGACTGGAATTTCTTGTGTTTACACTTCACCTGTTTCAAATGGCATAATTCCAGCGTTTTGATTAAGGATTTGTATGTTTGGGTTGATTCAATTCGACTTGAAATGATAAATTCATAAACTACTATTAGATGAAAAAAGAACTAGATAAGTACATTGTATCTAACTAAACTGACCGACGTAAAAGAAACCCCCAAGACAGACAGATTATCCAGTAGGCACGCAAGATTCTTAAATGATTGAACATACTTTGAACCTGATCCTCATCAACTTAATATATGATTTTTACAAAATTTGACAACGAACGGAATGAAGGAAAATAGCCCTCGATAGCCCGCTTACCCCGGGATGTATAAGTACTTATGAAGATTTCTTTCATCAGTTAAAGAAATTCAGAAAGAAAAACACAAAAAAACGAACAAAAAATGGTAATTGAAGACTAAGTTATTATAAGCATACCACATTCTTCACCGCCTCCAAATATAGTTTCTACCAAATCTGTCAATTCGTCAAACTTCTGAACATTAAACATGTACTCATCCTTAGGTTCAGAAGCCATGCCTCTCAATTCCCTTGTATCCGTCAGTCCGATACCTGTACAAATAGTCAATTACAACTGTAATAAAAAATCGATGTAGCCTTATACCTATACAAATACCCAATTACAAACTTTCTAAAGGAAAACAGAAAAAATTACATTACATTCGTGAAATTACTTTTGAAAACTATGAAATAAAAACAAGAATATGCTCAAGATCCTTTGTAGTAACCACAGTTATTATATAAGTGAAATTTTATATATGGATCTAATCATGATTTTAAATCAATTTTCATTAAAACATATGCATTCATTTCTTACTGAAAAATTTAACTTAGACTTTATAGAAAATAAATTTCTCAATACCTCCCTTTATTAACATGCAATGTAAATTCGGTAATATCTTTACAAAAAATGCTTTTTTCGAACTTATAATATTGATAAATCTTCATTTTGGGCATTTTTTTATGAAATAAACTCATAAAAATTGAGTTTCAGCATCTTTCCCCCAATTTTTTTTGTATGGTATAGTAAAATATTGCTGATATACATAGATTAAAGCATTTCTTTGGTTATCAAATGGTAGCCTGCTATTACACTTCTTTTAATATTGATAATAAAATATTTACACATACCGATTGCATAAACAGTGATTCCTTTGCCAATAGCCCTTTCGGCCTCGGGAATAGTTCTACGGCTATTAATGTTTGATACACCATCAGTAATCATAAACGCTACATTTTCAACATCACTTCTATCGCCTCGTCTTTGGTCAAATAGTTTCTCGTGCATTACTTTCAAAGCATCAGCCGAGTTCGTGCTACCATAGATGTAGGGAATTTTATCAATAGCTGCTTTAATAGCATCGTTTGTTTTATACTCATCCAGATAAAATTGGATTTCAACTTCGGTACTGTAAATTAAACAACCAATTCTGACACTGCCACTATCTACATTAGCCTTATCGACGATGTCCTTTGCAAACTGTAGCATTTTGTTGAAGTTTGCTTGTGTTACACTTGTCGAAGCATCAAGAATGATCACTACATCAACTTTTGTTAACCCGCATGCTTAAATAGAAACAAAGAATATTTATATAAGCTTATTAAGTTCTGCTACATATTGAAGACACCTTTAAACTTATTTAATTCATTTTCAGATTTCAAGTTTGCTGCACTCACCAAGCATTTTGTCATAAAAAGTCATTTTCACAATGTGATGGAACTAAAAAAAAAGGAAAACATACGAAAATAGTCATATTTTTTATTTTTTCTTGTTTAATGAGTTAGGTAATTTTTCAAATTAAATAAGTAAATAAATGTTGTCATATCATTTGCGAAATATGTTCAATATTGGTTATGTTTATTGGTGTGTTACATGTAAATGTTTGCTTGTTAAAAATGCAATGGGATTTCATTTCAAGTATTAAATTTGTTGACAATGCCTAACTCTAAATACACGAGTTTCTTTTTAAAAATACATACTTATGCCACAAAAATATGTCCATACAATTGCAATTCAAACTTACTTTTTTCATCTGGTTTTGGGGCAATGGTAGCTGAAATAAATTAACACATTTTTAGTACAAGAAAGGGAAATTGTCTTCCATCTACCCGTTTACCATGATAATTATTTTGTTTTCATAGCTGCATGATCATAGCTGCATACACTATTTCAAGGGATGACATGGTCATCACTTTAAAACGTTTCTGAGGAAACGATGACATACTGTTTTAAAGAAAAAGGATTTTTTTATCATATCAATGAAAAGAAATGTTTTAGACTTAAAAAAAAAATATATATCTTTAAAAAAGGAGATAAAATCGACAAAAGAATTCAAATTCAGGTCTGCGTTTAAAGAAAGTCCCAAGTGTATCATAAGCCCTATAAAGTAAGACCAACTTTAACACTACTTTGAGACCATTTCAATTTTAGTTCCAGATACTTTAAACTTTAATTAGATTAATTTGCCAGAGAAAAGTTAATGTGTGTGTTCACAGCTTGACATAAAAGGAGTCATAACGTTGGAGTCATAAGAAATTTTCTTTGAAACGCAAAATTGTTTAAGTTTTGGTCTTAGTTTAGACTTGGGATTTTCTAGGAAATGCAACTCTGAATCTGAACGTGCAGACCACTAATAGGACTTAAATATATATATTTTCATGCTTTTATATCAGTGTTACAAAACAGGATCAGAAAATTAAATTGGTAAAATCTGAAACTTGAGCAATACTTTTCCTTGTATAATAGTAGCAGTAAAGCATGCTGAACAGAAAACCAATATAGAAGAGCAAAAGTTAGGGTACAATAGCAAACAACAATAAGCTTTATATTACAGATTCAACAATACAAATAACTATTAAAACAATGAATCATTCAGTTTCCGATTCAGCTAAACTACAGCTACAGCTAAACTATCTTATGAATTGAATTGGCATAAAGTTGATTTATATGATACGAATTCTAAATGGTTATCAATCATAAATATATTGCATCTTTGCTACACTTGTAATTATTATATTAAGGTTGTCATTTATAAATCAATGGCAATCTTACTTAGTTGTGAGCAGATTGTGGTTAAAAATTGCCAATGGCAATTCAATTTTACCGTTACTGTTAGCAAAGTTTTGTTCAGAATTATATGTCAATTCATGGCTTACTTATAGTGAGGATATTGTTATCTGTGACTGTGTGAAAATTGTGTTTATCAATTATAAATAAATCGTATTTTGTCATTGTGTGCAATTTGTGGTAGTTAATTATAAATCAATTGTCTCAATAGTGCACAAATTATGGTTATCAATTATAAAACAAAAATCGTATTTTGGTTGTAATCGTGTGCAATAAGTGGTAGATAATTATAAATCATTTGTCTTCTGACTGAATCTGTGAGCAAACTATGGTTATCATTTATAAATAAATAGTATACTGGTGGTTGTAATTGTGTAAAATCTGTAATAGTTGATTATAAATAATTGTCTTTTAACTGAAACTGTAATCAAAATGTGGTTATCAATTATACTATGTAAATAAATCGTAAACTGATTGTAATTTTAAACAATTTGTGGTTATCAATAGTAAATCAATGATATTCTTTTTTTGCGATTGCAAGCCTACAGTAATGATTCATCGCATAAAATGTGTTTTTTCTTTTGTTGCGATGCTAATAAGCTTTGTGTTATTCTACGTACTTCTTAATGCTTGATTTGAACAAGTTAAATTCTTTTTCGAAAACTAAAATGTATTATTCATTATTATAACTGTTATAAATAGTAATATGTTGCATGAGTGTTTCTTCATTAAATGAAATATTCATACAAATACAATGTTACTGTGGTTGTGATGCTGGTACCTAATCTTTTGATCACGACAGTAGCCACTTGGGATTCGCCTGAGCATTCTTTAGCAACCGCACCGTTCCTGGAGAAGCTGTCAAACAGTTTTACCAGTACTAGTTGCCTTCACTTTTGCAAAAAACTGAAAATTTCTGTACATGCCAGAGCAAAGGTAAAGTGCGAATGACCGTAGAAGGGATTTCATAATCAATCACAACAAAATCGACCTGCACCGTCCGGGAATCAAACCAAGGTCGCCCTATTAACAGTCCAACGCTCTTACCTCTAGAATGAACCAGACGGATTAAACATCATGTTTCGCCTCTATAGGAAATTTACAATTTTGCTCAAAACGTGTGAAGTTTATACAGCACGTACGATTGATGTATAAAAAACAATTTGAAGATTAATTATATCGTGCATACAATTCATTAGATCAAAAAATAAAATTAAGTTTGAGTAAGTACGCAAAATATAGATTGAATAAGACATTTAAACGTTACCCAACCAATATATGAATATATAAAATATGTTAATGTTACGACAGATTTACCTGGACATTCAGGCAAATATAAACTTTCTGCCAAATCAGTAAGTTCCTCAAAATCTCTGATAGAAAAACTATTTTCTTGCCACGGATCCGAAGCAATGCGCTTAATCTCACGATTGTCAGCAATACCAACGCCAATGGTAAATATATGTATTCCTTGAGAATGTGCAAGTTTGGCTTCAGGGATGGTATTTTGCGCGTTAATATTTGATGTCCCATCTGTTATTAACATTATAACATTATCGGCGTCTGACCTATCTCCGTTTTCTGGAGTAAACATCCGTTTTCTAGCTAATCTAATAGCGTCTGCAGTATTTGTATTCCCGGACATAAGGTTTATTTCGTCTATAGCATCGAATATGTTACTCCTGCTCGAGAAAGTCTTGAGATTAAACTGAATTTCTGGGCGAGAGCTAAATACCATGGCACCAATACGGACTTTTCCGCCGTCAATATCAGCTCTATTGATTATATCTTTACAAAACTGAAGCATCCTGACAAATTTCTCTTCCGTTACACTTGTTGATGTGTCCAATATGAAGACAAGATCAGTGTTTGCCAGTCCACAAGCAGAATTTAAATCTGAGAAACAGTGATTGGATGTGTATATATATTATTATTGCTGAATTCGTTGCCCATTGATATGAAGGCAACACACGCACATGTATTTGAAGATATCAAATACGAGTTATGTTATAATGTGATATGGTATTTGCACCATAGACAAGATGTTACCACAAAAAAATATGGACATTGCATTATGTAATACTATGCTTATACATGAACATGTTTATGAGACACTTCTTTTCTTTAAAACAGAAAAATAAGTATTCAGGCTATTACAGAAGAGATATAGAGGTTTTGATTATTCTAATAGTAAATCCCCCTGCTTCAAATGCCCTTTCAGCTTTTTCGACATAACTTTAAATGATAAAAATCGATAATATTAGCTTCTAGTCGTACTTTGTCTTTACATATCTTTAATTTAACAAAAAAGATAAAGCATGATACGATCATAAAATAATGATAATAAGCTTTAAGCAATATCACAATTTTGCAAACACAGTTTTGATTCTGCACACTTGTTAATAACAAAAGCATCAAATTCGATGTTAATGCTCACTCGATAAAGAAAATATCTACCATTTAATATATTTTAAAAATACAAAATTAATTCTAAACCGTAGTATAATTAAAAATTATAACTCAAAGAATAATGCCCCTTGTCTAACAACTATATGTTGTCGTAATTAGCATGTATTCTAAGCTAACTCCTTTTTCCTATTTAAATATTTGTACTACTACGAATGTATTTATGCTTTTGCATGACGACAGAGACAACGGTAATGCAGCGAACGTAACAGCTCGTCTTTTTCTTCGAAACAGACAAGCTTAGAATGAATCATAGTAAAGGTAAGACAACTTGCAGGGAATTAAAATAGCAAAAGCAAAGAAAAGGTAAGTAAAGCGGAGATATATAGAAGCATGTGGTGAAGCATTCAGGTGGGATTATCTGAATATAATGTGTACCAAAGCAAAAGATGGTACGTCAAAAAAGATTGTGTATAAAATTAGAAGTAGTAGAAGAGAAATTAGTATAATTACCATAGAAAAAGTGAATAGATTTTTTTTTCAAATTTAATGAAATATTTCAATAGGAAGTAAAAATTAAATTTAGCTAAAAATGTCTCTTAAAAGAGACCCGTTCATGATTATAATTAAATGTTTGCATTAACCAGAAACATTCTTTTTAGTTATTCTCAATTGCGATCGAGCCGGTTTGAGATCAGATTAATGCATGGAAAATGCCTTTTACCAGTTGTGTAAATTTTGTTCTAGTAACCATATATTTATATAATACAATTATGAATTTTGTATTATAAGAAATACTTACTTGTCGCTGGTTTACCTGAAATAATAACGGTAATGAAGTAAAATATTTTAAAAACAAGAATGAAGTTTTCAACTAACCATGTAACATAAATGAGCAATACAAAGCTGTTTAAATGAACTAAAGTAGCCATCTTATTGTTGGCCTATTACGAGTTCACACCCAAACATGTCTTCCCCAGCCTGTTTTTCATTTTAAAGCATAACAAATATGTAACAGAAACCTTTAAAGCACCAAAACCTTAAATTTACCAAATGAAAACGAGATAAAGAGTCATTCAATAAGATAAATGAGAATTATGTAGTACTGTAATTAGATTATCTTTTAAGGTTCTTCAAAGATTCAGCAACAGACAAGGAAGAATAACGATCACGTTACGCATCTCCCTCCCTCAATTTTATTCAACAGGACACCCAATTGCGGGGCACCGCACAGCAGAATAATACACACATACTAAGGTTTTTCAGTCTGACCCATTCCAGCCCACGTCGGTTGTTTTAGAAAAGGGCATATAAACCACTTTGATGTTTTAAATTGTACCGTACATTACGTTGTTTTAATTATTATGAATATTGATTACAATAGGCACACATTCTATAAAACTAATAGAGAAGAAGTAAAACCGACTCTCTTAAGAACGCACAAAACGACAATCTGAAAAATTTGCAGACTCGGTTTGATTGTGCATGTTCATAGGTGGCACTAGAAAGGGCACAAAACCGTTAACGCTCCCTAGCACCGACTTAAGCAGATTTCAACATTTTAACATGGTGATGGAGAAATCATCCGCAGATATGTTACACAATTGACGACAAAGATGGATTAAATATAATGGATGGAAAACATTTTTACGCTCCCTATTTGTACCGGTTTAGGCAATAATCAATTTTAAACCTGGAGGAACCCAAAAGACACAAGATAGAGTAAAAAGAAATCTTAAACATATCCACACAGAGTCTAACATTAATATTGAAAAAAAGAAAATTCATACCGCATCCGGCGCCGCCTCCTTCTCCACCGAATATTGTCTCGGCCAAACCAGCGAGCTCTTCAAATTTCTTTACATTGAAACTGAACTGATCCGTTGGAGTGTTAGCTATAGCGTCAACTTCTCGTGTGTCTGTTAAACCGATACCTGAAATAAAAAATACAAAAGCAATAAAAAATAGCTCGGTATAATGAAATGTTTTACAAGAAGCGCTAACACATGACCCAAATAAATAAATATAAAATAACATAAATATAAAAGGTCTTTGCTTACTCCAGCATTTTTTTTTTAAAACTGACAAAACAATTAACAACAACCTTTTCTAGAAAACTCGAGTTAGATGAATTACTTTACCAAAGGCATACAAATACTTAATAACAATATTTCTATTACGCGAGAATCAGTTGATTGTTACAAATGGCGAATGCGTTACTTCGTAACAACATTTCTAATAAAACTAAATATTAAATGGAATTATCTAACCAAATGCGCAAACGATAAGAGCCTCAAAGAAACTTAACTACATGTATTATACCAACAACATATACACGACTGAATAATAATGCTTCAAAAAAAGTCTAATTTATATGTTATACCGATGAGAAATACGTTAGTTTTATATAACAAAATGTCTTTAGAATTCAAAATAATCAAATTATTTTACCAAAGGCATGTACAATTCTTCAAAATATTTTTAAAGAAACTAATATCATCTTAAGCGTATAACCAAAAGCATGAACGATACTTGATAACACTATTACTACATGACTCAAATTAATTGATTTGTCTTACCAATGGCATATACTTCGATATCTTTCCTCCTAGCAGTGTTGGCCTCTGGAATAGTTCTTCTTGAGTTGATATTTGAAACACCATCTGTTAGCACAATACCGATATTTGGGACGCCTGGACGATCTCCGTTAGATCTTGTGAACATTCTTGAGTGCATAGTCATTATAGCGTCTGCAGTATTTGTACTTCCGTAAATATAAGGTATGTTATCAATAGCAGCCTTCACTGCTGAAGTGGTCTTGTATTCGTTCAAATTGAATTGAATCTGCACATCTGTACTGTATATGAGAACACCAATACGAACACTACCACTGTCTACATCGGCGTAGTCCACAAGATCTTTGCAGAAATCACGCATCTTCTGGAAATTAGGCGCCGTCACACTTGTTGATGCATCAATGATTATGACAAGATCGACCTCTGCCAGACCACAACCTATTTATTATACAAGTGATACGAGTATCTAAGTCTGAATTGCTTTGTTCTCTCTTCAACAGTCAAATTGTAATTACCAACGATAAAAATAGAACAGCGAGCGAAAAATAGGATCACCAAAGAACGTCCTAATTCGCAGAATTAAAAATGCTGCAGAATCGGCTTGACTTAGTTTGTTATGGACGGTATTGAAAAGTGCAAGGCACCGTTCGCGCTCCTAAGCAAATCCGTCATTTTGCTACAGTTTCTATTGAAATAATGTTTTTTTACTCATGTCATCATCTAACCAAAATTACATTAAAAATACTTCGTTCCCTTTGTTAACATTTTGTGTAGAAGAAGGTGACACTTTTTAAAAGTCTTTAAGTGACTCAACTGAGTTTTTTTCATGACGGGCATCATCTACGTTTATGCAAAATTTAAGATAATTCGAACACTTCGGGTTTTCAGAGAAAACGTTTCAATTGAGCTAAATGAACCCCAAACAAAAAGCGTTTAATTCTGTTTTAAAAGTCTTAGTTTTTGATTTTCACAGCCTATGCTTTTAGGCCTTTGTACCCCAGAGGAGTTCCTTTAATGTTAACTGCAATGTTTTGAGATTTTAAAAAAGTGTAATCTTACCTGGCTGCTGGGTTGGAACTACTGCCGTTGTTGTTTCCTTTTTAGCTGCAAATATTTTTGAAATTTTATTTAGGCTTGAAGATCCGTAAACAAATGCAAATTATACACAATGTAAAGGTTTACCAATGCAAAGCTAAACCGGTAATTGTGCTATTGTCAATTTATTGTCATTAAACTGTTCATTGCATATTATCCTGGGTATAAGCAAAAATAAAATAAAATTAAAATAAAAAATAATCACTGGTGTTATACAATTAATAACATGTATGGAGAATAAGGAATGACAGAAAACCCTTTCATTAAATATTGTTTTAGATATAGGCATTATTTGTTTAAAATATACATTCGTTAATGTTACTCCTAAAAGTAGAAGGTTTTAAATATTATTCCGAGGTCCAAGTGGAGAATTTGATGGTTAAGCAAATTGTGAAGTATAATAGAACAATTTTGGTACTCGTTCAAAGCATTACATTTTGAAGTATCCCATTCAAAGGTGTGAAAGTTATATTAGATGAAACATTGTCTCAGATGCTTACTAACTCTTCTGTTCTATCTATGGACAGACAGAAGAACTTGCGGCCGGTTGGTCAAGAGCAAATCAATATGCCCCACCCTCCAACCCGCAAACATTGTGGGGACATTAAAATGGAAACAGTTAAAACACCCAAAACGACAATACTGATAATATGTAGTCTCTGATTAATTGCACCCTTCGTAGACGGTAAAAAAGAAATATATACTTCCGTCCAATCCCATGCACCGAAATTCATTACATTTTGTATGTTTATTTCTAGTGTTTGAAAAAGGTGGATTAAAAGTTACAGAGAAACACTATGTCTAAGATATTCATGAAATCAAAAAGTTCAATTATTCGTGACTTATTCGCGACCTTTTTCTCCTTAGAAATCACAATTATTTTTAAAACATTCATAATATATGTTATTGTTTTTGAAAAAGAAGTGTCAATTTTTAAACGTTAAATCATTGCCAAGCTAAATTGAAATAATAATTAATTTCAAAGTATTAGCAATTTAATGCGATCAGCTATTTAGCTTTTACAAACTATCGGTACTATATTGCTCTTCGAAACAACTGTACTCACTTGGACAGAGTGCAGAGAAAATCTTCTTGTCTAACCCTTTAAGTTCGTCAAAGCTTTGTACATTGAAGCTGTTCTCTGTGTGAGGTGTAGATGCAATACCATCCAATTCTCTTGTATCTCTTAGACCGATACCAACAGCGTATATATGTATATTTCCTGCGCGTGCAGCCTGTATTATTACAAAGGATATCAATAAAGAGACTATGTCATGGTCCGGAATGATTTATATGATTCGCTAAGCATTTTAAAGAACTTGTAGTTAATAAATTTATACTCAGTACTATACAGTGTATTACCAATCATTTACCATTGACCTTTAGTCTGCCCACGGCTTACTAATCCTACACAGGCCACAAGTGCATACAAAGATAACCGACACATCCTTGCCGTCTGCTTATGGTCTGAACAGTTCCTTATTGAGTCAATACATATTTAAACAAATTTCCTAAATAGATGAATGGTTTAAGCCGGATTTAAATAGGGGCAAAATAAATTTAAGATAATTAGGGTGTTCATGGTTATCAAACATTTACATTAAATAATCATAATGCAAAATGTGAAGTAGGGTATTGACGTGACTTTGACAAGAAATTATGGTGATAAACTATTTTTGTATCAATTTTCTATAATCTGTAACTTTTTTTATCTCCCAATGGGATATATATAATAGATATTTAAATGTTACCTCAGCATTTGGTATGGTTTTCCTTGAATTGATATTTGATACGCCGTCTGTAATTACAATACAAGTGTTTGGGACATCTGGACGATCGCCGTTTCTCTGTGTGAACATAGTTTTATGCATTGTGGAAATAGCATCTGCTGTATTAGTACTGCCATAGATGTATGGAATCTTGTCGATGGCTGCAAAGACTTCTGCTTTTGTTGAATACCGATTTAGGTGGAATTGAATCTCAACTTCGGTGCTGTATATGAGGATACCAACTCGGACTGCGCCTGTTGGTAACATTTGTAAAATTGTTAGGATTGTAGCTCAGATTCTTAACACGCAAATAATTTCTAAACACACGATACGAGAGAAACAATATACGTGTATAAATGTCATTTTTAAGAAAAATTAGTTTACTTGTTTTGAGTAATCTGATAAACTATGATTATTGAACTGTAAATGAATGTAATAGGTAAACATAACAAGGAATGCTCCCAATCTTTATGAGTGAAAAAAGGACAGCAAACATTGTTGGTGCAAAAAACTAAATACTTATAATAGTGACAGAATGTAGTTATAAGATAAAAAAATCTGAAAGATTTGAAGATAATGTTAAAATAGAAACAGACTTCTTAAAGACACGTCTTATGAACAAAACAATACAGAAAAGGTTTCTAGTAACTATAGTTCTTATAAAATACCTGCATCAAAGTGCATCGGTTTACATTGGCCACATTTACCATTAGCAATTCAAATATTATCAAAACAATATAAATGTATCATTTGATGGCTGTTTTTATAAAATATTTCTTGACAAAAATATGTTGATACATTTTTAAGTGATTTAGTATGGGCATTTATATGATAGTTAAAAATGATTTATTCTATAACATTTATTTTTTTGCTATACAATCTAAAAGATGTGGTGTGTAATATCACGTGTCACACACTTTCCTACAACATTCATATAATCATTATATATTCGAGGTTTGTTATCATATACAATACTAAACATTACAAGTATTAATTTTGGGAAATTACTGACTTTTCATTTTAGACCAATTCACTTTAATCAACCCAACAACATAAATCTAAACAATTATTTCTTACTTTTATATACATGTATAATGATAAATTAAACTTCACATTTATGGTTCAATTGAAATTAAACAAACCCGAGTCAATATCTGAATTCCTTAGAAGATCTTTTGTGAATTGCAGTTGTTTATCGTAGTTAGCCTGAGTCACGCTAGTAGATGCATCTATTATAATCACCAGATCTGACTTTAGACCACACTGATCTTCAGCTGAAAGACGAAGTAAAAGTACTTTCTTTTAATACAAGTGCTCTTTTATTCCATACAATATCAAAATTTGTAAAATTAATATTTTGATTTAGAATTAGTTCGATGTTATTACGGATCAAGCAAATTATGAAATAATCATTTAATATGTACATTTTTAGATAAAAATCAAAAATGCTTTGCCAATTAATCTGCCTTCATCTATATCGCAAAGGTCTGGTATAAAAATCATTGTAGATTTTTTTTTTTATTTTGAATCTTAAATCTGGAAGAAAAAAAGCATCGGACTGATATTCTCTGCTTTCTTTGATATTTTTAAAGAAATAAAATGTGTTGTATTACAATATCAAGGTTACATATATTTTCATATTTCTATTGCTGTACGTACCAAACAAACTCGTATTGTAAATGTCTTGCTTATAGAAGCAGATTAATGGGCACGTATTAAGATAAAAAAAGGATAAATATTACATGGTATTACTAGGCTAAAAATATTCGAAACTAAAACAAAATAATAATAATAATAAAAGAAAGTATAAAAAGAATAAAATAAATTGTAACGTAAATTTAAGAAGTCTAGATATTAAGTTAATAAAATAAGGAAGTAAATTAAATATAAAACTATTACATCAACATGATTATGTTAGTAGAGAAATATTTAGCATTAATAATCACAATAACCAAGTGACATGTGTACGTAAAACAACATAAACAAGCGATACCTCATGCTTATATTTTAATATCTTACCATCCAATCGTTCTCCCAAAAAGGGCAAAAACAAATACATACAGGAACACGTTTTACAACGAGAAAAGCAACAACATTTAAAGAAAGATATCCTTATTACCGCCCAAATGCGCGTAGAAAAATAGTTCGCAAAAAACGAGCGCAACATTTACTTATTGCCCATATAAACCGAGCTCTTTTAAGAAACCAAATATCAAAATGTAAAATACAAACATTCTACGCATTTGCATTTCAATATAACTATCTACACCCCAGTATCATACACTCGTTTACAAAAAGAGCTATAAGCTTCTTTCATAATACCTTTGCTGAAAAAAAACTTTGCGCTTAGTATAAGCTATTTATACATTGTGTAGTATTTTGCGTGAAAGATCGTTAGAGATCTGTATTTTGTTTTGTCAGATTATATGTATGTAATGCCTCATAACGCTTGTGCTTATTTGGTTTTAGTAAGTATGACGTGATATATAACGTCATAAATGACGATGAAAATACTGCTGCACGCGCTGTGTATATAAATACTTGGTTACAAAATAAAAGGGTATGTTGAGTATGTAATGTTCTTTTATTTGTACATTGTAGTGTTATATAAATAACAATTCATTGAACTATTATGTATAAGGGACATTATACACACCATCTCAACAAAAACATCTTATTAAAAGTATATTGTAGGTGAATACAATATAACTAAATGATTAACTAATGTATAAAATGTAGCACTTTATTTTCCCGTTTCCCATACACCTTACAACACTTATATGTACACACCGACTCCAAAATATAAGCAATACAAAACCATTATCCTGTTTACAGATGATTACCGTTAGTACCCATGCATGCGAATTCAAATACGTCGCTCAAGTGAAAACGCAGTTCGTCAAAGTTAGGAAGGAGCTGTGCAGACTCAGTGGCTATATAGTCAGCAACATTGTAAAACTCCGACGGTGATTCCGTTTCAATTCCCAGTAATAGTACCCGCACTCCTCTCGATGTCAGTGCCTTTAAATTCTCACGTGACCTCCATGAAGCGAAATCTGATTTACCATCAGTAATTATCACAGCAACATTTTGCGCATTGTCTCGATCCCCATGATCGTTAGTAAACATAGAATTATCTAAGAAATGTATACCATCAGAAAATGGCCATATACTGCTCGGCTTTTTCGCCTTAAGGATCTCTTCCAAAAGGCTGTCACGCTTGGTATAGCTGTTTAAATTAATCACAAGGGAATTGTAAACTAATATTCCAACATTAGCGTGATCTCCATTTATATCAACTGCAGCGACGAAATCATGTACTGTCTTAAGGACTTTTTTGAATTCCGATTCCCTCACATATTCAGAAAAGTCAAGTACAAATATAAGGTCAAAGTCACTCTGTCTGCATGCTTAAAATAGAAACAAATGTTTGCAATAGGAATTGGACTTGATAACGAATTTGTGGCTTGTATTCAACGCCAGTTTGTATTTAGTTATTACTAGATTGATTGGTAAATAATTAAGCATATTCTGTATTGAAATTTACTTGTCATGTAAACTTTAAAAGTTCATATATCACAATAAAGTAATACATAATTCCATATTTATTAACACAACTTACATAATTTTGGAAGGTCAGAATACACGATAACATCTGAAATAAAACAGTTGAAATTTTTCCCCATAAAAGTAAAACTTGACATAGACTACTTTTATCAAAAAGGCAGTGTTTCAAAGACAGGCCAAAACGACAAAATTAAAATATGAAATATGTTGCAGGTTTGATTTGTTTAAATGTTTACTTTACGAAAGAAAATATGTGAAAAAAGCACTCTAAAACACTAACCTTTATATATTAAATCAATTTAAGTAAACTACATATACGCTTATGTAAGAAAAGGGTTTTTCCAATTTTTTATTTCTAATATATTTAACTTCCTTTATGCATTGAAACATAAAATAATTTGAAAACAAATTGTCCAAATTTTCTTACCACTACAGGCAGAGCGTATGAATGTATCAAGTTTAAATTCTAACTCGTCGAATCTATCAATATTAAGTTTGTTTTCAGGATTGCCCGCAATCGTATCGAGCTCCTTAGTGTTATTCAAGCCAACTCCTATTGCTAATAAAATTATTCCTTTTCTCCTCGTCTTATCAGACTCTGATAAAACTTTATGATAATTAATATTCGACACACCATCTGTGATTATAATTCCAATCATATCTGCTTCTTTTCTCGCTCCGTTCACAGATGAGAACATATCATTTCTCATAACCTTGAGTGCCCCTGCGGTATTTGTGCTGCCGGCCATGTATTCAATATTATCCATAGCTTCTAATATTTCTTTTTCAGTTCTGAATCGATTTAGATGAAATTTTATAGAATAACTCGTGCTGTAAATCAGTAGTCCAAACCTAGTTTTTCCTGAATCAACGTCGGCACTTGCAATGAACGATTTCGTAGCGTCCAGCATAGTTTGAAAGTTTTTCTTTCCCATACTTGTTGAAGAATCGAGGGCAAACACAACATCCAATGCAGTACTTGAACATACTGTAACGAGAGCAGTATATGTTTTGATTTTGATTTATCGTGAAAAGATCAATGTCCCTTCACCAAATGTGTATCTGATTATATCATTAAAATTTCTACCACTACTCTCACATTCTTTTTTGGCGCAGTTTCCTACGCTTTGCTTGCCGCTGGTTGCTATGTAATTAATTCGCTTGTCCTTCCTATTGAAAGTTTTGCTCTGCTTCGGGTTCTTGTCCGTTGTGTATAATAGTAATTAATACTATGTAAAACAACAGTGCTATGTTTGCGGCATGCAGGCACCAAACTTAATTATTACTTTTCAAAAAAATAAAACAATTTGCATGGTATATTGGCTGGATGAGCATATGCTGCAGATAACGTTCTTTACAGCTTCTTGGAATATTAACATGCTGAAAGCGCAACAGGATTCATTTAATACGTCGCTCGCAATTGCACAATTAGATCAATTGGTTACAGCACATTGCGAGAATGAAGTAAACATGACACATTATAAGATATATTTGAAAAAGTCAATAAAAGAAGAAGCAGGTGAGGTGACACCATGTCCTTTGAACAACATAAAGTGCAACGATGTGAGTAAGTAAGTATATGTAACAGCAAGGAGACTGCTAGAAGAGAACAGCATCCAAACCGAGATACAACCTAACCTCTGCGTGATTTACATAAAAATACATATATTTCAAACTTACTTATATCAGGGGTAAGAGTTGTTTCCCATGCTGTAAAGTATTAAAGAATTATTCTATTTGAAAACGCTGAACGCTTGAGTACGTTGATCTACTTTTTGCATTTATATTTAATAAAGATTGAATTTAATAAAGATACATATTTCGTACGCTAGATATATATTTAAATCAAATAACATTTAAAATACATCATAACTTTTCAAGAGAAACTACAATGCATATTCGTGCTAATATTAAATAATGGTAACATTTGATTTAATTAAGTGTATATATGTTTCATTTCAGATAAAAAATAGATTTGCAACCTTTACCACCACACAGTGACTTGTAAACACTATCCAGATTAATTTCAAGCTCCTCAAAATTTTCTATGTCAAATCGATGCCCTGATTGTCCGGCAATAGCATCAAGCTCATCAGTTTTTGAAACACCAACACCAATAGCGTATATTTCAATTCCAGATTCTCTGGCTTGTTTAGCCTCTGGAATGGTTTTGTAGTGGTTTATGTTAGAAACACCATCAGTAACAATGACTGCCACATTTGGAATGCCTTCTCTATCGCCATAAAATGGTGTAAAACTGCGAGTTCGAACCATCTTTATCGCATCTGCTGTATTTGTGTCTCCAAAAGTGTATTCTATTGCATTTATTGCGTTTAACAGCTTCTCCTTTGTTCCGTATGTTTTAAGGTCAAATTCCACACGCACTTTTGTGCTATAGGTTATAACAGCTATTTTAGTGTTCCCTGTGTCAATGTCAGCGTGACTGACAAAACCATTTACCGCCGCAATCATCAGTCGAAAGTTGGTTTCCGTCACACTGGTTGATGTGTCCAACACGAAAACAAGATCTATACTGGTACGAGTGCATGCTGTCATGAAATTATAAAAGAAATGCCTTCCTCTATCTTAATATAATGATACTAATTTGGTGTTTTATGTAACTTAAATCCCTTTGATAACTTCTTTAGAATGAAAGGTTCTTCACACGTTTTTAATAATAATAGTATTATTTACTAATACTTTGATGAATATGTTTACTATTAGATTTCCGCACCTTCATTATTAATATTAGTAGGTACAAACAATAATTATCTTATCTTGAGTGTTTCAAAATACGATCAAGCAGAGAGTTAATCATTACAATCGCGTTTGTATTAACACTAATAACGTATACTTGGAAACACGATAACTTACGGCCTTTTGGTGATGTAGACCTTAAAGGTGTTGTTGCTGAAGTTGTGGGAGGCAATTGTGTTGTAGTTTCTGTAATATGATCTAATCATCTCTTAAATCTATTCATAACAATGTAATACCACAACCAGACAATTGCGCATGCGCAATACTCATTATTGACATGCAAACTGAATTGATATAAATCCGGTTACACAATGGCTGTGAAGTTGGACATGATCATCATCAATACAGAATTATCGATTTTTTTTATAAATATTACTTAGCCATACTAAAAATGATGCATTATTATAGGTACTTGAAAGTTGAATATTCAAGGATTTAAGTGTAAACTTTTTAATTTCTAACAGTAACGTTTTAATGTTTGGAGCATTTTTAATTGCCTTATTTTGAAGCGGTTAAAGCCATTTTTATTGAATGATGTATTACGAATATTGTCGAGAAAGCGTGAAAAAGCATTCTAACACTATCGGAGTTAAGCCGGAAGTGTGCTGTATGTCACATTTCGCATTTGTGCACTCAAGTGCATATGTTTACAGGGTCATATTTGATAGTTCCATCACTTTAAACATACGTCCGAAATGATCGGTCAACACTTGTAAACAATATTACAAAAAATACACAAGCATTTTTTCATTCTCAAATCAATTTCGCAAATTAAAGTATTATTGACAGTGTTTGTGTTTATAACCAAATGTAAAAGCCATTAAACCGTTCATATAAACGAAATGGAGGCTTAAACAAATACCACCAACAAATTGTACTCAAGTCTTATTTCTTTCGTGCCATATTTCTTTCGTGACGTGTTAGAATGGAAATATATTTTGGCTTTTGAGTGCATTGTTGTATAATATTGCATGGTATGTCGTGCAAATGTTTGAAATTAATAATACAGGTCTACGGCCTTCATGATTATTCAAATGCGCATCTGAACTCTATACCGAACAATATAATACAACAGCACAATAAAAACCAACATCTATTTCCTAAATAGTTGTTGTTAGGTTTGTGAATTCATTTGCTTATTTTACGCACAAAGGTTATATCACCCATGAGACCAAGACTTATTGAACAATAGTAATAGCTTGTTATTCTGTTTAATTGTGTGATAACTTTCAAAAGCAATGTATACGTTCAAGAAAAGAAAAATGAAATGATGGAAAAGTAGTTATCATAGAAATTCTTCTCTACTTTGGTGAGAAAGAATGATGCACCACAGATTTAATTGTGACGTTATTAGTGAAGCTTAAAACTATAGTTCACCTGGAGTGTCATGCTGTTACACAAGTGTGTTTGCTGAAGTAAAGCGATGATCATACCACTTTGAGAATCATGCATGCATCCCCTGCAAGCGTGAACATCTCTTAGATGTTGAGAACTGTTAAGCGATTATTTTATTATTTAATATTTGTAATGAACAAGTCCGAAGCACGACTGATAAAGCAATAGAAAGATGCCGCATACAGAGCTGTGAGGTTTACCAGGGCATATATTTTTATATATTCTTTCCATTTTCTCGTCCAGCTCGTCAAAGTTGTCAATAAAATACCGATTTTCAGGTCTCCCCGCAATTGCATTAAGTTCCACGGTGGCTGTCAATCCAATTCCAATGGCATAAATTTGAATTCCTTGTTCACGTGCTCTGTTCGCTTCCGGAATAGTACTATCGTTCTTAACAGTTGACTCTCCGTCAGTAATAACAATAGCAAGATTTGCAATCCCTGGTCTATCACCATTGGCTGGAGAAAACATTTCTGTCCGCATTAGTTTCAAAGCATCTGCGGTATTAGTCATTCCATAGGTATACTTTATTCTAGATATAGCATCAATAATATCTTCTTTATTTTTATAAGAATTTAAATGGAACTCAACGTGTGCTTCTGTACTAAACACAACTACTCCAATTCTCACATTGTCACCTTTAGAGTCAATGTCGCGCACAAGTCTTTGTGTTGATAATAACGTTTTATTCCAATTTTCCGGCTGAACACTTGTTGAAGCATCTAGGATTATCACCAAGTCAAATTGAGTACTACCACACGAAATATTGTCGTCTGCAAAGAGGAAATGTTAGCAATCTATACTTAGCATCTATGTTAATTCTAAAAAGCGTTTTACCGTAAACTAATAACACATTAATTTAATCTATCTGTTGTACCGAAAAAAAACCCTAACCAAATTAATTTTCCCTAAAACTTGAATTACCTGTACCATTTGTTGTGTCTTTCCCCATCCAATAGTCCAAATTAAACACCGCACATGATTACAAAACATACAAAACAATAACGAACACAATTTTTTTTCAACGTAACATGTTTGTAGAACGAATTGATTCGTTAATAAAAAACCCAAAACAAATCTTAAGCGTTTAAATAGTTAGATAATACACACTTAAACAATTATCAACCCATCACCAACATGTATCTAATAATGTACCATAAAATACAAAATAAGTTACACTGACACTCGTAATGTCACGTGACAAAAACGTGATGGGACACGAAACTTACATGCACGGGAAAGAGGTTTGGATTTGTTCAAAACTGAAAAAGGAGATAACAAAAAATTAATTGAGCATATCTTGTAAATGCTCTACAGTAAAATATTTACGTCAATCTGCAGAAGAAAGATGTTTACATGGTTAAATATAGAATATTGGATATACATTATCTATTGTTACCACATCAATGTTACATTGTTTTACTATAAGCATACATATCATATGACATTTATACATTTCTATTAATACAGACTACAACTGCGAATATCCTTAATCTAGTAAAATCTTTTTCTCAAGATTATTGTTCACTTTAATCCAGTAAATCTTATACCTCAAGATTAAAGTTCAGTCTTACATCTCAATATTAAGGGTAAAATCTACATCTCAAGATTAAGGTTTACTCTAATCCAGTAAAATTTATATCTCATGATTAAACCTAACTTTAATCCAGTAAAATATATATCACAAGATCTAAGTTCATAACTACTCTATCTACAGCTGTTTTTTTGTAATAAATCTAACCATACCTACATACTGCACAGAAAGCACTGTACTTTACATATATGGACACAGTTGTGATAAATCAAAGGACAAAACAAAATGTTTAATTGATACATATTTTGGGAGTCTCTATTCTGAAAAATATGTGATATTGTAGTAAAATTTTAACTCTTTACAACATTTTACAATATGTTATAATTATAAAAGTAATCGTAAGTGTAATGAAAAGTTAATTTTAAACTCATCGTTGTAAAAGTAATCATAAGTGTAATGTAATGATGGAAATTAGTGATTATCTTGCTCTTACCTCCATTTCTGTCTGCAAAACGCTTTCCACCTATTAGGTAATATTATTTTTTTAATCATAATCATTATTATTTTATATAAAGCAGCATACCTCCACATCTATTTAATGGAAATTTAGAAATGTATTCATTCTTGTTGATAAATGATGTCAAGGGTATAAAAACAGCAATAGCCTGAAGTATTTATAAACAGAATCAAAATACAACAAATAGAATAGGACAAGCCAGCTCTTATTCTTAAGTGAGTCATTTAAAATATGGAAAAAATAAAAAATTCTTCCATTTTATTTTGCACTTAATTACATGTATTTATATTTCGAATGCCATTTCTTTTAAATTGTCTACTCATGTGGAGTCATGCCGCTTTTCTTGTTCGTTTTAAAGATTACTCTTAAATGTTAAATATAAAGTTTAGATGAAATTCATAGTTTTACTTCATGTGATTATTTTTCATGTATTTTGTTTAGAAATTTAAGAAAATACATAACATATTTATGTTAACATCAATGTTAATTTATTTAATATATCGTTTGATATTAAAATCTATTGAGCAGAACGTGTAAATTTTAAAGAAAGAAAACGTATACGTAATGGTGATATTTTTTATGAATATATAATGTGCTATAAGATAATTATCATCTAGAAGACGTGTTTTACTACTACTTTATACTTTATCTTCAGCGATTTTGTAATTGTGTGTATTAAACAAATCATCTACAAATGACAACAATGCAAGCAAACATTTTCAAAGTGATTGTATAAACGTTTACCTAGATGAATTTCGAAATGAAAGTACACTCTTGTTAGAAAGTTGATCATGGTTTATTAACGAAAACACTAATATGTTTGTAAGACTCAAAGCGTAAAAGCAAATTGTCATTCAGTTGGAAATATAAGGTTTTAAACATTTGCTTTTTATGTATTCATACAACGCCGGTGTTGTTTTGACGTTCCTGGTTTAACAATAATCAGAATGGTATATACATGTATCTAAGAAAAATGCACGAAGATTTTTAACCTATGCCCCATACTTTAAATGTACAAAATACTTATGCCAGATTATCTAAAGGTAGAGACATAAGGACCAATACTAAGGCCAGTTAATTTAAATATAGGAAAATAAAAATCAATACTTAGGCCTGCCAATTTAAATTTAAAAACACAAGGGACAATTCCTGCATAATTCATTCGTTAATTAAGAAACAACAACATCAACCATTAAATAAAATAGTTCCAGATATCACATCTGTTGACGTTTGGCAACAGTACTGAAATAAAAAACGTGATGTTTTGTTACAAAACAAACGAAAAGCAAAGGCAGTAATATGATTTGCTAAAAGAACAAATAATTTTGTTTCCAAAATAAACAATACATCAAGTAATACGACCACATAGAAACAAGTGTAAAATGTTAGACGATGAAAACAGGAATTGCAAATAATATGTACTTGTTTATATCATTGTAAACATCTTATAACACACAAAACGTTAAAAGCAATCACACAACGTTACAACGTTTTTTTGTATCAACGAACTATAATTGGCAACAATGAACTATTTTCAATGAAACACAATTAGACTTTGCATGTAGATATACCGTCACACATAAAATCAGCTTTTGCAAATTGTGTTTCTCATTTTACTTTAACACAGTACAGTAAAAGCAACGCATTTAATTATTTCTACATAGCGTATGAATTATATGTGGTTTGATAAAATATGAGAAAAAAACTGTGTTTACTAGGACATGTAACATGTAAGGCGTTTGTTTATTGTTGGTGCACTGTGCTTAAATACCTAGACATGTCGTAGGAAATAAATCCGTTTTTACTTCAGCAAGTCGGCTAAAGTTATCAACAACAAACCTATTGTATTCCAATGGTTTACTAGCAATACTGTCTAACTCGTTCAAGCTATTCAAGTTGATTCCAATAGCAATTATATGAATTCCTGCATCATGGGCTAGCTCGGCCTCAGTTGAGACAAGTTGGGGATTCATATTTGATACTCCATCGGTTACAATAACAGCTACGTTTTTTATGCCATCACGATCTCCGTTTTCCTTCCGGAACATCTGCGTGCGCATGGTTCGAATTGCGTCGGCCGTATTGGTGTTTCCGTAGGAGTAGGCTACCTTTTCAATTTCGTTGTTAAATGTTACTTTGTCTTTAATTTCATTGAGGTGGAATATAATTTTAGACCTTGTACTGAATGTCATCAGGCCAACTCTTACGCCAGATGAATGAACATTTGCATCAGATACCATTTGTTGAACGAAATTGAGCATTTTCTTAAAATTAATTCCGCCAACACTTGTTGATGAATCGAGTATAAAGACAATGTCGATAAAAGAAGGGGGACAATCTGATAAAAAAATAACGTTCGAACATTATAATAAAGAAAGTTATATTTTGTTATCATATAATACTAATCAACATTTGGATAATTTGATATTCATTGTATTTGAATAATATTTTTAAATTTCAATGAGAGGAAGTTACATCGTGTTTATTTTTCATGTAATAGGACTTGCATAATACTTTTTAAAGAATATATAGTTAAATGAAGTATCTGCGAAAACAATCGAATAATATATATTACTCCCTATTACCTTCACAAAGTGTCTGCATGAAAGATGGGCTATACGAAACCAAAGACTCAAAGTTGGGTAGAAATACAGCTGTTCTGTTTGATGGTAAGGATGTAATTTTCTTGAACTCAGAATATGCCCTGAGTTTTATAGCAAATGCATATAAGTATATTCCATTCTTTTTAACAGTCTTAGACTCAGGCACCATCTGATCCGGATCCACATTGGCCTGTCCATCCGTAATGAGAACCGCAACATTAGGAATATTGTCCCTATCACCACCACTTTTGGTAAACCCTTGCTGCGTTATTGCACGAAGCGCCGCAGCCGTATTGGTGTTACCAAACTCTTGTGGAATAGCGTCAATAGCTTTTATAACATCTGCATTTGTTTTATATGTGTTTAAATCAAACTCCAACTTCGCCTGATTATTGAACGTGAATACACCAACGCGAGATGTCCCGTTGGTAATATCAATTTCAGAAACAATATACTTGACAAATGTTTTCATGTTTTGAAAATCCTTGCCTCCCATGCTAGTTGATGTGTCCAAAAGAAATATCAAATCAACTTGGATTAGACTACACACTGGAATAAAACATAACTGTTCGGTCGGGAATATGATATGAATTTGTCTTCGAATGTCTTTTTCAAAAGGGTTTATTATCGTGACTGGCTAATTGATTATGACGACGTGTTTTATTAGAATATCAATCTCATTAATTGTAAAATTGCCATTATGATTACGTAGGAAGATGAAAACTCAAAATAAGTTGGTTTTGTTATCAATATTTTAAATTAACTGCCTGAAACTTTTTACAATAAAACTACAAACCAGTATAAGCTGGAGGTTTACTAATAATGTAATGGAATGGCTCTTAGTATTGTAAATAAAAAACAACTTAATTTCATTTGTAAATACACCAATATGGTGACGTTTTTGACTTTACTGAACAATACAAAATAACGGAAAGATACGATTCATTCTAAGAGTATACACAGGAACAAAGCAGCACCCGCCAACCAAATAAAGCGATGTTACCTTACCTTCAGGTATTCTAGCGTCATCGCGAAGTGGTGATTCAATCCTTAATTGGTTTTCTGAAAGCATTCGCCTATTCTATTGAAACAACTATTTTCGAACATCCAAAACGATTGATGATACACATTATTTGTTTACAACATAACAATCATTTTAGATTTTATACGAGGTGTCTTACAGAAACTATATCGTGATAAAGAAATACCCCTAAGGAAATCATGAAGCAACAAAATAAAAAAATTCTCACTCGACATGCAAAGTTAATAATATGCAACGAAAAGACTTTCTTTTTCTAAATCAAAATCTTATTATTAGTACATGTAGTACTATATTTTTCACCATATAATTAAATCTACATATTTATGTACCGATATCACTTACACAACACTATTACCAGCTGTCTGATTTAAAAAAAAATCAATAAAATATTCAACAAACTGTTGTTTCTAGTAAAATTGATTTCGTTCTCGTGTAAATCCAAGATGGAGAACAAATACAATAATAAGGGTATATTCCTAATTGATGTAGGGTATGACATGACAGTAGTATGAGATGTTATAGAATAAATGTTAGAAAATGAATATGTCAGACTTAGTTTCGGTCTTTACTCACTAGACAAAATTATTTCTTTTGCTGAAATTGCTGACAATAAGAAAGATAAAGAAGGGGCTGACACAACATCAAACAGTGATATACTGAAATCAATTAACCCACCCACCGATATGATCCTCACACATTCATTCGACTCTTCTACTTCGCTCGCATTAACAACATTTGACGTGTTGTAAAACATACAAATAATATTACGATATAATAAAAAGATATAATGATAATAATAACTATAATAATAATAATAATAATAATAATAATAATGATGATAATAATAATAATTATAATAATAGACATAATGATAAGTAACCAAATAGTATATTACTATCAAGCCAATAAGAACACTAATTTTAACAAAGGACTGAAAAGATATAATATTTTACGTTCAAATTTCATACTAGATTTAAATAAATTCGATAAAAAATATTGTGGGCTAAGAATTTATTTCTCTTTGTCATGAAGTATTTCTTTAAAAAGACTTATCCATAAACAACTTAACTAAAACAACACCAAAACAAATGAAAAACGTCAATAAGGTGAGGGGCAGAATGTTTTATTCAAAACAAGGCAAACCTGATATTAGTGGTGGTAATTCAATAAATTTTTCTTCTGTAGTCGTTGTCCGTGTTTCAGCTGCAAACAAAAATTGAAAAAAAAACAGCAAATCAGGAAAAAATCGCAATATCTGATTTTAAATCAAAGGTAAAGGTGGTGTTCTAAAATAAGTTTTATTATAATTATACAGATCAAAATGTACTACAACATTGTACACATATATCAGGACATTTCATCAAAGTGACATAATGCGCATGTTTTTCTAGTCAAGTTCAGCTGAATTGCCTCAAATTGTTTCAAACGTTTGACTGTTCAAATGGTGATTGTCTAACAGTTGATATTTGAAAATGCTTACGATAAAATTTAAATCTGCCTTAAAAAATAAAAAAGACTCCCAACCTCTTTTTTTATAATTTGAACGTTACAGGTATATTCTAATTGATGTTTACAGAAATTTAGTCTGGCTCCTTGCATTATTTATTATTTATGCAAAGTAAATAATTAAATTAAAATGAATTATGGCAAAATAAAAACATATGTTGACTTTCACCCTATCATTGGATGGGCATAATGTCACTTTAACTTTATTAGAAAATTTCATACAAACAAGTCTTAAAGAGACCTTTGTTATAAAAAAAATAATATAGCTCCGTGAGTCTGATAATGTCAGACAAACAAAATTTGAACACTTCGAAGCCGAATTCGTATATCATTCTATATATGAAAAATATCGAAACATTTCTTACATTGAGATGTTTCTATCTATCTAGTTCTTTAATTCTGATACATTCGATTATTATATATAGTTAAGCTTTCAAATAAAGAGAAAATAAGATGAAAAAATATTTCATAATGATTTATTGAAAAGGAGTATGTCTTGCATATGACAGTCACTGTGAACGTAAGGTATGCATTTAGAAATGCTTTTAATTTAGACTGTAACTACAAAAACATTTAAATAATTGATATAAAACACAAAAAGCCCGGATTAGTTTTAATTTTCAAAAGAATTCGATAAGCGTGTTTTAGCAATATATCACAAACATATTAATAACAAGGAATAATTTATCTAATAAAAAACTAAATCAATGCGGCTTACAGTAAAAGTATTTTCGTATTCATTTTTCAGAAGTTATATGAGCCGCGTCACGACAAAACCAACATATGGCTTTGCGACCAGCATGGATCAAGACCAGTCTGCGCATCCGCGCAGTCTGATCAGGATCCATGCTGTTCGCTTACAAACCCCAAAACAAATAGAGAAACTGATAGCGAACAGCATGGATCCTGATCAGACTGCGCAGACTGGTCTGGATCTATGCTGGTCGCAAACCCACTATGTTGGTTTTGTCGTGACGCAGCTCATATCTAGAAAAGAAAGAAAACTACCCATTAACAAACAGATAGATATAAAACATGTTTATTTGTCTTACTTGTAGTTGTAGTCGTGGTTGTAGGTAAAGTTGTTGTTACTTTCTTTTCTTTCTTTGCCACTACAATTACAAAATAACATTTTATATTATAGAAGGTAATAATTTGAAAGCCAACATGCTTCAAAAGTCAACATGTAGTACAGGCACAGACAAATACCTACAATGATCTGTTGAACGAATGCCAAATTAATGAATAAATAAATAAATAAATAAACAAAACAAAATCGGAACAGTTAAATTCATAAGGCAAAACATAATACCAACAAGAGCACCGCTAGGCGGAGCATTATATGCCCGAAAGTGATTTTTTTTTTTTAGTAAAGATGAAGAATTTGTAAGACATGGAAATTAAATAAAGTATTAACTCCTTCACAAAACAATCATCCTATGAAGTTTAAACACAGTTGGCCAAATCAAACTTAAGTTATGTTCCAACAACTGTTTTCAGTTTCAAGGTCATAGTGACCTTGACTTTTCACCTTGTGACCCCAAAATCAATAGGGGTCTTCTACCCAATATGGACAATCATCCTATGAAGTTTGAAAACTGTGGGCCAAATTGAACTTAAGTTATGCTAAAAAAGCTGTTTCAATTTCTAAGTAATAGTGACCTTGACCTTCGACCTTGTGACCCCAAAATCAATAGGGGTCTTCAATCCAATATGGACAATCATCCTATGAAGTTTGTCCACTGTGGGCCAAATGGAACTTAAGTTATGCCCCGGAAACTGTTTTTCAGTTTTAAGGTAATAGGGACCTTGACCTTTGACCTTGTGACCCCAAAATCAATACGGGTCTTCTACCCAATATGGACAATCATCCTATGAAGTTTGAACACTGTGGGCCAAATGGAACTTAAGTTATGCTCCAGAAACTGTTTTCAGTTTCAAGGTCATAGTGACCTTGACTTTTGACCTTGTGACCCCAAAACTATAGGGGTCTTCTACCCAATATGGACAATCATCCTATGACGTTTGAACACTGTGGGCCAAATGGAACTTAAGTTATGCTAAAAAAACTGTTTTCATTTTTAAGGTCATAGTGACCTTGACCTTTGACCTTGTGACCCCAAAATCAATAGGGGTCTTCTACCCAATATGGACAATCATCCTGTGAAGTTTGAACACTGTGGGCCAAATGGAACTTAAGTTATGCTCCGGAAACTGTTTTCAGTTTTAAGGTCATAGTGACCTTAACCTTTGACCTTGTGACCCCAAAATCAATAGGGGTCTTCTACCCAATATGGACAATCATCCAATGAAGTTTGAACACTGTGGGCCAAATGGAACTTAAGTTATGCTCCGGAAACTGTTTTCAGTTTTAAGGTCATAGTGACCTTGACCTTTGACCTTGTGACCCCAAAATCAATAGGGGTCTTCTACCCAATATGGACAATCATCCTGTAAAGTTTGAACACTGTGGGACAAATGGAACTTTAGTTATGCTCCGGAAACTGTTTTCAGTTTTAAGGTCATAGTGACCTTGACCTTTGACCTTGTGACCCCAAAATCAATAGGGGTCTTCTACCCAATATGGACAATCATCCTATGAAGTTTGAACACTGTGGGCCAAATGGAACTTAAGTTATGCTCCGGAAACCAAATTGCTAACGGACGGACGGACGGACGTACGGACGGACGGACGGACGGACGGACGGACAGACGGACGCCAGGGGGTATAACATAATATGCCCGAAATTCTTTCGGGCATATAAAAATATAACACTTTTTCGCCACATAAAAAGACTAATACATATTCAAGATATCAATATCTCTTAGTTAACTTACATGCCAATATTTTTTTCTGCAATTCAGGTGCGGCGGCTGTAAGTTGTCCATATCTTTTAACCATCATGACGTTTTCAGGAACAGTAGCTAGAGTTTCTAATTCTTCTTTATCATTCATATTAACACCGATTGTAAAGATTTGTATGCCCTCAGCATCAACACCTTGCTTTGTCTCCTCCTTTTGTTTAGAATATTAGAATTTTATAAAGTAATAAAGATTTTATAGATGTCATTACAAGCAGAATATAGCTGTCTATAAACAACAATTTAAAACATAACAAACAAGACGAATGAGAATGATCATAACTGTCATCACTTAAGTTTACTTAGGATTATGAAAAAAAAAATTCTAAAGTTTTTATGTTCATCAATATGAAAAAAACCCTCTAAACGTCTTTTATCCTTAAACACATCTTGATAACATAGACTGATGTTTAAGCTGTAAAATGACTTTGTATTGATAAACAATACAAGAATTGTAAAAATATTAAATCATCTAGCCTCAAGGAACATTAAATGCCACGAATATTCAAAGTTTATAAACGATTGCAAAATCTTACTTACTATCAAATTCACATTTTCGTTTGAAGGCTCATCGGTTATTAGAATTAGGGCAGACGGTACATCGCCTTCTCTTCCGTCGAAATATGTTCCAAGCATTTGTCGTCCCAAGGCCAATGCTCCAGAGACATCATTACGATAAGATCTCATACGATTTCGGTTTAATCCGTCAATTTCTTTTTTCATACTTTCAACGTCATGATATCTGTTAATGTTGAAGTAAAAAGTTGGTTACTGGTCACATGTGGTACAATAATGATATTGTAAAAATTTTGTCGTTTCAAAAATTGACAAACATTAAATTTATCAAACAAAATGATTGAAATACAATGAATTTTCTATAACATACGTACTGGTTAATATGGAATATGACTTCTGGATCAGCCGCATAAATCATTAAACCGATTTGTACATCATTGTTTTCCACTGCTTCTTCTGCATTTTCAATAAGCTCTTTTAAAAATTCTTGGACAGATCCAAAGTCGAATGGTGATGCTTTAGGCGTCAGATGAACCGCTATTACTATATCAGCCTGAGTGGCCTCTAAAATAGTTTTAGATGTCAGTTAAGTTCATCATGCTTACATTGGAAAATAATACAAAGTTAATATTAATCGTCCATATTGAACTTTGGTAACGTTTATCCAAATACAAAATGCTTAATAGTCAATCGATTGTAATATACCCGTCAATAAATGTGTATATCTAAGCTTTAATGGTAATTCATATCACGTAAGGCGTTCAGAATATTGTTTTTCAGCATGAATGCTCATTATGCCATTGTGTAACGAGGTCTTGTTTTCATTTCATTATTTTCTTTACTGAAATCCCCGAAATCATAGAATCATAGATTACCTATAGAAAATAAATCTTCTTTATAATTATAAAAGAAACTAACACACAAAATAAATAGATGTACCTGATAGCGGTATTGAATAGGGAGTAGCTGTAACAGAAAACAAGATGAATGGTTTATTCAACTGTAAAAGATATCTAAAGATACAATGTATGATGAAAAAATTATTGTATACGTGATTGCTTAAACGATATAAGAATTAATATAAACTATAAGAAAAATTACAAAACTATCTGGAAATGATATAGATTGTGTAAAGTTATAATTTATCCAGATATTGATTAAAAAATAAGAAGGAGTAATCATCCTCGGATAAGCAAAGCTGAAATGGAGACACAATGCACTGCACATTCGTAATTGCATAGAATAGAGAATACTCCAATACTAATTAATGGTCAAAACAAAGCGTATTATCAATATATATTTACAGTTTTCCTATTTAATGGATTTTGTCGTTTGTAAATGTGATAATATCATAACATTCTCACTACCGCTTTCCAATACATCTACTACTTTAATATATTTACAGTACTATTTCATCAACAACACCAAACTCTGTGACAAGTATAACATAACACAAAGAAGAAAAGAACAATCAAATCAACGTACAAAAGATAAGATGTTTTGCAGTTATAATAGAAAACAAACACTAGAAGAGCATGCTTCATGCTTTATTTATATACTCGTACATAAAACATTGGATTTCATGCCTTGACATGTAAAATGGTTATTAACACAAATCTTGAATAATTAAAAGAGGTATACTTTGACAAGGAACATGAACAGTATAACGTCAAGATCATGCAATAGCATGCAAAGGTTGTGTTCGGTAGATCGGTTCAAGCCTTTAACTTGTGGTGTAGGGTATGTAGAAAACGGTTAACTGCCTAACGTCGTGAATTATAGGTACGAAAAGCAGGTGTTTATGCCAAATGCAGAAAGTGATCCGAAAGCATTCTTTAAACAGTTTTCTTAATACAAAAACATGGATTCGTATGAAGAAACCTACTTTACGTATGCATACTGGTTGGCTATTTTTGACTTACTGAGAAACTTAGGTAATTCGGTAGTAGATGGTGTAGATTCGATTGTTCTAGTTGTCAGCTTCTCTGTTGGTATTCTAATAGTTGTAACTGGGTCTTTCCTCTTGGTGACTTTTTCAACCTTTCTCGTAGTAGTCATCGGTGGTTTACTAGGTTTTGTTGTAATTGTATCAAGTTCTGGCGATGTTTGAGGAGGATTTGTAGTAGTTTTTGGAAGTTTGGTGGTTTTTGGTGGTTTAGTGGTTTTTGGAGGTTTTGTGGTTTTTGGTGTTTTACCATCCGTGGGCACTTTAAGATTTTCAACTAAGAAAGCAAAATTCAACTTATGAAATTTTAGTACTGTATAAAATGTAGAAAAAAAATGAGTTTCAAGAATGCATACAAATTTTCCATACACTTAGGTCCATTTCAAACGATGTTGCCTCAAATAAGTAACTAAGGAAATCCAAAAGAATTCTGTATAAAACATTTTCTATAAGATAAAAGGCTAGAAATGGATCAAATACATTTGTATATGCAACAAAATATTGGTCACAATGTTAAATTAGTTTAAATTATAATGAACTTACAAATTTTCAATTTAGAAAGTTTTTCTCTTAATTCGGCAGACTTTATGAAATCGTCGTACTTCTTTCCCATGAATGAATTCTCTGATGTTGGGTCATTTGCTAATGCTTCGATTTCATTCATATCGGCATTTCCAATCCCTATCGCAAATATAGAAGTCCCTGACCGCCTCATCGATGAAGATTCCTTAATAATTTCAGTCATATCCGAGCTTGAGGAACTATCAGTTACAAATATCAATAGATTCGGTATATCTGGCCGGTCACCCTTCTTTTCAAGTAAAACTTCTGTCTGAATTAAATTAAACGCTTTCACAACATCTGAACCTTTAGTCCTCAAAGTTTTTGGTTTAAGTGCCTTCTTTATAGACTTTACAAGTTTTTTGTTCTTTTTATTCTTTTTAAAATCAAATTCAACTCTGGCATCTGACCCAAATACAACAAAGGAGACCCGTACACCGCCTGCTTCAACGTCCATATTCGATACCAGATCGTTAATGAAAGGTGTTAACTTTTTCTTGATGTCGGAGATTTTTACGTTATGAGATACATGTACGGCAAATATGACATCTAGCTCCTCGAGGTCTGCAATAGATTACCTGGTATAAGGTGATTGCTTCAATTTAACTAATTTAGCGTTCAAAACTCGCAAAGCTGCCGCGCGGAGAGTCTGAGTTAAGGCAGAAAAAGACTTTAGAACAGAAAGCAGAGAAAAGATTATGATTGAGATTTTAACTTAACGAAAACTTGATGTAGGTATAAAGAACTTTAACTCAGTTTTCTTTGCATTTTGAGTACAATTTACTAATAAAGATTGATATTTATTTATAAGTAAAATTAACAAACGATAAAGAAAAGGCAGAGGTTTCTGTTAAGGACTTATCTGCGCCTAGAAATACGTCTTGGTGTCAAAAATATTTCTATATCTTCAAACAATATGTTTCTATTTAAAGAAAGCATTTTACATATTTATAATTATTAAAGAGCAGAGATCGATTCATGCAGCCACGTTCACAACATAATTCACTCACAAAATGGTTTAAAAGCTGCAGCAAGACTTGTGGTCAATTTTTTATCTTTTGCAAGATCTGTATAGTCATTGACCATTATGCTATTTGTATCTGCCTCAGGTCCTGTCAATATTTCTATTTCCTTTTGTAAGTTTGGATCGTCCCCGATTCCAACAGCAAACACGCTTATGTCATTACTTTTTAAAGATTTAGCCACGTCTGCTAAACGATCCTCTTTAAGTTTTGAAGACGCCTGGTCGGACATCATAACAATTCCATTTGGAATGTTAGGATCATCTCCCTTTTCAGGCGTAAACACTGAATCTTCAACGTATTGCAATGCACTAGTTAAATCAGCCACTTTGTAACGCTTGGTTTTAGGAACTTTTCTAAATGTTTTCTTAATGGTTTTCCTATTTTGAAAGTGCTGCAGATCAAATATTGTTTCAGCGTCTTTCCCGTAGGTAACAATACCAAATTTAACTTTTTTATAATCTGCCCTCATTGCAAGTGTGCTTAAATATTTTAGCAGGTACTTCTTAAACATTTTTGTCTTTGTTTTCTTTGACACGTGAATCAGGAAAACTATGTCGGCTTCATCGCTATCTGAAAATATGTCTTTGCTTTTGTTCTTGTGAGGAAGATGTTTTGTCAAAAGTTGTTCATGCAGATTTTTGACACGTATGCTAAGCACATTACAAGTTTCAAGAGCTTCTAAGGTAAGGCATATAGTTTTGCAGTACTTTAATAATATACTGACTCATTATACATATGTATGTATGTATACATATATAACAAACCTAAAGTTTAAACAATTATATGATACACAAGTACCAAGCCGAAAGTTCAGAAAAAACTAAATATTTGAATAATAGAATAGATAGTATTAAGGCTGATTTTCCTGTAGCATAATGTCTAAGATTGAGAAAAGAGTACATGTAGCATATAACAGTTTCATACATTCCAGTTTAGGTCAATCATTTTAAAAGTCTGAGTTGCGTTGAAAGAGGTAACAGTGTAGGGACAGGACAGAACGAGCATAAAGAAGAAAGGGTGAAAAGATGCATGTGTAACGTTGTGGAAATCAGTAAGACTTCGTTTTTCGGGGCATTCATTTCAACATGCATTTTGTAAAGTTATGATTCAACACTCTTTGGACAACACGGATGTTAAAAGCATGGTAAAGTTTGCATTCTGCAAAATAAAATACATGTAAGGTTATTACATAAATTGACATAGATAATTGTTAAATATATTCTTTTTGAGTTATATATAAAGGCATATCTTTCAAATTGCATAACTTTAATTTCTTTTAGATTGGTATATAGGTATGAAAATTTAATCAAGTAAATGTAATAATATAAAATTCAACATTAAATATAACAAAATACTGTTTTAAGGAAGATGCAAAAACGATTTGCCTTTAGATATGTTAACTCAAATACAGACAATTACATTAAAAAAGTAATTAAATAAAAATGCATACTAACAATAAATGATATAGTATACATTTAATTTTAGTAAGAAATGAGTAGAATTGGTATTAATGTAAGAAATATTATTAAGTTATAAATATAAAATATGTATTTACGTTTTTTAACATCTTAGAAGAAAACTTATACATGTATATTTATTGATACATTCGAATCACCCATTACAAAAATATATTTTCACTAACTACAGCATTTTTTTTTATCTGTGAAACTTTAAAATTGTTCATAGATACAGAAACATTTCTTAAAAATAACTAAAATTACTGTTTAAAAGCACGTGGTTTGATTCATATCACGTAATCTTATAATATCTTTTTAACCAAAAGCACAATAACTCAGGAAATTAAGTGGAATGGAATTCATGGTTCCTGAAAATGTTCCATAATAATTATTCAACTATTTAAGTAAGCGCTTACAACTTCTACTTTCATTCAGCTGTTAAAATAAATTGTTTTATACGTAGTAATGAACGGTGTCAATGCACGAAAAAGACGCATAAGCGCTATTTATACATAGAAATATACAAATAAATTGATCAAAATTTCTTGCGTTTCCTAATTTGCTTACGTGCGATGAAACCAGTTTCGTATTGCTTTTTAAAGGGCGAGTGGAGTGCGATGCCCTTTTACTGTTTTGTTTTGATAATGAAAATTACTAGGGCCGCCATTAGGTTCAACTGCAATACATCCAAGTGGGCAGATTTTATGCAAGAATATTAAACTTTTAGTTCTGCAACCATTTCTGACCCCCTTTTGAACATTGATCGAAAAAAAATTACATTATGCCTTTCTATGTATCTCTGAAATTATCTTTTCACTCAATCAATGGCCGGTGTACTGAATAAGGCACGATTGAATTTTTGGGTATTTTATTTATCTAGATAGTTTCTCTATCAATATTTCAAAGGATCAATACCGAGCAAAAAGATAAATTTAATCGAATACATAAAACACTTAAAACCAGAAAGAAGACTTTTGATCATTTAATACTCGTTTTTCTTTTAAAGTTATTGTATCTTATTTCACCGCCTAACTTTTTTCCATTCAAAAGTTTCATTTTTAATTAAATTAGACGATAAAAGAAACGATCACTGTTTTGTTTTACGTATGGTAAAAAAAGATTAATTAGATTTATAAATATATCAGTAGAACATACATATGAAATATAAGATAAAAATGACTGTTATGAAATAAGTAGAAATATTGATATATCCATTTATATACAAAAACATGCTATGATAACTTACTCTTTACAGTGGTGGTTGCAGTAGCTACAAAATAAAGAAAAGAAAATATAATAATATAATAATATTCAATTCAGTTATAAAAGCTAACGGTATATTTTGAGAAATTGTTATTCGAATTCAGAAATTCACTTGAGAGTACGTAAATTTTGTTAAAACACACGATTTGCGAAATGTTTCCTCTTTTCAAAAGTGTTTTGATAGTTGAATTACCGATGCGGCATTGAATTAAAAAGTCAAGGAACTTACTTGTTGTGGGTGGGGTCGTAGAAGTGGTTGTTGTAGTTGTTTGTAAAGCAGGAATCACGAGTGGAAACCCGTCTGTCCTAACTGAAACATTAATTGTATCATGTTTAATATCAGTCAAGACGTTGTTTTAAAAACGTTGACAGCAACAACAGCAACAACAACAACAACAACAAATATCTCTGATTATAAAATCCCGAGTAGCATGATTTTTTTAACTATAAAATTGAAATAAAAATCAGTCTGACAGACAAATTTGTTAAATATTAATATTAATGCTTGTTGACTTTAGATGATGTCAACATACGAAAAACATTCGGCTGATACCAAGAAAAAAGAAAATAATTAACAAGGGAAAACAAAAAACGATCAAAATGCTCGTTCGATGATTTTTTTCATATACATGTTTATCAAGGAAAAACGAAAATACATGTATATATAAATAACAGAAACAAAGAAGTTCATTTTATTTGATATCAAACTAGCTAATATTTAACATTTTAACTATAAAAATAGATAAGATGCACAACTTTGTAGCTAGATGTATTTATTATTCTTTCTGCTTGCAATGCACTTCAATTGTTTTTAGATTTATTTCAGTTTTATGATATTTTCTATATGTGCAACTTTGCAAGCGTAAATTTATTTTGTTCAATGCCTTGTGTTAAAAATATACTTACGTCCGACAAAAGCTTCTTGGATTTTGTATTCTAGGCCTTTTAAATGTTTTGTGTCATTCACCATAATGGCATATTCAGGTGATGACGTCAGACCATGCAACTCTTCTGAGTACGTAACATTGATACCAACGGCAAATATTGCAGTTCCATCAGCTATTAATAGAATATTTGCTGGATAATAACCATTACTGATAAATCGTAATATATTCCAATTTAAACAATTGATACAGATATTTCGAATTTAACTCAACCCAACCGCAAATATAATTCGGTTTAATATGCGACGCTGTCTTCTTTTCCAGTGAGCAACCAAGAACAAAGATCAACAAAAAGCAGAACACAGCCTCCGGCAACATCTTTTCACAAAGAGCACCGGAAAAGCAGCTTATATTGCACCACAGAATGATTCAACTTCATAGTGCTGATCTCGCCATAGCCATACTGACCTCATATATGTAAAAGATCAAAAGATTGCTTCGGGCACTACAGCATAATACCTCTAACATCTGCATGTGACACTTAATTCATTGTTTTACCATGTTCATACCTTAATATTGAATTTAAAAATGGTACACGGATATACGAAAGAGTTGCATTATGCATTAACCACTACCGAACAGGCACATGATTGTTTTATTATATTTACCTTTGAGTTTTTCTGCAGCTTGAATGGTCCCTGAAACTTCTGTGTCAGCATTGGAATCCGTGATAAGTATAACCAGGTTTGGTACGTTACGTCTCACACCTGCTGAATCTACAAGCAATGACGTTTTCACAATCTCTAAACCAGCTGTGATGCTTGCTGCTTTCGACCTATGATAAGATAACTGATTCATTAATTATCAAAAAGCAATAAAAAGACTCGCACTTTATGGTGAATCGTTAAAATATGTTTAAAACCGCCATTGGAACACGCCTATTAGTTATACACATGCAACTTTGTAAAAAACTGTTTATCTGGTTTTTTTTACCTATTCTTTTCTAAGAACAATCAGTCACTAAACAATAAGGCTACACATTTATTTAATAATTATGAATTGATAATATTTGTCACTAGATATGTAAAAGTAAAAAATGAAATTCCCATGGACGTGTTTTTATTCTTTTATTTTTTAGTTGGGTTAAAAACATATCGACACTATTAATGTCATATGGCGACTTTTCAACTTAAGTGGTGAATGAAGGCTTGAGTTGTCCCTCCGTTAATTATGTCAGGCATGGTTGGGCACCTGAGCAGAAACGCTGACGTTCCGATAGCCTCTAGTAATGAAATAATCAATTGGTGGAATTCAAATTCATAGCAGACAGGGGCAAGTAGTTCGAAGATGATAATCCTAATCACCCGGCCATTTTACAAACGTTCAAATATTTCAAAGAAGCAGGAAAATGAAAAAAGAAACCATTGGTCACAATGGGTATATCTAAGTGCACGGGAATTAATATCATTGCATAATTTTGAATTTTTTAAGCAAAAGTAACGTCTTTGAATTTTTTTCTGGAGCCCATTTAGATCTATATACACAAATTTTCTGTAATCCTCTTTTGAAAAAGATGAATGATTCAATTGCTTTTTACGTACATACAGAAAACAGAGGATATTGAATGAGTGTAGATTTAATACTAGTACTAATTAATTGAACTCGATAACTCAAAGAGTACAATAAATTTAGTATTGAATCTACACAAATATAATATATTTTTTATCACATATCTAAAATAAGACCGGTTTTCATCTAAAAGAGTAATTTTTCATTGACGCATAGTGTAGCGCTAATATTAGTTCGCTTTAACGCTGTGCTTGTATATGACGCAAAAGACGTAACGTTAGAGCGTCAATACACTAGTGTAATATGTGCCGTAGCTGATGTAATAAATTCAAATATAAACCGATTTCAATAGACAAAATGGGGCACAAAATACTACAAGATGCAAGGACATATGGTCCAAATTTCTTATTACGTTACCTGTAGTTAAAGTTAATTTTGTCAATGCCAGCTTTAACTTCGTCTTTGGAGTAGTAACTATTGAAATCAAATATAAGAATTCCACGTTTTCTGAACAGTGCAGCACCAACTCTAACTTTATCATCATCAATTCCTGCATATTGAATCGTGTCCTTCATGAATTCAATAACTCTTTGAAAATCGTCTCTTTTCATGGTGTTGGAAAAATGAACGAGGAAAGCAACGTCAAGCATTTCACTACCTGATAAAATACATAATTACGTAACAAAATTATTTACAAATTACTTGAATTAATTGTAGGTGTCAAATTGAAAAAAAACTTTGGAACATTTTTGTTATTATCTGACGTTTGCAAGTATTTGTTGAAAGGGTCAAAAGCTATTATATTTGCTGTCTGTGAATTGTAAAATTAACGTTTATATAGTGATTAAAATTATTAAAGAATAATTAGAATGAAACACTTTTGTGAATATGTTTTATAGAAAGCGAGTGGCGCGTGCAATAAATCATCGGCAAACTTACAAAATATAGCAGTGTAATATTTAGTTACGAAACATTTTATTATGTTTACGTAAAAATCATGTATATTAGATAGTGCACCGGATTCTTCTTTTATTCTCAAATATTTCAAGGCACGACCATATGGTTACTGTTCATAATTAAACTGTTTGTAAGTTTTCATTAACTATTTCAAAAGACACTCAGGTCTTAAATCTACATACGCTTTAAATAAACCTATTGCTTCTTTATTGTTCATTGGATAAGGGTACATTTATTAATCAGTCGAAGATGAATTATCGGCTGTTTGAAATTCATTTTCAAGCTTAAAAACATAGCATTTCAATCATCAATATCTTTGAAATATGCTTACAATTAGTGACCACTTCCATTAAAGTTTAGATAAAAGATGCATGGATGAGTGTATAAAGAATTCTCATTTATTCAACAAAGGGCAATCATACACGATAAATACAAAAAATCCGCCATACCTGCTGCAGGTGAATTAGATGCTTGTTCCGCCCCTGGAAACAAAAGGAAAATCAGCATTATTATGATATTAATGATACAAAACTGTCATTTATTTAACACACATTATGAAGTTCTGGTTACTTTGAATTATTTGTCTCTTTACATTGAAGGATATACATTATCTCGATTTATATTTTCTTTTAAATCTAAGACATGTTATTTTATTTACTTGACAGGGCGTCCGTGGCCGCGTGGTTAATGCCGTTTACTTCAAACCACTTGCCCTCAACGAATCCCTATAGGGACTTTGGATTCTTTAATGTGAGGAAGCTATGTAGCTAGCTTACGAAACGTCGGTGGTTCTACTCAGGTGCCCGTTCGTGCCTAAAATAATGTACGGAAGGGCACCTGAGGTCTTCCGCGACCAGAAAAGCTGGAAGGTCGCCATATGACATGTACTGTGTCGGTTTGATGTAAACCCCAATCAAACAAACAAAAATAATTACTTACTTGTGAAAATTTGACGATATACTACATCTTTAACTACATCGAGTTCGTCGACAGAGTCCATTAAGAATGTATTTTCCTGTGTAGGTTTACTTGCTATTTCATTAATTTCCTCTTCGTCCTCTTTGTCCAGACCATAACCAACAACAAACATATTCGCGCGCGCATACTTTAGCGCTTCCGCTTCCTGTAATGTGCGGTATTCATTGCGATTTGATTTACCGGAAGTTAGCAATAATACAAAATTTGGAGCATCCGGTCTGTCCCGAACAAGCAATTGAGAGCGGACACGTCCTAACGCATCTGCGGTATTCCTTTCACCAGGAATAAAGTCAGCAGTAAAAATTGCGTCCACAATATCTTCTGATTTTGAGTATTTGTTCAGATCGAAGACAACTTCTGGGTGTGTGCTAAATGTTAGCATTGCAATCTTGATATCACCGGAATCAACATCAGCGGATTCAAGAAATGACGTTAAAAATGATTTTACCATGATTTCATTGTCAAGTGATTCGGTAGTGTTTGAAAATTGTGATGTGTCAACAACAAAAACAAGATCCATCGGGGTCGAACCTAATCCTGCAACGAAAGAAATTTTACCGTCACACATACAACAGTCAGTCAATCAGAGTTCTTATTTTCAAATGTGACGGAGTTCATGCTTTTAAAATTTGATATCAGATATCAGGATAACTTACAAAAGATGCAATTTGTAACGTTTTAAATCGAAACTGGTATGAAACAATGCTTACAATCAAGGTTTCTAACTTCGTCAACTAATCTTTTCTTTTTTGTTCTTGTAAAGAAAATATCTTTAAAAAAATCTACATTTATAAAACTAAATGAACGTAGTACAAATCTGTTGCATTATAGCAGTTAATGAACGAAAAATGAAAATGTTTTGAAACATTCGTTTGTAAACTAAGCATTGAATATTAGAGAAATAATATAAAACAGTGTTAAATTCTCTGATCTACAGTGTACTACTGATACAATCAATTAGGAATAACACAAATAACCCAATAAAAATACCTGAAGTTTAAATGGAAAGATTTGTTAAACGAAAACAGAACATGCACTAAACAAAACGAAGAGGATACTACGTTATTGCAAATGGGTGCACTACAAGGCACCGACTTTAAGATTTGAATAGGTTATTAAAAAATTTATCTATTACGAAGTTAAGTTTATTTCTATCTCGATCTAGGCCTTAAAGATAATTAGACAGTACCATTATGCTGACAATATTTTGATAAGATGTAAGAGTCATCTTTATTCGTTCTAATGCCGAACTAAATGACAAAGAATGACTTCTATCGAAACGCGCCACTTTATAATAAGCATATAGGCGCAAAATCCATATTAAGTTTCATATATAATCAGAATCCTGAAATTGAAATTGACGACATAATGTTTATTTGTTTAATTATTGACATGACGTTCGTGCGATTTGTAGCAAAATACGGTTTGTTACAACATGGTCATTTTCATTAGCTACAGACGTGTATGTCTTAAAATGAATATTCTTATGTAGAAAACCATCCTTAAACATACTGTATCTAAATGGTCATAACGAACGCAATTATGGACACATCATGACCAAATATTGTAAATTATCAAAATGTAATGTGCATATAAACACATTTGCATGTTGAAAAAAAATCATTAGAACAAAAAATAAGTTACCGTGATCTGAACTGAAATAGTATTAAAAATGATAGAATAAAAGATCGTTTCATGCATGGATACAAAGATAAAAAGAGGTTTCAGCATGAAAGTTCTTACCAAAGCCTGTAAGATCACCAAATTCGCCGCCATTGTCTGTAAAATGACGTCATAATTTTTCAAAATTACCGCAAAGAGAAATCCAAATATAGGTTAAACCCAGCCGTTTTTTTGCTTACGATTCAACTTAGCATGATGTACACAGTTGTTAAAGAGCACAAAAAGGAGGTAAAAAACGACGAAACTCGCGAAAATAAAGTACACTGTAAGAACAATAGCGACAATTGGTAACAAAAGTTACAGACGCCAGAAGCATGAAAGTAACACAAAGTAAGAAAATGAGCAAAAAGGATCAAGAATGAACGCGCAATACAAAAAAAAAACAATTTTAAACATTTAAAAGGAACAATAAACATTGATTTTGAAGTAACACATAAAAGACGTATAGCATGTTACACATTGAAGGCAAATTATCTTTAATTATCTACTAATATCTACATTTATCTACATAAAAGAGTCTCTATAGCTACATGTATGTACACTATATTTAGTATCATTTAATATTTAGTTTGAGTACATTTGGGATATAGATAATCTTTCAACTAATTAAGAGCTGCAAATCAAGGAAATTCATGTAAAAATTAACATAAATTCAAAATATGTAATATGAGTATATAAAATTAACAACATCAATTTTAAAACTGAAAAGAAAAAAGGTTATAATTATAATAATAAGAATAAAAAAATATATAAAAATAAGATAAAAATATTAGTGACATAAACGTTACATTGTTTTTATATGTTTTTAAAAGGTACAACATTTACAGCAACGAGATCAATTATATGTTAATTTATAATATTAATCCATGTTGAAAGCACTGCAAAAAACTACACATATGTTATTAAATAATAAATCAATCATTATATTTTGATAAAACGTTTTTATTTTTACAGAATTATGTCATTAATAAGATTGTTTTACTTATATTAATATAACTAAACAAAACAATTTAATAAAAATTTCTTAAAATGTTAAATACATATCAAGAACTTAATATAGAACTTTTTTATATAAAATAACTTATTTTCAAATATAACCATACATTTTATAACAACTTCTTATCTTGTATTATACATCTGTGTATTTCGTCAAAGTAAAAAGTTATCATTCTCCATCTTAATGGCTTTATTACCGAATGCTAAAAAAATAATCTCGTGAAATTAATAAAAATCCTATTCAAAATGAAATAAGAACTGTACACATATACTTTACGGTAACGATAGATAACGATAACTAGATGGAATAATTATGTTAATCCTAAAACTTTACGCAGGACAGTTTCAAATTTCCAATTTGATCGACTTAAAAGAGGACAATTTAAGAGTATTATTTGTTTTCAAACACACGTGACCTTCTTACTCTGACGATATACATGTTCCAAGTTTAATTAGAATACAACATGTAACTCACCACCCTGCGCGCGTATTTCGCCAATCAAAAACACCAAAAACACTGCCAGGGACAGCATGCCTCCCCGGAAACTCCCCGCCATCATCAACAGCGATGCTGAAATATAAACATTAAAAAATGTATGTATTTTACATGAAAATGAAAAGAAAATGGACCAAGAAAAAAAACCTCGCCGAATTCTACAAGAATGTTTATATGTAAATCAGGTATATGACATTTTCCAAAAAAATATTTGTATATTTTAACGAATTAATTATAATAATATTTCAATGAAATATTTTGTATCCGCAATCACATGTATTTAAAACACAAAATCATCAAGGGCATGTAATAATGCAATCCTTATCCGATAAACATAAACATAAATAGCTGTATTACTTCCCTTAGATATCCGTAAGGCATTAAATATCGAGAATATGGCTAACCACTACAGAATAATTCTCATCCTTTTCCATTGTGTAAAAATATTTTGTTTGTTATTTATTTGTATTTACATTATATATACTTTCAGGAATAATTATGTTTAAACCAAACCACATTGGGCTCCTTCAAAACATACAAAAAATAGAAAATACTGAAAAGAAAAAAACAAACTTTTATTTTTTTTATAGTATTACGTTACTTGTCGGTGTATCATTTTCTTTTCTTTTTATTTATTTAATCTTTTTTATCATCTATAATTATGAAAACTACACTTCTACAATACAACTTTACAATAAGCTTCGTCATTTTTGAATTACAATATCAACGTTTCTATTTTTTGTATGTTAAACGCATCTGTGTGTGGTACACAGGTAATTTACAATGATTTATAAATTAAATTCATGGTTTTATCAAAAGCAATCATGTTCATTCCCACCAGACCATAGACTGGGATTCAATACATCATTACATATAATATACGCACACTGTATATTTTACGCTTTGTTTCCCCCTCTAAGATATAACTTATTCAATTTTTTATCAGATAATATACGGTGTCATGGGATCTCCTTATAAAGATGGTAACAATGATTTATATATTGTACAATTGAACTCTTTTTTGCATATGTAAGCAGAAAGAAAAAGACAGTAGACTTTTTATTCTAGTCAAATAGATTTTAAAGCCCATGAGGATGCAAAATAACGAAAAATGTATGACAACAACATAATTATATACATGATATCAACAATCATCAATTTATAAGGAGATCAGTTTTGATTTATAAAGAAATAAAGAAAATACCAGCCAAATATTTCATAAGAAGTTACATAATGAATATTTTCATATCAAAATAAATCTTTAGAGCGCTAACTTAAAGGTTTAACAACATTATTTTCCTTTTTAAATTTTTTATGCAGAAAAAGAACATTTCTTCCATTACCTTCTGAATTTTCTAAATAAACGTTTAGCCTTTCTTATGGAACTGTTCATAATCAATTTTAGGGATGTACTGTACTAAGATGACAATTTGGCGTAAGTCAACAAAGAAGGAGCCTGGTTAGACTAGACGGTGCTGACCAGCCTTGTTCCATACTTGTAGCAAATCTTAATCACGTTCAGTTCCTGCAGTGCATACGTAAGGGTTACATTTCAACGTGCTATGAGCACGGTTATTTGTTGTGCATTTAGACATATATTCCTTAGTATATTAGTATATATATCTAATTTGCTGAATTTGATATTTTGTTCCGTTTTTAAATAACGTTTGTACGGTTTCTCTGTCGTGAATTAAGACATTTGTCCCTTAGTATAGATCTAATTTGCTGAATTTGTTATTTTGTACCGGGAATTAAATCACGTTTGCGTGTTTTGTCTGTCTTTTTCCCTTAATTAAGCTCTAATTTGCTGATTTTGTTGATCAGTATACCACAGTACAAGTTTTCATAGCCGTTTAAATTGATTTACGGACAATTAAAGTCGTTTAATGAATGCGCAGTTTGCAGGAAAATTGACGCAACAAAGTTATTGTCATATAAAGCTATCACAATCTAACATTATTTACGCGCATACCTGAACTCTGCAATGTGCTTTTACATATCTTTATTTCCGTCAAGCGTGTGAAACACCTTTCATTGCTTAAAGATATATGTAAATTGTTTTAAAATTAATTAAATTATAGACGATTTCAATGCAAAAAAAGAATTGAACAACGAATGAGTGCTTGCATTACATAAACCTGGATAAAGTGTGATCCTTCGGAAAACTCCTAAGAAATTGTTTGATTAAAAAACTAATAGTTCCCGTCTGCACATAAACGTTTAAAGTGCGTTTTAACTTGAGCATGATCGATACAATGAAAGTGTAATATGCTATTTTAAATGTATTTTAAATTATTCCTGTCATGCTTTTCGCCATAGAGACAAAAGTAAAAGTTGCTGGTATCACCATACTTCCAGATATCCAAACTGAAACATGTTTGAATCTTGAAAAGAAAAAACAGCATTACTTTTGAGTATGTATATGATACTGGTATCTAAGTCTATATGTTATTTTAATGTCATTTTTAAGTTGATTCGTCCACCTGCTTTGCTCTGTAGCGAGAGCATCAGAAAGGTGATCAAGAGGTGGCTGGTTCAATCCTCGACTTCCAAGATATGACCACAAACAGAACATGTGTTGAAATCGGTGTAAAAAGCAGAAAAACAGACATTAAATTTGAAAGTGTCAAAAGTAAAGTGGCGTTTCATGATTCAGACACCACAGCAGAGCACATGTTTTAAACAAGATATCTCAAAGATTTAAATTAAATTGTACCAGTATCAGTGCTTATCTTGACATTTCCCATTGAGATTGTTGCGCGAATGTCAGAAAAGAAATATGTTTAAGACCGTTTTAATTTCTCTAAAATTTTCATCATTGATAAGAATTATGATGCAAGATTTAAGTGATAAACGAATAAAAAAGCAACAAAAAACCAAACCAAAACAACAGCAACAAAAAAATCAATACAAAATTATTTTATGTTGCCTTACTGGTAAACATTTTACTGTGTATAGGGATGCATTAGCCATCATGTTTTTCATTCATGTCATTGTTTATTAAATGTCGTCCATCATGTTAAATTTCATGCCATTGAACTTTTCATGGCATTACATGCGTTTGTTTGTATATATGTTAATCACGAGAAACTTGTAGTTTAAGTGATAAATAAACGTTCTTCTTCTTCTTGACGCTTAGATGAGCTTTGATGGTTTACTAGGGTTTATTTTGCTATGTTTTAATATTTTCGGCAGTAAAGTGTTTGCCTATCTGGCTTTTACGTCGGAGTACTTCATTTTTTTTGCTGTTCGCATAGGCAAGAAAGGAAATTCAAATATCATTGAAACACTTGTTAAAAACAATTAAAACAATTGGGGGTCACCGACCTTTTTCAGTTATCTACAGATTATTTGCTCATGCTGTATTCATTTCTTTCCACGGAAATTTGCGGTAAATTTATGTGACATTTATGGCAAAGTGTGGGCATAAATCTAAAGATACAATCTATTTATATAAAGCAATTGACATAAAATATCCTTAAATATCCTTAAAATACTTAACTGCTTAAGGATAATAGCCCTTTCATGAAAGACGAGCCTTATGTAGCTGATATCAGTGCCTTATAACATAATTAAAGTTCAAGTTTGCTTCAATGAAATAAATATTATGCTTAAACTCTATTTTCTGAAAATATAAATAACTGCTAAACTGTTTCTATGTAAATATATAATAAACATATTTTGAGGATACGCAGAGTAGATATATTAGGACACTATCAGTACCATTAAAAACTGGCAGTAGTTTTTTAGCGACGATTAATTTAACATGTCAATTTAACATAGGAAATCCAGTTTTCCATACGCAGCGTGTGCATTAAGACATATTCATTAAGCATTTGCTTGATGTTGAATAATTTTCGACATAAAAAATTATGTCATTTAAAAATGTGGATAAAATATCTTTATTGAAGAGTAAATAAAACATCCCGTCAATAATTGGGTTTCCACAGATATTAAACAGTGTAAAGCTACTGAATGTAGCAAAAGAGACAAAAAACCTATGATGAAACAGTGTAGCTATTATTATACTTTATAAGTGACATACTCCTTAGGATACTTTACACACATACTTTTTGCGGGACATGAAACTAGTTCATATTCAACTTAAAACTAGGGCAAAGAGTATATGTAATTTATATTCTAGTGTTATATACAAAAACGAGTTTGTTTGTTTTGTAATACAGACACATTTAAGGTCAAACGGGTTTACTAGTAGAGTAAGACCTAAGGTGTCCCTTTGTGCATTATCTAGTAAAACCACCGACGATCCGTAAGCTTACCGGATAGATTTACAGCGTTTAAGTTATTCATTTGAGCCCGACGTAACAAGTCGGTGCTAGAAAGCATGAGAAAAAAGTCGGTGCTATGGGAACATAAGGGGAAAGTCTGTGCTAGGGGAGCATGAGGGAAAAGTCGTTGCTACGGAAGCATGAGAAACGCTGCACTTTCCATTAAAACTCATGAACACACTCAATTAAACAGAGTCTGCAATTTGCAATTAAATTGACAATACTATCGAGACGGACCCATTCCCGAATAACATATACACAAACTTGTAGTCAAAAGAACAAATCAATTTTGCCTGTCTGGATTACGTTTAGTTAAGTACCTTGGAAAGTAAAATGATAAAACATTTTAACACGTCATAAACAACAGTTAGTACCAACTTCAAGCTGATAGTTTAATGGCATAATAATTAAGAGCATGTGCTTGCTTGATGTTTTGTCATGTTTTTCCTGCTAAAAAGCGTTATAATTGCCATAAAATTCAGTATGATTTAATAAAGTAGGTCAAACCGATTGGCTTTCCAGCTTAAAATGCCCACTTTAATTTAGAATAGACAGTTTCTGTAAACATTGTAAAGATACGTTCATATTTCTTTGGCTGTGTCTGGCAAAAAACACCCTTTTTCATGTGTAATCGCCATAAAATCAAACTAACTGCTTGTCGATAAAGAATAACCAAATTACCCACCTACAAACATTTGAATTAGCTGATTATAATTATACGAAATGTTTCATAAAGGTACCATTAAATCTTTAATGTCTGTTTTGAATTAAATAAAAATTGAACAA